GGCCTCGGCGAATCGCAAAGTTCAAAGCCACCTCTGCGCGATGGCAATAAACGCGACCTCGATTGGCGGCCGAGGACGCGAGTGGCGACGTTACCGTTGAAAACAAACCGACGGGCGGCGTTGGCCACGCTCTCGGCGGGCCGCGCTGGGCGCGCTCGCGACGGCCTCGCGAGGCCTCGCTCGCCTGTCGCAACGACGAGTGCTCTTTCGGAGCCTCGCGCGAAAGTCGCGCCTAGTAGGCGAAGATGCGGCGTCGCGCTCGTCGCGAGCGAGAAAGTCTTGAATTTTTATTCGGCTTTGCGCGGACGTCGCGCCGATCGATCGCCGGCCGTCGACGCCGAATCGGCAGGAGAGCGCGACGAGAGCAGGCAAGCGAAAGAGGCGAGAGGGCCACCCGCGACCCGCAGCAGAAGCGCGCAAGGCGGCAAGCCTCTTCTGGCGCCCACGCGGCGGCGCACGGCGACGCCTCGCGATCGTTAGGCAAGACGACGGTCGAGTCGCCGAGCAGCGAGGTGGAGATACGAGGGATTCTCGTCCGGGCGTCCTTCTCGACAATCGGATTGTCTGCGAGCGGCGCTGGGAAGGAAGATAATTGGGCGGCTCGCGCGAACGCCGAGCGGTTATGTGGGTCAGCGGCCGGCTACAGCCGCTCGACGCCGCGCGTTAGCCCACTCTCCGCGTCAGTCTTACGGTTTCGGATTAGCCTCCGAGCGAGCGCCGCACAATCGACCAACTCTCCTTCCTCCGTTTCAATTTATTTTCTCTTGGTTCCGTCGTAACGATGACGTCGGTAACTATTCAGCGAAAGTCAATCGAATGCTAACGAACGAGACGCGGCCGACGGAGAGAACAAATGCAACATCACCTTCCGACGCCCGCACGACTCTCTGGCCGTGATGTGCGAGCTACGTACAAGCCGACAGGGGACAGACGGTCGCGTCGCGCGTTGCTCGCTCGCTCGGAGCGCGAAACGCACGCGGGGGCCCGGACAGTTTCTCGGCCGGTAGTAGCGCGAGCGCACGAGCGCAGCCACGTGTGCGTGCGTGAGAACGCGGAGACCGCCGCGCAAGAATGGCTTCGGTCGGCGTTCCGCTGACACAGTTTTTTACGCGACATTTCCACTCGCGGCGGCGGCGACGGCGACGGCGAGTGCGAGTGCGAGTGCGAGTGCGAGTGCTTCTTCCTTCCGTTCGCGTGGGACGGGAGAAACGAATATTACGACGATTCCAGGCGCCCGGTACGTCGTAACTCCGGACCGCGCGCGGCCGGTGTCTCCGCGTAACGCTCTCGCTCGCGCGCCCTCGAATCGATCCGACTGCGCCGCAAGCCACGCGGGCCGAGATCGACGAGTGCGCGAGCGAGGGTGCGACGGCCGCGTGCGCCCGCGTCCGCGGCTAGATCGATAAGCTCAGCGGCACAGGCGCCGACCCACCGCCATCTCTTTGACAGCTCGATTGCGTGACTCATCCAGTGCTCTCTGTCTCTCTTTCCCGTCCCCTCCTGCCACCCCCTCGCGGTGCACGTGCCCGCCACGGTTTTTCCAGCTGCCCTTCGTTACGATTTGCCGCCGCCGTCGCGCCTGCCGCTCACGGCCCTTTTGCAGCTTTTTCATCGGCCGTTTATTACGAGGATCGTAAAGACAGCCGACCGTAGGCTTAATTAACGCTCGCAATTGGTTGCTCTTTAGCGCGCCGTTCGAGCGCTGGTCGAGCGCCGCTCTACGAGATACCTGATGCTCTCGAGCGATGGAATATTTCGCGGTGTTATCATCGGCAGTTATCGGAATGCATCGTCGTGTTATCGGAGGATGAGAAGAGGTCGGCTGGCTCGACGCGCTGTTGCCAGCTCTCGGCCCGGGTCGGCGAGCACGACCGCGGGGGGATTGGGATCGATAGCCGGTAACCTTGCACTCGACCTACTCTCTGCTCTCGCGGACGCGCAGCCGTCAACGCCGGACTCGTCGGACGAGGCCTTCGGCGGCGACCGATCATGCGCGCACATGCCGCCTTAATGGGGGGGGGGGGGGCGCATCAACCCGGCGTGACTCAGCGCTCAATTGGCCGTACACATCGCTGGTGACTGGACGCGGCTGCGGACGCGAGCTTTCGGCGAGGCGGCGAAAGGAAGCTCGGGCTCGGGTTGCGCGCGAGCCGGAGCAGGTGGGACAATAGCGGCGGCGTCGTACCTGCGCCCGCATTACTCGGCGCTCCGCTAGACGGCTTTTTTCTCTGCGCCTTCTTCCGCTCTGCTTGGTGCCACGACCTGACCCATTGTCTCCGTGCGCGCGCTGTCGCTCTCTCTCTCCTCTCTCGCTCTCTCGAGGGGTAACTAGGCAAGTGCGCGCGCCGCTGCTGCTCTCGTTCCTTCTCTCGAGCGATGAGTCAGCGTCCGGTGCTCGGGGCGGCGTATTGACCTGGCGCGCGCACGGCACGCTCCCCGGCTCGGAAAAGCGGCGCTCGTCTTCGCCGGCCACTCTGCTACCGTAGGCAGACACGCGCAGACTAGGCGAGTGCCGCTGCCACTCGGCATTTCGCCCCCCCCCCCCCCCTGCGCGCAGCTGCCAGCCGGTCTTGCTCGCGCCCTTTTCCGAGGATCGACGACACGTCCTACGGTATCGATCGTCCGACCACTTGCCGCGGACGCCGATACGAAACGACGAATCGGCCCCACCGATGGCTTCTACGAGCGACACCGTGGGCTCCCCCTCGTCGGTCGCAAGACGAACGTAGTCGGATCGAGAGTAGCGCATGCCGACACAATCAAACCTCCTTCGCGCGGGCCCGATTCTCCGACGATATCAGCCAGTGCGCTTGCAAGTGGTTGTCGAATCGACGAGCGGAGCATCGGCGTCGGGGTCGCGGGAGGAGTCAGTGGCGACTCTTGCACCGACGAGTGCGCCGAAGGGAAGGCGTCGAGACGGGGATTCGCTAGTGAGAGGAGCGTCGTTCTACGAGAGCGAAGGACAACGGCGCGGGCGTGTTTTGCAATGGCGCGTTGTGGAAGCGACGGGGAGAGCAGGCGGGCGAAAGGGAGGAGAACGCCAGTTGGGGCCGCTAAACGACGTTAAAATCCGCGCCGATCGATGCCCCGTCGCGCCGCGCTTCGCGGCAACCGTCGGCGATTCGCGTCCTCCGCTGGCTGCGCTCCTCGCATCCCGGCGAGCGCGCGAGAGCTGCCGTCCGCGGCAGCGTTGCCGAGTCGCCTCGATCGCGAACCGCTGCGGCTGTCGATTCGGCACTCGAACGCTCAGCCCGCACGATCGCGTGACTCACCGCTCTCGTCGCGGCGGCGGCGTCTTCCGTCGTCTTTCCGCCTGTCGGACCGATGAGCGGAGATCTCGATCGCGAGCGTTTCGTCAGAGGCGCGCTCGCCTGCCGACGATGGGCGCTAATTGGCCGAACGTCGATCGCGCGTCGCCGACGAGTGAGTCGCACGCTCGGCTCTTGACGAAAGCTCGGCGCTGTGCTCCGCGCGCACAAAGCGCCGCTCTGTCCGGTAGGAGCCAGTCGGAGAGCCTCGTCCTTGAGCGTTGTAGCGGCGAGCTCGTCGAGTGCGCGCTGCCGCGTGAGAAAGTCTGCGGCGCCCTTGACGAGCGCGGGGCCTGCGCTTCGGTCGTCCGCGTTGTCGTCGCTCGCGTTCGCCGGGCAGTCCGCGCATCGGTTGGCGATATCGCGACGTCGCGAGGGCCATCGTGGCAGCGGCGATGCTTTCGCGGCGGCAGTCCGGCCGCAGTCCTCCGGCCAGTTTCACTTTTCGCACGGACGTGCTAAGCGAGCGGCCCGTCGCGGCCCGTCGCTCGTCTCCTCTCTCTCTCTCTCTCTCTCTCTCTCTCTCTCTCTCTCGCTCGCACGCGCACTTGCGAAAGGCGCGTCTGCTTCGGGACGCGCCATTGTTCGCTCGTCATTCTGCAACCGGAGATTCGTCCGAGTTATTAGCCGCGTGTTGCGTGAAACAAAACGAGCGAAGAGTACCGTCACTCGTAACCTCGGATCGGGGTCAATGCGAGCGAGGCTCGCGCCGCTCGAAAGCGCCTTGCTTTGCGTGCGCGTATGTGCCGCGCGCCATTCGCCGTAGCTTGGCGAGATTCGGCTTCGCGGAGCTGTCCAGAGCTCGTTCACGGCGGCTCACCGGCTGTCTGCCTTGCGGCGCTAACGAGAGTTCATTATTGTTAACGGCCGGGCTGAAAAACCGCGCCGCCGCCGCCGCTTCTCTCTCCCACGCGCGCCGTCTTGACTTTACGGCGGCAGTCAGCCGCGTTGCAATTGCCGAGGCGCGAGGCGACGAATTAATCGGTCGCGACCCAGAAACAAAGCAAACAAACCGAGTCAGCTTTCGCGCGCGCGCGCTCGAGAGAGAGAGAGAGAGTTCTGCGCTACGTCATCCTCCCCGACTGTGCGGGAACGCAATGCGCGTTCAACGGATTGACAATGACAGTCGCCGTAACGGAAGCGCCGCCCAACGTACGCGGGTATTTCGCAACGAGCGATAGCGAGATCGTCGTTCGATTGGCCGCGGCGGCTTGATTCATCGAACCTCTTCCCAGCTCAGGTACTCCCGCGTTCGTTGGTGTTGCGCGCGACTAGTCAGCGGCATTTCTATGAAGATGACGTTATCGCCTGTGCGTACGCTGACTCGAGCATCGATGCCTCAAACAATCGGACGCGCGCGCTAATCTTCGTCTGTCTATCGTCGGCAGATTTTCGCGCGAGTGCCAAGTGCCTTTGTCGCTTCCTTATCGCTCGGTGGTGATTCCGTTGGCCTTTTGCAACGATTTTTAAAGAGAAAGAATTGCATTCCCCCGTATATGCCAGACGCTGGAGTCAAATATTTGGAAAATGAGAGAGAACCGTTGGTTATTTTCACGACTTTACGATGCAAAGACGCGCGCGCACAACCGATGGTTATTTCCGCTCGACCTTGAATCGCCGCCGCGGAATGAAATCACATTGAGAGAAAGGAAGCAGAAAGAATAATCGAGGTTGCGTGGTTGTGTGTTGCAGGACCAGTTTGAGAACCTGTCGGTACACACACAAAAGGGGATAGAGTTCCTGGAGAGGTACGGCCACTTCATTCGCGACCGATGCACCATCGAGGAAGAATACGCGACCAAGCTCAGGTAAGCAGCCCGCCTTTAGTTGCCGTTAGGCGCGCGAGAGAGGCACGGACTCGAGCTGCCCGCGGGCGGCCGTAATCCGCCTCGATTTCCTTGCAGACGTCTCCGGTGCGCTTGTTTTCTTTCTTTCTATCTTTCGTTTCTTTTCGAGGCCCCGACGCCGCATCGGGCGCACGTCGGCCGTGCGAACCGCGGCAACATAAATGTCAGCGCGCGGATGATAAATAAGCGCTCTCGAGCGTGGACAACAACGGCGCGGGGGAGGGGGGGGGGATGCGCGCACGCCGGAAGTAGAAAAGCGGGAGTGCTCCCAGCGCGCACTGTGCGCGCTTTCCGCGCCGGCACTCGGCAAATCATCGGCAATTTCCCGACCCGCGCGACCAGCCCCACCCGCTTCCGGCGTTTCCTCTCCACGAGTCGTCGTCCCGCGCGCTCGCATCTTGCCTTTGTTCTCCCTCGCGTGGCCATTCGCGTGACGCGAGGCCTATTTTCGCGAGCCGTCCGTCGGTGCCGCGCGTCGACCTCCGAGCAGCGCCGTCCGATCGTCGAGGCCTGCCTCGCAAGAGTATCCCCCGGGAGCGCACCTCGCGACCGCCAAACGGGCAAGCGAGCTCTTGGCCAATCGAGCGCGCGCCTCGAATATCAGCTGGCTTCGCGGATTCGCGCGCCTACCAAATAAAGGCCCCCCGCCGCGGCCGCCCACGCCAGCCTCGCCGCTCTGACGCAAAAGCTCGCCGCCACTGTTGTTCCGCTGACGAGCGGACGTCGGCGGCCGATTATAACTGAGCTTATTCGGGCCAGCCGGACCGGGGACAGCTCGGCTCGCGAGCTCGTCCGAGCGTCGACGAGCTGCCCAACGGCCTCTCGCGACCACTGAATCATGGCTCTGCTTTTGCTTGCAGGAGCTTGGTGAAGCGTTACCAGCCGAAGAAGAAGGAGGAGGAGGATCACCAGTAAGTTGCGCCCGTACGGAGCGCGACACGTCCAGCTGATCGCTCCGCCGTTTCCGCGCAGTGTCCCGCTCTTCCGCGCGCCGGTTTCCCGTTTACGCACGGGCCCCGGCCATATTCTCGTTGCGCGATCGCTATTCCCGCGAAGTGCGCCACCTGCTTCTCTGCTCCCTTTCCGAGGCTCGGCGCGAGCGGCATTGTTGCGCCGAGCGAGCTGCTCCTCGTTAGCCGCGCAGCTCTCGCGCTCGCCGCCGGGATTTTGTCACGGCGAAAGTATGCGTAAATAATTTATCGAGCGGCGTTCATCGAACTGACCGTGCCGCCGCTTCTCTACCTTGATTGCTTGGCATCGCGGTATTTCGACCGAGACGCTAAGACTAAACTCGGTTGACTCTCTCTCTCTCTCTCTCTCCGCGCTTTGCACGTCTTCTTTTCATATTGCCACCAAGCAATAATTTGTCGAGCTACATTCTTACTCGAATCGTACGCAGTCACTTTCGACATTAATCTTGACGGAAAAGAAATCTGTCCTGCTTTTAGTGCTCGAACTGCCGCTATACGTCATCTTCGAAACAACTTTCCTTTGGATGAAATTGTTCCCAGGCCAACTCCATTTTTTTTAAATTCAGACGTTAAATTCAGTTGAAAAATTGTTAATTGTCAATTTTCAACTGAACTTCGATCGCAACTAATGACGTAAATTAACGTGAATAATACGTAGAACTGTCAGTTTGCCCAATACTCGTGAAATAATAATTCGAACTTCCGCACAGAAAGTAATAAGTTGTCGGTGATATTGATCGAAAGTCCGTAATTACAGTGATATTTTAATAACGGATAAGAACTCGAATGACCTCGCGCGCTCGGTGCACATTCCGTCAGTGGACTAGCGAACTGGTTATTTTTACTCGTTACGATAATTGTGTTTTGTTGGTGCAATCCCTTGTTCGCTGTTTGCAAATCGCCAAATTCGCCGCGATACCAGACTGTTCCACGTGCGTGGGAGTAGAAAGTACTGGGAAGGCCGCTAAAAGTGACGTGCAGTCTCAATTTCGCGAATACGTGCGAATACGTGGCAGCCTCGAGAGTCACCGCCAAGCCCCGACGACAATGGGCTCGGTGAAAACAACATCGCCAAGAGCGCGATCTTTCGCCAAAGAATTTGGAACCGAGCCATTCCCGTTCGGGCAGACGCGTAGAAATATCTCCGCTCTCTGTTGCACAAGCAATATTCGGATTTGTTTTCACGGCCAAAATGGAGCGACGCAGCGTGTCTTCGTCGAGTGCGTGACGCGGATAAAGGTTCGCTACGGAGTAACGCTCGAGCGAGCCGAACTGTTCGCGGCGGTGATTAGGGGCGGGCTTATCGCGGGTCGCTGCGCAACTCGTCGAATCGTCACGGCAGCTCATTAGCATTCTCATACGGGCTGTACGGTTGTTTCGCGGCAGCGGAATGCGCCTCGCCCGTCGCGAAGGTGTCCGCGCGGTCGCGTCGTGCCGCGGTGGCGAGCGAAAATCGACCGATAAATCTCGGCCGGCGGCGCGTGCCCCGTTGTAAAGCTCGAGCCAACTGTCGCAGGTACAGCCCGTGCCGAGCGTTCAAGAAGGAGCTGAACGAGGTGAACGACCAGGCGGGCCAGCGCGAGGTGATCGCCGAGAACCTGCAAGCCACCGTGCTGCGAGAGCTCGGCGTCCTCGTCAAGGACTTCAAGGAGGACCGCAAGAAGTATCTGCAGGAGGGCGCGCGCCTGCGCACCAGCCTCGCCACCCAGATCGGCAACCTCGAGCGCGCGCGCAAGGCCTACGAGAAGGCGTTCCGCGAGGCGGAGCGCGCCACCGAGAACTACCAGAAGGCCGACGCCGACCTCGATCTCTCGCGCGCTGAGGTATGCCTAGCTAGCCGGCCGTTGTCGCCTCCTGCGGCTTGCGCACTCGTTTATCGCGCGTCCGCGCTTGCGAATATTGCTATTGCTCTCATCGCGATGCGCTGTCCCGGTCGAGCTCGAGCGCGGGCAAGTCGAACGCTGGAAGGACGAAGAGAACGCGCGAGTCGACGACCACTTTTGCTCGTTACATGCCGATCGGCGCGGAGCGCGAGCTACGTGACCGACGAGCGAAATGAAGTGCTATTGTCGAGTCGCGTGACAGCGAAAAACAGCGTTCGACGGTGCTCGACGCGCGAGCGTGCTTCGTGTCGTTATCGAGTGACGAGGCTGCAGGCGAGGAGGAAAATCGCCGACTAAGCCCAACTCGGATAAGCTAACGCGCGATCGGTCACGTTCCAGGTGGAAAAACAAAGAATGAACATGGCGCAGAAGACGCAGCACTGCGAGGAGGCCAAGTCGGAGTACGCCAAGCAGCTGCAGACGACCAACGACATGCAGAACCTTCACTACCACACGGCCATGCCAGAAGTGTTCCAGCAATTGCAGGTGGGAAGCGCGCTCGGCTCCCGCTCGGTGGACCGCTCGGTGGACCGCTCGATCGACTAACCGACCGCGACCGTTGGATTTGGCTTTGGTTGGTTCGCAGGAACTGGACGAGAAGCGGATCAAGAACATGAAGAACTACATGCTGAAGTCGGTGGAGATCGAGCGCGCGGTCGCGCCGATCATCGCCCAGTGCCTCGACGGCGTGGAGAAGGCCGCCAGCGAGATCAACGAGAAGGAGGACACGCTGCTCGTCATCGAGCGCTACAAGAGTGGCTTCCAGCCGCCCGGCGACTTCCCGTTCGAGGACCTGTCCGTCGCCAAGCAGATGCTCGACGGCAGCAACAGCAAGCTGCCGCAGCCGACCATGCAACCCATTCACAATCACCTCACGGTCAAGGGCACCGTCTCCGGCGGCAAGATCAAGAAGCGCGTCGGCATTTTTGGTATTTTCAGTAGTAACAAGGTACGATCGTCTCGCCAAACTCCGCAGCCATTCGCACACTCGCATACATACCTCCACGGGCCTGCTTGAGTACGATGAATGACTCGACGGAGTAGAGTAGCCTCGAATAAAAAACGCCCTTTTGTTTTTTCTTGCCCGATGTCTCTATTGACCGTAGACCAAGTAGATCAAGTTTTCGCTTTCGTTTGTAGCGTTCAACGGTTTTCTTTCACGTTCGAAACACTTGACAGTCGGCCCGACAACTCTTTCCATTTATTTTTCATGTTAGTTTATTAGAATGTTGAACGTAGTCTTGCATGCAACGTTACCAAATTTGAGTTTTGTCGATCGATCTCATGATTACTACACGATTACCCAATCCAGACAATTTTAGAATTATGTTTTTTATTTATATTTAGTACGTATTTCTGCATTAATTCGCTGCATGCTTCATTAATTATTTCCTCTAATACAATTACGACGTAATCGCAACGTTCGCCTAGATAATGTATACAAAAGTAATGTTGCTTCTGAGGAGCTGATGTACTTTCGGTTACTAACCAACAAAACATCAAGTACTTGTTTGTTTCGCACACACTATACGTCTAACAAATAGTAGAACTCAATGTAGCATCTAACACGACGTAGTTGGATTAACAGCCCGTTGTAAATCATTATCGATTAATCAGTAGAAAGTAACGTACAAGTAATAGCTTATTCGAGTCGTCGAGATAACCACAACCTTCACTCTTCACCAATTTAGAATAATTTTCTAATAAAATGAGGATAACCACATTGATAATATATTGCTCTGACTTTGATTTGATTCGGTCTGCCTGTGGTCTTACTTGCTTGCAATCAACCACGTGGTGTGAATTTGGATTGTCGCCAATCCATCCTTGTAAGTATTTAGAAAGTTGCCTGACTCTCAGCTGTGTGGTTTTCAGTGTCTCTCACCAATCTGCACCTCTAGCATGCCAAGTCTTTGCAAACATCCCCTTGCCCCTGTGCATTCAAATTACTATCTCCGACAAAATTCATAATCTAATCAAATCATACGCTTGGTATTGGCGTTTTTTATCGCTCGCCTTGTCCAAGACTGCCTTTTCGCTCTAGCCGTAAGTCGTATGGTTTGATTGACTTAAAATTCAAATAATCAAATGATCCATCGATATATTGCGATGAGTCGTACGATACCTGTTAGGGTTTCATGTTAATATAATAAAACAAATTAATGTTACGAAGACAGCCTCGACTCGCTGAATGACACGCTTTTGTGATTTGTTTCATGCAAACGACAGAAGTTGATCGAGGTGTGCATAGCTTTAAAGGTCTGTTCTCAACAATATGCAACTTTTCTTATCTCTTTGTTTTCCGCGTTTTTATTTTATGGTTTGTAATCAATTCTTTCAAAATTGCTTTAGTCAACGGCTTACTAAAACGCTTGGTCTCTAGTTAAAGGACTTCTTTCGATTTTGGATGAAGAGATGATTTTTATGAATGCTTATTCTTACATCATGAGTCACCTCGGATAAAATCATCCTGCCATCCACACACTTTCGGACAATGTATTTTATTACGTAAAATACGAGCGAATTGGTTTACTAATCATTGAATCCACGACCGTTGGTTCGCTTGCTTCAATGACGATTCATGCATTTGACGCTTAGCCGCTTTTGTTTCTCATATTTAAGCTCGTTTCTCGACATTTTTTGATTTTGGCCTAGTTTTCGCGACAACAAGGTGACCTCGCGAACCCATGTTTCTCCGAACGTTTTTCCAGAACAACGTACCTGGTTACGGTGACGGCGCGAAGGAGGACTACAGTGATCTGCCACCAAATCAGCGCAAAAAGCGACTGCAGCAAAAGATCGACGAGATCCAAGCGAAAATCCAGCAAGAGACGGCGGCGCGAGACGGACTCATGAAGATGAAAGGCGTCTACGAGCAGAATCCGGCTCTCGGCGATCCAATGACCATAGAAAGCCAATTGAACCAGTCAAGTCACAAGCTCGACAAACTCGGCGCGGAATTGATCAAGTTCCAAGGCTATTTGGACGAGGCGATCAAGACGGGTGTTAGTCTATCAAGGTAAGCTCATGCACTTGCATATCGCGCACTTTAGCTATACGTGCGTGTATTACGTCTTCCGATGCGATGCAATGCGAGACGTCACTTTCGATTTTTGAATGAACTGCGATATCGTGTGTTTGCATGCAGCTAGTAGCATGAAAGCAACTCAGCCTGTCGCTGCCTAGCCAACGTTTTTATCCAATGTTTATCTTTCCAGATCTTTTTACGTACTCGTATTATTAAAAAAAAAAAACATTGCTAACTGTAATTGCTACACGACCGAAACAGGCGGTACATATAATAATGAATGTTATTGTAGTCCAAGTCAATTACAACGAAAACCGACGACGAACGGATCGGCAACAAGGCCACTGAGTTCGAGAAGATCGAGTCATTCCGGCGGCGAGGAAAGTCTTTCAAGATCTGCCTCGGATTCTAGCGTGAGCAATACCAATGCAAATCAGATGAATAACGAGAAAAAGAGCGCTCCTGGCACGCCGCAACCGTCTCACGGGTAAGGCTACGCTTGCTGCTCATTCACCTACGTTTATCGACTTTTCGTTTCAACTTTCTTTTGGCCGTTTCCAACTTTACGTTATTCAAAGATTTTTGTTCATTACTAAGAGCGATTAATTAGAACATTCCACAGATTGCCTCACTCTCAAGAGACTTAGGAACTCTAGTTCGTTATCGTTTAGTTTAGGAATTTTGTTATGATTTTTTGCTTTACAATACTCATGCACAGTTCCACGAATAGCCCGGAGTCTGGTCTCGGAACCTCAAGGACGTCGTTACCAGGCAGCGCCGGCGACGATTATTTCATCGACGAAGTTGACGCTCAACCGCCGCTCGGGACCTGCAGAGCATTGTACCCGTTCGATTGTAATTAAGAAAATAACTCGTGAATTTGTCCTTTTTCTAAACGTCGTTTCACCATTATCCGATCTGATTTTAGCTACCAGTGAAGGCTCGATACCGATGGACGACGGCGAAGAGCTTTATATGATAGAATTAGATCAGGGTGACGGATGGACCAGAGTGCGGCGAATTTCAGGGACAGTTGAAGGTTTTGTACCTACATCGTACATAGAGTGTCACCTTTACAACACATAGCCCGAAAAGTAAGCTCGTTTGCAAAATATACGACGAAGTGAACTAGAAGTCTATAAGAGATATGATGATCGTTGGAGATTATATTGTTAATTATGTTTCGACAAACGAACCTCGGATAGGCTATTTCTAGCGAGAAAGATATATCAAACAGCAACGAGAGCTTTAATCAATTTAATAGGAAAGTTTGACGAGTTTTAATGGATAAGAAGTTTATGCAGATGAAATGATGGGTTCACTATGCGAGTATGCATAGCAAGTGACAAAGTTAAGAACAAATGCATCCATTTTTTGTGATTTCGTTAATTTTAATGTTGATCATGTACTGTGCAATTGTCCTTTTCGAGTAGTTGTAAGAAAAACAATGCTAATGCAGCCATAGAATGGTCTCTTGACAGACGAACACCATAATATCATCGTATAGCAGTGTGTTCTATTTTTTTGCAATATTTTACGCGTAATTAATAATTCTAATGTCGAAAGTAATATTAATACTTCTGTATAATTGCTTCGAGAATGGGTGATATAGTAAAGAAACATTTTATCAAATGTATATCAATCAAACGTGTCGGAAGATTGAAGCATTATTCAGAAACGGCTAAGCATTAGGTACGACTTGTTATAATAACAAAGCGATCTTACATCACATGAAAAAAAGCAAAAAAGAACTTGCTGTGTAAATAGAATACTTTCGATACGATAAAGTTTGGGCCTAATCGCTCAAATGTTACTTAGAACAACATCGTCCGATTTTCAGTTTGAAAACGTGAATTAAAATAGTGTAAATACATTATGTCAGCATACACCATAACTAAAATAAAAATGTAAGCATGAGATGTCAGATATCGGAATGTAACGCTAATTACGAGTTCTTTAAGCCTGCGTGCAACACTTTTTTTACTTTGTTAATTTTTTGTTTTATTTCTGTTTTATTATAATTGTGACACAATTTTCTTAGAACATAGCACAATGCTAGTCAAAGCAGATAAGTGTCGAGTTTTTTTATTCATAGATTTATTTTTTTTTTATATGAGAATAAAAACATTAAAAACGGTAATTGATCCTAACATAACAATAAAGTTATGCAGGGCAAAATTGAATCATGAATGAAGTAAACATTTTTTATTTGTGAAAAATTATAATTAACGAATAGTATTTTTTTATTTTTTTGTAAAAAAAGTTTTAATATTTGTTTTGTGTATTTTATTGTCATTGACCATAAATCAAAAATTTACAAAGATGTAATATATAATTTTATGTACTGTAGGTTCGAATTACCAATACGTCTTATTACAACGATTGAGAAGATTATTGTACACTTTGTCTAAACAAGGAATTTTCTTGTCTTAATTGAATTTGTTCGTAAAAGATTCTTTCAATCGCAGTTTTTATAAGCATATTTTTCGTAAAAAAAACTCGTAATTGCGTGGGGAGTGGATATCAAACGTATTGATTCAAGACAAGATAACTAAATCACATACATGTGGAACTTGCGTATATTTAATGTATATGTACATGTAAATATATGTTATGTTCGATCGTTGAATATAGCTCTTAGCAAGCAAAACAGTTTCATTAAAAGTTAATAGTAAACAAACAAACAAAGTTTATATAAATCAATGATTTTTTCTAAAAACATATTCTACTCGTTTAAATAATTTACCATATATTAATCAACGTTGTTTTATATATATGTAAACTTAAGAGCTCCGTATTTTTCAACTTTAGATTAGGTAAAAATGTATTGATATATTTTAAGTCTTGTAATTTATTATCAATCGAAGGTGTACGCGATAGCCGGATTGAGCAGTGATCACTGCAAGTTGCAACAAGTTGTAAACAAATAAACTGTAAGATGACTCGAAAAACGTAAGATTAATGTAAGTTAACGTATAAGATAATCCATTGATTTTTAAAAAATGACTTTTGTTTTGTATATTTTGTGATTTTTTTTACTAGCGATGGCGGAAAATTTTGTAGATAGCTATCTCAACAATTTATTATTTTAATTATAATGAATTATTATTAATCAATTTATAATTAATGAAACAATATAAATCTAAAGCCAATATAACTCATCTATATACCGCAATCGAGCAAATGTAAAAGCCGCGTGACTATTATTGCCCTTCCTTGACTATTTATCTGTAAGCTTACATTAGGATAAATTCTGAAACTTTGGAAAATGACGAAATTACTTAATGCTTTAATATAACAGTCTGAAATCATGCCAATATTTTGTATTTTCTCTATTCTACATACATTTGCTAGACATATTTTCGTCATTTACAAAATTTAATGAATTGATAAAGTCGAAGTTTTTTTTTGCAGCACCTCATTTTTTTCACCGATTTTCTAATATAACTGTACAAAGCTTATTGATTAATTTCATTGTGTAAAATAAATGAAGATTGCGAAATTTATTGCAACCAAAAGAAAAATTGTATGTATTGTTGTATGCATTACCGACTACACCTTTTCTTGTATTGTAACTGAATTGAAAAATTGGAACAATCCAATCAAGTAAATAACATAGGTTTTTGGATTAGTTTGTGATAGCAATCATAAAATAATTGTATGACAGATAAATGTAGTAAATGAGAAAATAAAAAACTGCAAACTTTGTATCAGATAACAAAGTGTATGTGTGCATCGCTGTGCAAGTGTGTATGCAAAGCGCATTGCTCGGCATACATTATAACTGGTTGTGTATACGAAAAACAACGCGTTTCTGCAATTTCCAATAATCATCTTTTCAATCATTGGCATCGCGCTAACACGCTGATCTAAGCTCATTCGTTTTGAAAAAAGGTCCTCGTATCGGCAAACTTTCAATGCTTACTTACCTTGATAAGCACGGATTTCATATACAATAAAGTTATCTGAAATTAAAGTAATCTGAATTTGTTCGTAATGAATGATAAAAACGCAATGGATGAGTAGCTCATAAAGAAAAGGATTAAGAAAGAAAAAGAAAATTTAGTTTCCACAAAGTATTGTATTACGTCCAGAGGACAATTGACTAGATCGAGAATACAGTGTGATACATAACATGACGAACTCAAATTATAAGATCAATCAATTTTGCACGGATTACTTTTGAAAGACGCCGCGCATATCGACGACATCATAGATAGATCAGACGAACATTTTCTATTTAGAAAAGTCGAAGAAACGCTAATTGAAAAATAGTTAATAGATTAGTAGGACTCGCTGCAATCATGTTAAACAATTCGTTATCGAAAATGTTTCTTCGAATTCTCAATGTTGAATTCTCGAAATAGCGCTACACACTGACTTTTTGCCTCGACGAGATCTTCATGACGTCAATATCTCTTCATGATTATATATTTACGTTTTCAACTTGAACAGCCGGTCGGCTGCAAAGGCACCGATGGTTGATTGTCTGTACAAAGGGTCGCAATACAATTTATTGGCAGTCGTATTATTTCACGAAACATTGCTATTTTGCGAAACAACAAGTCTCGCGTAATAAAAAAGACAAATATTAACTTACATCTATATATCTACCATTTGTATTTTGCATTTACTATGTTAGATAAAACTCATTTGTTTCATGGGGTAAACCACGATGTTAATTTAAAAAAATATTTTTCAACAAGTTAGACAATGATAGGCGAAAATGAATCGAGAAATTTTAGTTAAAGAAATCGATTGAAAAATAGTTACTTTCTTTACTCGCGTCTTCATTACAATACTGAAGAAGCGTAAAATATTGAAACAGTAAATTTAGTTTGTCCTAATTTCAAGTAAGAAAAATGTATGCAAAGTATTGCGCCCGAAAATCGGGCGAATGAACATTTTAAACGTGCAAATATAAAGAAGATTAATCACAGTTAAAGTTAACATTAATTTTGCTTGGTTTTTTATTCTTTCGTCGTGGTTGATTATGAGCCGCAGTCCCTATAGTTAAGTACAAAGGTACCTTGTGGTGTAAATATTAAAAAATTGAGGGTGCGATAACGAAGCAATCCGATTCTAACGTATTTCTACGAACTCAATCGCATCTGCTTAAAAGAAAGCGTGCAATGAAGAAATACGGATTTTGAAAAAAAACTTTCGAAAATATAATCTAAATCGAATATTTACAGCGTGAAATTAATTTGTACAAGTTTTTATACAGGCGAGTAGCATATTTTACAAACACAAACGATAAGTAATCTCGTCACTCACTTCGCATTGAAAATAACGTAAACTGTGCACTCATCACACTCGTAACCGACTCGTAATTTGTTCAAGCTCATCGATTTCTTATCGAGCAGCCGTATTCGCTGAAATACGCGGCGAACAACGCAATGTCTGAATAATTACAAGGGAAATCAAAGAACGAGTGATATATGTATATATATATATATAATAGAAGTAGTTTGGACGTAGTAGAATTTTACTCGACGATGCATTATCGCACTCGCGTCGAACGAATTTCTCTTTCAGCTGGAGATGTAACGAGTCTGGAGTATTTTCGCAAACGCTTTCCATTAAAATATTCCATCTGGCTTTCTTTTCCTAAATAATTGCCGTAGACGATGAACATCTTGGGGGGGACGATCGCTTTGAAGAAAATGCCATTTATGCGAAACAGGCCGAACGAGTTTGAAGGCGCACAACTAATCGACTGGAAACGGGAGCATTCGAATAATGGGATGCAAAGCGGACGAGAGCCGACGGAATTAGCGATTATCGTTGAGTATAAAGCATGCACCACCGAGTAAATGCTATTGTCAATTTGAATAGAGCCGAATGCGAAAATCCTGCGGTACTCGGCAACGAAAGATCATCGTGATCGCAAGAGCGTATCAGTCGCGACGCTGTACAGTGATCGCACGTGCTCGGCGCGAACGGAGATTAATCAATGGACGCACGCGTTGCGAGCGCGACTGCACAGAAGGCGAGCACGATCAAGGAGAGACGAGCGGGGAAGACGAGCGCGCTATGCCGGTCTCGGCGAGGCCTCCTCAGTCACTCAGGTCCTCCCACTCTTCGCGCTGCCGCGGCGAGACCTCGACCGTCAACCGGATGATCTGCAGGCGCAGCAGGCTCTCGTGCGTCCTCGGCGGCAGGGGGTTGTCCTTCAGGTCCAGCAGCTCCAGCACCGGCGCGTGCCTCAGTAGCTCCACGTCCACTTCTGCAACATCGGCGAGGCGGGTGAGAGACCGCGGACCGAGAGAGCCGTGGCGAGGCTTACCGATGATGGAGTTGTTGCTGGCCAGCAGGCGCTTGAGCCGCGGCATCCGGCAGCAGACGCTTGGCAAGGCGATGAAGGTGTTGTGCGAGATGTCCAGCCTCTCGAGCTCCTGCAGCTCGGACAGCTCCTCGGGCAGCTTGCCCATTTGGTTGTGGCTGAGGTTCAACTCTGCGGCGACAAGACGGGGCGCGTTAAGCTACGCGGTCTCTGGCGGCGCGAGGGCGCGCGCGCGCGCGCACGTGCTTACCGCTGATGAGCGAGAACTTGACGGCGAACTTGGGCGGGATCTTGGTGATGACGTTGCCCGACAGGTCGCAACTCTTGAGCTCGGTGTGTCGCATGAGGTGGTAGACGGCATCCGGCACCTGCATCAGCTGGCACTCTGACAGATCTGCGGACAATGGGACGAGGCGTTGAGCGCGCGGCCTCTCGGCTATTTTCGACCGTTCGAACGCCCGCCGGTGAAATTCAGCGAGGCCGCGAGCGTGACGCTCTCGTTTTCGCCGACGCCGCGGCGAGCAGGAGGCGCGAGCGCGAGTCGCTTTCACCGCGCCGGCGCCTCCGCCGTTGCGTGCGCGCGAACGCGGAGCCCGTCGAGCAGCCCCCTTCCGGGTGCACTGACTCGGCGCTCGGTCCGTTCGCGCGCGCCCCCGGCTCGCCTCCGGCCGTCGGCGCACCGCGCGCCAGCCGCGTGCCGACGCGCCTTCGTCCGCGCGCTCGGGAGTCGGCGTTATAAATGGACCGCGGGCCGGCGCCGGCGGCTCTCGAGTTACCTACGCGGACTGGCCGATTACCGAGCGCGCGGCTCTCCTGGGCCTCCTCGCAGCGCAGCACGACCCTCGCGACGGCGTTCGCCATGTTGGCTCGGCACCGACTGGCGCGCTGCCGGCCGCGCGGCGCGCGCGCGCGCCTCTCCCGGGCGCCTCGAAAATGACGACGCGCCGGCCAGGGCCGGCCGTGCGCTGGACGACGCGCTTCCGCCTCTCGAGCCGACTGGCGCTCGCTCGCCGGGGAAAGCGCCGCTTGCGTAAGCCGTTGCAGCGCGGCGCGCGCGTGCAGTCGCGGCCGATCGACGAGCGCGCGGCCCGCGCTAATTGGCCGCTCTCTCGTTTGCGCTCGCGAGCTGGCTTCCGCGAACGGGCGGCCGGCACGGCCCGGCGAGCTCGAGGGCGCGACGCGCTCCCGACTCTTCGGACGCGCCCGTTGGAACCGACCGCCGAGGCCGTCGGCCGTGCCCGTGAATGCAGGTCGGGCGTTCGGCCTTGGGGCGCCGGGTATGGCCGGCGCGAGGCTCGCGGAAGTGCATTGTTTTGGTTTTTCGGGCGAAGCGGCCGGGCGCTATTTTCGGCGCGCGCCGCTTATCGCTGCCATCGTCCGCGATCCCCGATTGGGCCGCGCGCGCAACGTTAATCAACGTGCGCGCCAGTCGGTCGGCGCGAGCGATCGATCATCCGGCCGCGAGCAATGCGACGCGCAGCTCTGCCAAGCCCCCACGGCGGCGCGGACCGAGGGCAGCCACGCACCTGTTGCGCGCGCTCGCCCATCGCCCGCGGGCCGCGTCTGGTCCGGGTCGTTCTCTGCCGTGGAGCGGAGACGCGGTCGGGCGCACTGGCACTCACCGAGCTGGCAGTTGTCCTGGGCCTCCTCGCACCTGGACACCACGCGGATGATGGCTCGGCCGGCGAGCTGCACGCACACGGCCATGGCGACGTTGCGCTCGCCCTGCTCCTGCGTCACCTGCGTCACCTGCTCGCCATCGTACGACGTCGGGGGCTTCATCCTGCGCTCGGCACTTTTCGCGCGCGGACCGCGTCTCGCTATCGGCTCGGCTGTCCCTTTGCACTGGTGCTGCACCCGGTCGATCGCAGTCGCGGCTCCTTCTGCGGCCTCGATCTGGGCTTCGGTCGCGGATCCAAGTGGCTCGCGGTGCCGAGGGAGTCTCGCTTCTCGAACTCGCGCGCTCGAGTGCAAGCAACGAACGTCGTCGCCCGTTACTGATATGCTCGCTCGCAGACCGCCGCTATTTAAGCCCTCGCGCTCCCACCAGATCAGCTGACTCCTTCTCTCCTCCTCGAGCCGCCGCCGCCACCGCTGCCGCCGCTTTGTCTGTTTGACAACAAAACAGTCGATCGCTCGCCACGTGCTCCGGACAACCTGCCAGCCGCGAGATCGCCAAGTCGCGTAGCTTTGTGCGGATTGGCGATCGATGAACCGCTTCCCCGTGTCCCCTTCCTCTCTCGTTCTTCTTCTTCCGATCGCGACGGGCGTTTCGAGGATTGCCGAGCTTGCGTCTCGCGCGTTTCCTTGTCGAGTCTCTCTGTGGCTGCCGATCGGCAATGTCGCTGCGCCATATCAAGGAAGAATCAACGCCCTGTCCGATTCGCGACGCGACGATCGAATTGCGTTGTTCGCTCGCGCAGCGTGTAGTGCTTGTCGCCAGTTGAACCTTTGTTCCGTGGCGTGGCGTCGTTCTCATTGTGCTTGCGATCGCGACGAATGTGCCAAAGACGCGAGCCGGTTGACGTGCGCGCGACGATGACTCGAAGCGACGACGGGCTCTCGAGCTCGGCAACTTGCCCGGTGTTGAGCGCGCGGAGCGGAGGCTCTGGCGTTTCTTCGAGCGCGCCGTCGGCACTCGCTTCTCTCTCTCTCTCTCTCTCTCTCTCTCTCTCTCTCTCTCTCTCTCTCTCTCTCTCTCTCTCTCTCTCTCTCTCTCTCTCGGCTCCGAATTTTCCACGCGCCGTTCGGCCGACGACGCTGACGACTCGTTCAAAAAGCTCGTTCCTCGGGCTGCCGCGTTAGCGCGTTGCGTTCGTTATAAAAGCCATTTGTTTCGGCACGAAGGGCCTATTTATGGCTCCGTCAGTCGCTAATCAAGACGCACTTTGGTCGCAGCTCGACAAACATGCCGACGACTCGCGATGGAAACGACCGAGAGTGGCAGTCGGCGACGGCAAGATAGCGCAATTGCACTAGATTTGGCAAAGCGACGGGGTGCAACGTGGCGTCGAGGCAGAGCCACGTGCACCGCGGTTGAGTCGTGCGCAAAGATGCTGAAGGCTTTTGCCAAAAGCTCTTTCTCTCTCGATCTCTCTCCTCTCTGCGTTCGGGACAAAGAGCGAGGAAGCTTGGCTCGGCTCGCTCCTCGAGCATGCGAACTCTTGGGAATATTCCCAAGCCTCTGTGCTTTTGACCAGCGCGAGCTTGCGGCAGAGCTCTCTCTCTCTCTCTCTCTCTCTCTCCGTCGATTGGTACGCTCGTAGAACTGTCCTTGGTCGTGGACCGGCGCCAAGGACGCGCGCGTGCGCGCGATTATTAACCGAGGACGAAAGCGGCCGAAATGCGTCGCGGGTGACGGGACGCGCGATCGGACGAGGAAGCGACGGACAAGCGGCCGGAGCGGAAGCGCGAGGGCCCTGCAAGGGGGATCAGTGCTCTGTTTACGATAGAGGGGCTCGCCGCTGTGCGCTTTGGCTAGCGTCCAGCGGATACTGCGCGCGTGCGATTTCGCGCGCCCGAAATAGGCGCCGCTTTATTTGACTTTCCGCGGCTTTATTTTTTCTCGTCTCCTTTCCCGCGCCCAGAGTTCATTCGTCTTCTTCGACTGCCCTCTTTTCCGCGCGCGCTCCTTTGTTCGACCGCGCGCCGCGAGGTGAGCGCCTCGCGATCGGGTCGTCCGTCGCCGGCCGATCGCGCGCTCGGGCGCTGTAGGTCGTTGTACCAAGGCGGCCGCGGCTCGCGCGCACCGGGGCCGGTTATTTTTATCGAGCTCTCGCGGAGAGGCTCGAGCTCGCACGGCTGACCGGGCGGGCGCTCGTCCGCCGCCTGGCTGCGAAGCGCGGCGGCGAGCGCGCTCGGGCGCGTTCTCACGCGAGTCTCAACGCGGAGGAAAACGCACTCTCGCCGCGGATGGGCGGCAAAAAATCGCAGCCGCCGCGAAATCGGCCCGGCTTGCGTGCGCGGTCGCGGCTGACGCGCGCTTCCGGCTTCTCTCGCGTGGCCGGCCTTGGCTCTCGCGGGGCCGCGATTCGCGCGTTAACGTCCGTTGTCCCCTTTGTCTCGCCGCTCGTCGCGCCGCGGATTCGGCCGAGCGCCCCGATAAGACGGCTCGCTATTTTCGCGCGCGCGCCGGCCGCTGTGGCGATTAGGCGCGCGGCTCTATTTTTATTTCGCGCGATTTCCATAGTGCCGCTCGCCTCCGAAAATACTTGGCGCTCGTTCGCCGGCCCGATTTCTTTGGATCGAACGCGCGCTCGCCTTCCTTTCTTTCTTTTCGTTTGTTGGCGCGCCGCGCGCTTCCGACTCATTCGATTTCTGCAACCTTCGGGCTCGAGCGTATTTCGCGCACGTGTGTGGACTTTCCGCGCGTCGAGCGACGCACGCGAACCAAAATATCCGGGGATAATGACTAGACGACACTGCTCTTTTCCTCTCTTGTTCTTTTTTTCCTTCCTTTATTCTTTCCTCCTTCGGCTTTCTTCGCCTTGCCTCTTCTCGTACATCAAAAATAATTATAAAATCTCTTGTGTGCTTGAAAATAAGCCTCGGACTCGTGAAAAATAATGCAAGCTCCTCTCTCGAATATCACCTTTTTCCGATCCAACTACACTCTGTATAAAACCTATTTCATTTGATTGCGGACTACACTCTACAACAATCGTAATTTGTCTTTCTGGTGTTCGATGTGATGTCTTGCAACACAACGCACTTTATAATGTACACGTCCAAAGAAACTTGCTTATAAAAAATAATACAACCGACAGATCACTCTTTTCGATACACTTAGTATTCATTCGTTTCGCGTACTTTGAAATATATGTTTATCTTTTGACAATTTAACATTTCTAATACACGTACATGTAAGATATGTATATGTACATACTTCAAAATATTCACAAGAAAACATACCTCACGTGAGTAGTATCATGTGTATGAGCTCTGAAGTACGTACAACACTCATAAGTCAGTCGAAAATCACATTTTTCGTTGCCAATCTAACTATATGATTATTTATTCGGAACGTCGTTGAAGTGAATGCGTAACACAGTTCCAAGACGATCAACCCTTCTGCAAACGTAGACGGCCATGGCGGTGTGTGCATTACGTGTAACAACAGCAGTCAAAAGTAGTGCTATCGTCCAAGTGCGGAAATTCGCGCCCGACGCAACATTTTGCACTTAAATAAGAAGAATATACTTATTAATAACATTGTAAACATGATTGTTATCGTTAATCTTTATAATTGAAATTTGAAAGATCTTGGAATATACGCCTTTGACGCTATTATTTTAACAACGCCTTGGTAAACATACGTAAATTGGAATGTGTTATCACGTGCATACACGTTATTCGTGAATTGATGTCTCTCGAATCACAATAAATTCGATAATTTTTATTGGAAGTCATATCAAATGACAAACGTATGCTAAAAATCAGTAGGTGGATGGCTACATCTATAAATAGCATTCGAAAAGAAGAAAAGAAATTGCTGTACACAATGGTCAATAAAACTTACTAATACTGGAACTCACACTAAAATAAATACACGAATACTGCGCATTTGCAGCTTATTTTTTTCGGAGTATGTATATATAATCATGAATAATGTGTAAAGCACTTGTAAAGTTGTTTGTTGAATCTTTAAACGGCCTCTAAGACGCATAAATATTGAAATACCAACTGCGATAATTTCTCTACAAATATTTCTCTAACTATTTATACGTATATTATATGAGATATTTGAGTCTTAGCATTTGGTGTTCTTTGATTAATGAAGGTACGATACATACATGTATAATCTGCCAATCTAGCAGAGCTTCCCTAAGCGCTCAACTGGCGCATGTGAGGGTTTGTTTAATCGATCATTGTGCCCTAATAGAAGCGGAGTATTGATATTTGCGTGCTCGAATGAAAGTTACATCGTATATGTAAATATTCGTACGTATTTTAATCTCGCGCGGGAAGAAATTGACTGATGTAGCAGAAAAAATCTGGCACTGCGTATATAGAAAAAATATGTACAGCTACGCGAGCGCGCGCGTGCACGCGCGTGTGTGTGCGTGCGTATGTGCGTGTGCGTGTGTGTGGATTCAGCGAGCCGGGTTAGGCCGATCGAGCAGTTCCTGGGCGTGCTGCAGTGCCGTACAGTAATGCAGCAGCAGCACGCTCAAAGCTTGCACCCTCGCGTCGCACTGGTTCATCTGCTTGGTGCTTTCCACGTCCAGCTGCGGCAGCAGTTCACGACGCAAATTCGTTTCCGTGTCCAGTGACGCTTTCAGTTTCGTTATCTGCAATGAACCATAGTCTCAGACACCTCGCGACTCGAGCGAATGCATTGGGGGAAACGACTTGCGAGTCACGGTCGATTACCATGGAATTGATTTTGTCGATGCGCTCCTGCGGCTCCAATTCTTTGTACAGAAGCTTGCCGGTGTCCTTGGCTCTGGACATAAGGCCGTCGTCGAAGTCACCAGCGAGAAGAGACGACGCGACGCTTTGTTCCACGCCTTCGAGTAATTCCGGACTAATGGCCAAATGACCGCCGGCTGCGCTGCTGCTTGTACCGTTGTTGCTGGCGCCGACGAGCGAGCTCTAGAGTTTGTAGTTGCCAATGATCAGCACACCTCACGCAAGGGCTTCTCGTCAAAAGCCGCTGGGCTCATGCATCATTCGTTCTCTCGCTTTGTTTCAAATTACTTGGAAAAAATTCTCACAGCAAAAGAAGCAGAGAAAAAGAGAGAAAGAGATAGAGTGAGAAACAGGCCGATCCAGCAAAAAAAATTTTCGCTTCTTTTTTGGTATGTTTTTTTCTTTTTTTGTTTTGTTTTTTTTTTTTGTTTTAGCGCTGGTATATAAGAAAAATATTACGTAAAGCGTTAATCATAGAAGCTGCGATTTATACGTTCAAAGCGAAGTTTTTGAGCTTTGAGAAATCGTCTTATTGACGCGACGATGGTGGTGGTTAATGATGGTGTCGATGATGACGGTGGTGAATGATTATTCCGATGGACAAGTGATATGATACAAGCATGATTACATCCATACCACACAATACTGGCAATGACAATTTGGTGGCGAGTTAAGTTCGTTATGAGGAATATATGTTATAATGGCTTAGGTGCGGTGGAAGTGTTATATGCAAAATCACTCGCCAAAGCTATTTCCAAGCTATTCCCATTGGATATTCGACTGCAATATTTAGTACATGTTCTAGTATATACTATAATAGTAAATGCTAATAAAAATTGGAAGGATTTTTATGAGCAGACTAATAATAAGTACCTTACTGCGCTATGATGGACGAAAAGCAGACGCAACGCCAGTATGTGATAGAGGAGATTATGTGCAAGAAGCAGATTATATAGACTATAAAATACAGCCAGATGTGTGACGATACCAAGCGGACTTTAAGGACGATCCTTCGAAAAGAAGCACAACGGAAATAATACATCAATTACATATGAGATCAAGAATGACAATTAAGCGAATCAATAGTAAACTTGTAGCAGTAAAAAAAACTATCCACGCGAGCTTTGTAACGGAACGACAGGGAGAGGAAACGCCAAGATCCGCTACGTCGTTGATTCGATTGTCGAGCCGAGTGCTAATTGCCAGGTGCTAGAACCAAGGAAGGTTTAAGGTTAGGGGGTGGGGTAGCCAAAGAAACCAAATTTATATACAGCTGTTTAGCGCGCTACCTTGCTTTACGCGTACGCGGCTCAGGTGTTGGCGCATTAAAAATATATCGCCGATTATCACGAGAAAAATCACCTTTATTGTCAATTACATACACCAAAGAGATCTAGCTGTTATTTCGCGTCAAGTCCGTCGGTCTTAACAGGTGTACATCGTGTTCTTTTTTATTGTCTTTCCTCCCCTTAACCACGAAAACACAAAGAGCAAGGAAGGGCAAAGAAAAGGAACAAACGTGAAAAGGTGAATGGGGTCGGTCGTCGGCGCGCAGAAAGAGAGAGAGAGAGAGAGAGAGAGAGAGAAAGAGAGAGAGAGAGAAAGAGAGAGTCGACATCACAGGGAAAGACAAGAATAGTTAGAAAGTAAAAGTGAAAGAGGGATGCATAAGAAAGTACATATAATAAGAGAATAAAGTAAGATAGCGTTGGTCGAGGGGGGTACATGTCAGCAAGGAAGTCTAGAGAGAATCGAAGTAATCGTCACGGAATCTTGGCTGCTTTCTCTTGGCAGAAAGAAGTGGCGGGTCTACCTTGCGGGATGCGCAGGGACTTGGGGGTAGGCTTCTCGATGCGAGACCCTGGCCGGCACTTGGTGGGGCCAGGCAACTCGTACTGCCAGCCTTCTTCAGGCCCAGGAGCGTGTTCGCTATGCTCGCCTTCACCCCCATCATACTCGCCCCCTAGGCCACCAAATCAGTTCATCATACTTCAGTTAATCGCATCTCGCAACTGCAATAACCCGATCAATACTAATGATAGTCAAAGTGCTCGATCGCTTCCGTGTGTTCGCGCGAGTGAGTGTTTAGTTCGTGGAGGATACAGAGAGGTGCTGACGCTGCTTCTATTTTTTAGCTTGCCAAAGAAACCTTCACCCTTGCTTTCAGTAACTGTTTACATTGCTTTTTTATTGTCTCAACAATATATTAGTAAATCATGCTTTAGTTAACAATTTCTTCTGTTTCTTTTTTTTTATATACAGCAGTTTTATTATTATATAATACGACGATAGTCCTTCGGTCACTTCGGAGATGCGGGACCAAGCAAATTCTGTCCCACGATCTGCACACGAAAATATATATCTATCTATCTAAATTCAGTTGTGTATGTGTGTGTGTATTCTGTTATATATACCTTGATCAGCGACTAAAGTATAAGCATCATATGTCATAGTATCATAAGAATCATCTCAGTTTGAACTCACGCATGATCAAACTTGACTAGCTAACTAATCAAAGTACAAGAACAAGCCAATGAACAAAAATGTTATAAAATATATAGAAACGTTGCAAAAGGCAACGACGAAATTGACTAGTATCCTGATAGCGCTTAACATCACTATCGCGATTATCCATATCATTCGCGAATAAAATGCAAAATCAAATACTGTGTAAGTACTGTCACAACTCCAAAAAATGTGACTATGTAGCAGGTACTTCTATTTAACTTGATCACCGACTGGATTCCGAGGATATGCGTGTTTGGCTGTATTATTCGTAAATATACGAGTAGAGAGTTCGTAGAAAAAGTAATAATTTATAACAATGGAACTCGAGCGAAAGAGCGCGAGAAAGAGATGTAAGCGTATCGATCGACAATCGCAGGTTTACGACCAGCATAGAGCTAGTAAGTGCCCAGTACCTGAACATTCTCTTCGCAACTCGTGAGTGATATTTCGGGCCCCGACTCGATCCCCATGATGCTGGTCTCGGCCTCATCGGCCTCGAACGCCATCGTCGCTACGCTCTCCGCATCGCAGGCGCCCGACGCTTGACATCTCGCCTCGCACTTCTTATGGCACACCATCCCGCAGTCTCGACATTGCACCGCGTCTTTTAACCAGATCTGACAACACAACAAAAGCAAATTAACATCGTGCAATATTTTTTTATTATTAAAAATTACTCATCCTTCTACTTCGTTCACCTTTTTTGTGCAAAAGTCGCAGTGGGTAGCTCTGTGGAAATGGGTTCTAATGAAGTCGTGCGGCTTCTTGTTAATTATGTCTTCGAACATGACAGGCTGTATCTTGACAGTTTCCTCGACACCTTTTTTACTACTGCCATCGGACTGCTGCTGGGGCTGTTGCTGCTGCGCTTGGTTTGGACGGCTTGACACCCACACATAGGATAATAACACATCGCCGTAGCACAACGACGGGTCAAATCCAGAGTAACCGTGTAGTTTGAAGTTAGATAAAGCTGGGGATGCTGTCGGGAAGAGCGAAATTAGCAAATCAGTCGTTCAAATAACGCTAAATAACAAGTGTCTTTCTCAAACTACCGGAATCAGGAGGCAGCAAAGCATGACATTTCAGGTAATGGCCAGTCGAAGACGTAGAACACTGAGATAAAATCAATTTTATGGGAGCGTTAATATATCCTACTAGTTTTGGCTGACTCTCGCGACCCTTGAGCTTAGCCCAGACTCCGATGTTCAAGTACTGCAGTTCCGAGTCAATCTGGAAGCTCTTTTTCTCATCGAAGGAGATCAGCGACGCGTAGCTCTTATCCTTAATCGTGTAATACAAGTCGGTCATGCTTGGGGTACTGGCTTCGTTGATGCTCATTGAGTGAGCGCTTGTCAAAGTGCTAGACGAGTTCGACGAGATCGTTGAGATTCTTCTGGAGGGAGTTTCCGGGGCTTGCGACGACTCTTCCATGTTATTAGTCACGTGAAGATGAGCAGCTGACACTTGGACGCTACTTTTTCTTCTCTTGAATAATTTGCTACCAGTGTCGTTCCTCTCGGACGCGTCGCTATCGAAGTCTCTCAGATCCGAAAACTTGATTGACTTGAAACTGTCGTCAACGGTGAGCGTATCGCTTTTGGCTGAAGACTCGCTCTTAGAGGACTTTTTGGCACTTGCTCTTTCGGACGAAGTGCGTTCCAGGTCCGGCTTGTACAAGCTGCTTCTTTCCCAATCGGAGCTCGAGTACTTGCGCTCCACGCGAATGATGAATCGCCTCTGGGCAGCACTCTTCACCAGCTTCGCCACCTGATTCATGTTAGTAACTTTTTTACCGTTCACCGCCACAATCACGTCGCCCTTCTTCATCTCGGCAATCGCGGCTGGACTGCCCGCAACTATCGTCTCGACGAGCACACACTGCTGACCTATCTCGTTAATATTCTCCTGCTTGAACATGACCCCGAGCTGCTGCGAGCTAACTTTGCTGATGATCAAATCTAAAACCATGTAGGGAACGCCACTGTACTGCGTGAGGCACACCCAGGGCGTTGCGTCTACGCTAATTGTACAATATATCTCAATTTGAGATGGTTTTTCGGCATTGATCAAATATGGATCAATATTTATACGGCTAAGTTCTATCAAAGTAACATCCAAAACTCCTGGGGTCATTTGTGGCCCTGCGACCTGTTAATAAATCGTTATTTTAGTCAACATCTTTTCGATCGTCCACGCTTATAACTGAACTTACGTCTGATAAATCAATGTCCTCGTCATTAAGTCTACGGAAGAAAGGCTTGTAACGCATTTTGTAACGAGGTAGAGTGTGTTTTCGACGAACTGCTCTACGGATTTGACCAGTTATCAGTGATATTATTTGCGGCTGCAGTTGACGACCTTGAAAGTGTGATTGAACGTCTAATTCTAATATTGGTTCTGTATAAAAACTTAGAGACCAATGAGTGTATGGAACTCGTGTAAACTCAAGTCTTGCTTTGCCAGTTAATCTTTTCACTGTTATTTAAAAGTATTAAATTAACAATCATATCTTTTATAAAAATATTATTCTTTATTATTTTTATAACATCAGTTACCTTGAAGTGATAAATAAGCAGTTTTACCTAACAACATTTTCACATCTATTGACATTTGGAAGTTTCCTGAATAATGCAAATCTAAACAAAGATCTAAAGTTTCTAGTAAACCAGTATCTGCGCATATTTTAGCATCAGCTACATCTAAACTTTTGATTGTGGGAAAATGGTTGCCCAAGTTTAAGTCTCGTAACTAAAAAATGATCAAAATTTAGTAAATTTATTTTCTACAAACACAGATAATACTTAGATTACATACCTGCACACTGTCAAACAATTTCCCTGTAGTTGATTGATTGAGGAGTTCTTTGAACTCATTATTCAATTTACGATAAAGCCAAAGACGTACTCGTTCTGCATTTCTCAGTTCATTGAAAAGGAATTGTAAAGTTAAATTGATTGCTAAATTTTCATTCCCTTGTGATAAATTTTGGCGATTGCTAACTGAAAAATTCAATATTTCTTGCTCTATTCGATTAACTAACTCATCAGGTAACTGTGCTGTTCCAGGTGGCATGGGCTGCTTTGGTGGACTTGTCTCTGGCCCAGTTTCGAGATATTTTTTGAAAATATAAAATTCCAGTAATAGTGTACATATTACTCCATAAAGAAATGCAACCACAGCCAACAAGATAATATCAAATATGCCCATACTAGTGTTTAACTAGTACGACTAAGATTCTATCCAACAATCTTCTGAAAAGTATAATCAAAATTATTAATGTTTCATTTTATTGTCTACTAATGATAATTGTAAAGTTTCAAACAATTGTAATACTTGTACGAGACAAAACTTACATTTGCAAGTGGAAATAGACATTGAAGAATGACATCAAACTAGGAACTCTTTGAAATCCTGGGAGAATGAGTATAATTAGCAAGAACTTGTCGTGTCATGCTGCGCGTCGCTTTCATAATAGTTTCATATCGTTTAATCTCTATGTCGACAATGTACTTTATAACTGTACTTTGGTTTTGCTGTTCTTTAACGGCGTTTATAATCACAAAATCGATGTGACACTGCTCCTAAGGCAAACCGCCAAATATACCAGTTTTTTCCATTATGTTGCACATCAATTTAGACATTAGCAGAAGGCAAAAAGGTATATGGACGAGTGATAAAGAACGGTCAAATTATTCTGACGTACTTTATATCTTGACATTTCTTTATCGATCTTGACGGCCATGTTGACAGAGCATGTCGTCGATATTCAGCATACGATTTTAAATCAGGATCATCTGAGAAAAAGCTGACCAGAAATGTTATACTATGAGTTATGACAGACACACGCTTCGGGATGACTCATACAAAGTGGTTTATTTATTTACTTCGTTCAGAGGCTCGAAAATAGCGAAACAGTTATCAGCTGATTTTGACAGGTACGCACCTTCAGGCTTTTTATTGTAGCCAGTCAGACTTTATGCTTGCTTCTGCCGACCTGGCATGTGCGCAAACTCCGAAAATATTATTCAAAATATATATAGTAAAAATATATGTATGTATGTATATACGAAAATGAAATAATTTGTGCAACTTAATCAATTAATTTTGTAATACATTTTCCTTACTGAAAAAGAGAATGAGAAGTTAAACCTCTATTGATATTTTAATATTTGTATTAATCGGTTGAATATAAAGGTTATGGCATGTGATTGACTTGCTGATATGACGTAATGATTTGGTGCAAGAATTTGAAATTGATTATGTGGTTTATACAATTTAACAAGTGTTCAGCACGCGCAGCGCGTACAGTGACTACAAGTTAATGGAAAACGAGATAACTCGTAATAAGATTGAAAATTATTCATTTACGAGATTTCATTCAATTTATAAATAATGTAATATTATATTTGATAAATTAATATCTACATTAAATTATGTTTAAAATTCTTGGTAAAATTATGAATTTGTATGTATTTAATCAAATTTTACCTTTTTTAAATGTCTTAAATAATAAGATTCATTTGAGATTATGCTAATATTTACAAATGCAGAAAGAAAGAGAGAAAAAGAGTAAGTGATAGAGAGAGAAAGAAAGAGTGAATGCGAGCTGCGAACAATAGAGCGGACGGCGGCAGTAACTCGGAGCTTCGGTTTAACACAAAAAAGTTGCTATTCTACTGTGTTTAAATTAATGTGATTATTACACAGTAAAACCGATTATTCATTAGTAAATCCTTATTTAAAAAAGAACCATTAACTAAAATTAAATTCTTATCATATTTTATATTTTCTTTATAAAAATATTAAAAGATAACATAACCTTGTAAAGAAACTAATGTTATATTGAAACGATCCTGTTAGATTGATTGGTAGTTATAATAATTTTTATTAATAAATCATTTATATGAAATGCTTTTTACTGTTTAGCTCATGTGCGTTTTGTATATAACTGCAATAACTTGGATAAATTGATGGTTAAGTCATGGCTGCATTAATGAAAAAGAGAGTATTAGCTGAGTTCACTCAGAGTCAAGTAAGTGTAGAAAATTATACTATAATGAAAATGTTTTGTTTTAATAAAATCTTTAAGTATTGATTTGATGTTCAATTATAGACAATAACCGAGCCACCTACAAAACGACTCAAAACACTCAAGCTCTTGGCTTCTAATTCAGGAAAAAATGGTTCCACTAACAAAGGAGGCTCAGCATTAGCATATGTTGAATGCTTAGAAAAATGTAAAGGTGGCAATGATGCTCTACAATTGTTGGTTCGCATATCAGATACCATTGGTCAAATGGCTTTGGAAGATATCCCAACAGTAGTTAAGAAGTTGGCTGAAAGATTTGCGATTGAACAAGAGGCAGCAGTCAGAGCTAAAATTCTTTGGATCTTTGCTGAACTAGGTGAAATAGCTCCTGATTCTATGGAAAAAACAAAAATTGTTAATGAAACAGCAAATCTTTTGAAAAATGAAGAGTCACATAGAGTAAAAAGTCAAGGACTTGCAAGTCTTTTAAAATTGGGAGATTATAACAGGTAAAGCCAAATTAAACTTTTTTATTAATGGAGGGAGAGAGAGAGAAAATATTTTAATAATTAAGATTAATTTTTAACTTATAGGACTCTAGTTTTAAAAATTGCTAGAGATCATTTATCAGATACGTGGCATGGTGTACAAACAAGGTGTTTATCAATAATAGGCCGTTATTTATCTGCAAGTGCAGCTGATGATAATCTAGTTTTAGTAAATAATTACTCCAAGTCTCAAGACCCCAGAGTTCGAGCTCAAGCATTTGAAACGATGGCTGAACTTCACACTCACAGAGGTTGTAGACTCCCAGCAAATTTTTTCCAAGAAGCTTGTCAATGTTTGCGAGATGACTATGAAATAGTCAGACGGGCTGTATTAAAATTAATCTGGTTATTAGGAAATGAATATCCAGAAAAGTAATTGAATTAATTTTTCAGTATTAAAAACTTTGATTTTTCGTTTCCAACTAATTGATGAATTATTTCTTTTGTAATTTAAAGTATAATATCAGGAGGTCGTGAATTTGGTGAAGATATGCGGATGGTAGATAGTGCCTTTTGTAAACTTTGTAGTCTTATGGGAGATCTTTCTCCTCGAGTAAGAGCCTCAGCCATGTCTTTACTTGGTTCATTAAAAAATGTATCTCGCAGGCATATAGAACAAGCATTAGATAAAAAGCAAATAAGAGTTGAGGATGAAGGACCAGGAGTTGAAGAAAGACCAGGCATTAATACATGTGGAGCATTTATACATGGATTAGAAGACGAATTTTTAGAAGTAAAATGATCATACTGTATTTGAAAATACTATTTTTTATGTGCTATATTTTCCAACTTTTTAGATAAGAACGGCAGCGGTAGAGTCCTTGTGTGCATTATCTCTAGAAAGACCTTCAATAGCTCATATTTCATTGGAATTTATGGTGGATATGTTTAACGACGAAATCCAAGACGTTCGCTTGAGGGCTATTGAATCTTTAAGAAAAATGTCAGCACATGTGACTTTGAGTGAAGATCAACTAGAAACCATTTTGGGAGCTCTTGAAGATTTTTCTGGAGAAGTACGAGAAGGACTTCATGCTACACTTGGTGCTAGTCGTTTAGCGACCAAAATTTGCTTGCACATGTGCGTCACTCGGTTACTCGATAATTTGAATCGTTATCCACAAGATCAAGATAGTATTTACAAGTGTTTAGCTTCTATGGGTGCATCTCATCCATACTTAACATTACCACTTGTGCCTCAATTACTGGGACAGCATCCATTCTTTGATACGCCAGAGCCAAATGTTACTTTGTTAGCATGTATCCTTTTCTGTTCATATAAATCTACGTCATATTTGTAAAAATTTTATATAATGTTTTTAGCAGTCATTGAACTATTTCTTTAACTATATCTGCCATTAGATGCAAGTGTACTTGTTTTGATATTCAATGCAGCAGCTCATTGTCCAAGTATGCATGCTCTTTTTACAAACCACACAGTAAAACATTATCACTATCTACGAGATACAATGCCACATCTAGTACCTCGGTTGAAGCCAGCAATAGTGATTAGTAGTACCGGTAAATCTGATGACAAATTCAAAGATGAAGAAGTTGAAGATGAAAATGCAAGAAAATTTTTGGATAAAATAGTTCAGTCCGCCGAACAAGCGAGACCTGGCGGCAGAGTTTATACACAACTTTTGGAGGCTGCTGCTGTAGATTTAGATAGACTGGCTGAAATGGATTTACGAATGGAAGGTGTTGCAAGATTTTCTGCATTGTATATACGTTGTATACTTTTATTAAAGTCAATCACGAGAGAATTGACGGTTTCTCCCAATGCTAATAACTCAAATTCGGGATCGACTATAACATCGAGGATCAACTTATTGCACAGAAATGCTCAAAAGTAAGATAATTATTTCATGTACTTTATTTTATCTACAAATGATAAAACTTACACCTTACAGGCTGCTCCGACTATTTATTGGACTTGGAGAATATGATACAGCATTAGCCACAGACGTTTGGCTAAAAGCTTTAGCTTTGGATTTAGTTCGTGCTGCCAATAATGAACCTACTAATGCTTTGACATTGGCACGATATTTTCTTAACGAGACTGATTCTTTACCAGAAGATGCTACGAAACTGCCACCATTTTCAAAGGCTTTAGTGCTTCAGTTGCCTGCGCTTGGCGAAGCAAAACCGGTAACTCTAGTGAAACTGCTTTTGCCTTTACTCGTGAATCCACCATTGAAAGGAGAAGAAAAGCTCCCAAGGCCACCACAATCTACTAAGTTCTGTCGAGCTATAATTGAAGATCCGGTTAGTGATTCTGACAATCTATACAAATTCACTGGTGGACTAATCTTGGGTAAATGCGTTTTTTATTGCATAATAATATATCGATTAAATTTAATTTCAATTTTGTTATTGAAATCAATGTTTTTATCCATTTAGGTATACCCCTAACAGCAAAGATACTAAATCTTCGAGATCCAGATGCCGTTAGGATTAAATTACGGCATCCCGATCAAAAAGTGCAGCTTTTGCTACCGCGCAAGTCCGATTTGAAACTTCAAAATAACGATATCAATAACACGAATGACTACAGGTTAAGGACTACAGTTTTATTGTCTCATCAAGTGTGGATGGAAGCCTGCTCTGTAGATATATCTATAGCGTTGCTCGTACCTTCGGCTATGCCTTGTTCACATCCTCCATTAGACGATCCTTGCGTAATAGATTTATGCAAACCTACAAAGATCGCTATTGTTCCCAAACCAGTCAAAAGAGGAATTTAATGAAATTTATTCATTTTTTTCACATATATGTATATATATTATTGACAAATGCTTTATATGAAAAGTCTTATTTTATTAAAAAACAAATTTCATTTTTATTATCTATTCTTCATTTCATTCATCATATTTCTTCATACTCTTAACAATCAAACTACAGCAAAAAATAATTTATAAAAATAATGATTCGCTTTTCCAACGCTACGTTCAGTTCTTAAAAATTCTGTACAGCGTACAAATAATAAAATTATCTCCAGCTTGAAAACGAACTCGACCTAAAATTAAAAAAAAAAAAAAACACATTTTAACAGATGGAAAATTATTTGATTATAAATGTTAGACTATATACCCTGTAAAACTTGGTTTCTGGGTATCTGTATTTTGTGCCAAGCTACCGAAAGATAGCCCTCCTTGTTGAGCACCTAATTCCGCAAATGTATTACTTGTTGCCGAAGGTGATGTCGAACCAAATACTGGTGTTCTTCCAAAACCTATAATTGAAACATGAACAATAATGTATTGGAAACATATTTCGAAAATTCTATCAACAAGTAAGTTGCTGATGCAAAAATTATTACCGGCAGCAGTAGCAGTACCACCAAAAGATGTCGGAGAACCAAATCCAGAGCCAAAGCTAGAGCCACCAGGAGATCCAAAAACGGGTTTACCTCCAAATGCAGGAGCTCCTCCAAAAGCAGCCCCTCCTCCAAATACGGGAGCAGCTCCCATGTTACCTCCAGGAGAAGCTGCACCTCCAAATGCAGAGGTGCCGGCTCCTAAAGACGGTGGGCCCCCGAAAATCGAGCTCGTACCAGCAACAGTTGGGCTCGTAGCAGCTGCACCAAATATACCTCCAGTAGTCGGAGAACTGGCATTTACGCCAAAGACACTTGGCGTTGTAACGGTCGCGGTTCCTCCAAAGATTGATGTATTAGACGCAGTGGTTGTAACTGTAGCGCCGCCACCGAAAATCGAGGCTGTTGGAGTTGCACCAAATACAGAACTTCCAGTTGTGGCTATGGTTCCAGCATTAGTTCCACCACCAAACATTGAACCACTAGCAGGTGTACTTCCGAATATTCCGGAACTTGGATTATTTGGAACTGCTGTTGTAGATACACCAAAAACTGGCGTAGAGCTTGCACCACCAAAGATTGATCCAGTTGCCGGTACCGAGGAGCTAGATCCAAAGACCGACGAACTACTAGGTGCTGTGCTTCCTTCGAAGACTGTTAAAACATATATTTTTATATTCCAACTCAACGTAATGTTTGACAAAATTTAATATATGTAAAATAATATATAAGAACACATGATACAATCGCAAAAGTATACCATTTGCTTGTGTTGTCTTAGCGGCGGCGCCAAAACCTGGAGTACTGCTGTTTCCAAAAATCGAGGTATTAGGAGTAACCGAAATATTACTACCAAAGATAGGTGCTGTCGGGGTAGCTGTGGTTGCTGTCGTACTGCCACCAAAGATAGATGCTGTCGGAGTAGCTGTGGTTGCCGTTGTACTACCGCCAAAGATAGATCCTGGTGAGGCAGCTGTGGTTACTGTTGCACTGCCACCAAAGAGTGATGCTGTCGGGGTCGCTGTGGTTGCTGTTGCACTACTACCAAGGAGTGATGCTGTCGGGATCGCTGTGGTCGCCGTCGTCGTAGCCGTGGATTTTACGCCAAACAAGCTGTTTTCAGTATTACCAGTGCTGCTATTGATGACTGTTGTTTGACCGCCGAACATCGAGGTGGTACCGGTGCTCGGTGTGCTACTAAACAACGAAGTTGTACTAGTTGTAGTATTCGTGGATACTGTACCAGCCGTGGTACCACCAAAAATATGTGCAGCAGGTGGAGATGCTGTATTGCTAGTTGATTTGCCAAAAATCGACGAGATAGAAGGTGCAGAAGTGGTAGCAGCAGCTACTGCTGTGGTAGCTGGCGTTGAGCTTCCAAAAGTATTGGTACCAGAGGTCATAGTGGTACCAAATATGGGAGTGATGGAAGTTCCCGTGGACGATGTACCGAAGCTCAGAGCTGACGTAGCCCCAAGAATTCCAGCAAATCTACAACATCACAGGCATAATCAAAGCTATTTATCGAACAACCACTTTGATAGTCTAATAATAAAATTTAAACAGTCAAGCTATTTTTATTAACGATTTTTATTATTACCCAGACGATGAAGAAGGTGCTGTAGACGATAAGTTTTGGAACGAGATTCTTGTGCTGGAATCAGTCGTTGTAGTGGCAGTAGTAGCTTGTGTAAATGTGCTAGGAGTAGCTTGCGTCGAAGTAGCACTGAGATTGAAAGTTGGTGAAGCAGCAGGTAATCCTGCAAATAGCGAAGACGTTCCGAAGTCCGACGACGACGAAGGCGTATTAGAGGTCGGTGCCGCCGCAACGGACACTGTAACTGCACCAGGCGTTGACATATTAATAGCAGCTTGCGCACTCGAAGCTACAGCCGTCGTTGAACTCGCACTCATTTTCTCTTGACTAGAAACTGTTGTTGCAGTAAGAATCGCTGGAGCGGTTGATTTTCCAAATAAAGACGGCATAGTTGGAGTCAGAGCTGCAGACACATTCAAAGATTGTCCGAAAATCGAATGTTGCTGTTGCGGCGATGAAGTTTTACCGAAGGCAAATGTTGGCAGCCCTGCGGGCTCCGCGCTAGTGGTAGTTTTCGCGTTGGAAATGGGTGTTATCGTGAGACCCGAGTGATTACCGAAGTTCAAGCTTGACAAATCTGACGACGTGGAAGTAGCTGGTGACGGTTGAGCCAAAGTAGCACTTAGATTTGATGAAAACTTGAAAACCGAGCTGTTGTCAAGCTTTGGCGCGACAAAACTGTGTGGCGTAGATGGAGCTACAGTATTGGAAGAGAAGCTGAAAGTCGCTTTGGGCACTGTCGTCAGCGTAGTTATCGAGGTAATGACGGCGCCTGTACCCGACTGTAATGCTTCTGGTGAACCAAGCCGTCCAAAGGTGTTTGGCGGAAACATGGTGAACGTACCTGTACTCTCCGGGGTCTTGTTCAAGTTGTCCTTATTAACTTGGGGTTCGGGCGTTTTCTGCGTTGTATTGAAGCTGATAGTATCTATCTTGGGGAAGGACTTGTTGGCTAAAGTGGTCTGCAGAGGTTGTCGAGAACTTTGAGAAAACAAGGGGGACGCGTTTTCTTTGGCTTTTGATTGGGTGGGTGTAAGCTGTGGCTTGGCTGCTAGAGCGGAGAACGGGCTAGTCGAACTCGGTGATTTGCTAAGCGACGGCAGTCCGGTCATGCCACTACCGATACCAGAAACCAAGTTATCCAGAGAAGATAGGTAATTATGAGTTTTCGATTCTGCAAGATCAGGCAATCTTTGCTGAGCGACCATCTTCTGCTGGTCCGTGGTCCCGAATTTAGGAGTTCTGGTTTTGGAGCTTGCAGCTTCTATTGGTTTCTGAGCAGCCAATGCAGAGAGCGTAGCTTCCAGGCGATCCTGTACCGCGCTAGGCCTCACGGCTCTAACAATCATGGGCGCAGTCTCCGCGAGCAAATCTCGTAGCTTGATCTGCTTCTCAGAAGTGAAGTTGCGTATGTTACTGGCGATAAGCTTGCAGCGAAGGTCGATCGCAGTATCGCTAATGAGTGTCGTACTCGACGATTGCGATAAATTCAAACTCGCCATTGAGCGATCAAGACTGGCAAGACTACTGCTACCACCACGAGCGAGGCTGCGCCACTTTTTGGACAGTTCCTCGATGTTCTTTTTCTCTTGAGCGATGATCTGACTGTGCCTGAACAGACTCTGATATATCACTTCCAAGCTAGGAATTTTCATTCGCGTAAGTTCGCGGTTGTTATGCTCGGCCCATTCGAGGTCAAGAACCTTGGTCGCTTGTATCAACTGCGACTGTGTGTAGTAATAAAGCCTTTGCAAGTCAGCAAATTTGGTGCCCTCTGTTCGACCTCTGCCGCCCAAGTGTGCCGTAGAGTTCTTAGATTTGGACTCCTCTAGCCAGGCGAATGACTGAAGAAGCAAAGCTTTCAGGTAAGCTATATCGCTGGCAAGACTGTTAGTTGTATCCCTCAGCTCTCGCAGAAACTCGTCTATGTCCTCACTTTTCTTCACTAGTAGGTCGCGTTCCTCATCCGTTCCCACTTGCCAGTTCGGCAAGTCGAGCTTGCTTTGAAGCTCCTTCTCGAACTTGTACTGCTCGTCAAAGTAAGCTCGCAAGCAGAGTGCGTCATCATAAACGGGTAATTCTTTAGCCGCGGATGCGGCTTCTTCTGCGCGATATGCTGCAGGTGACTGATCTTTTGCTGGACCTTTTGTAACTTTTACCTCTGATTGAATTACCTGCGTTCTCTGAGGTTCCGATCTGAGTTCAGGTTTTGTGGCAAATCCTGTAGCTGGTTGCTGTGCTCCGAGAGTAGGTTTGAATTGCGGATTTATCTGAGGAGTCTGGTTATCTCGCTGGAACAGATTAGTTTTGACGCTTTCCGGTGTGAAAAGACCGCCTGTTTTTATTTCGGGTGGAGCAGAAAAACCTACATTCTTGATTTCTGTTTGGAGTGGAGGCTCTGAAGCTTTGTTGCTTGGAGCTAAGCTAGAAAAACTGGGAATTCCTGGCTCTCCAAACATGTTTGAGATTTTGGCTTCTTCTTGTTTACTTTCTAAAGTCTTAGTGGTATGTGGTGTACTGGTTGCTCCAGAGGGCAAGTTGAAGGAGACTTCTGGCCCCATACTTGGTCTTGGTATTGCAGGTGCTTGTATAACCTCTGATGGTGGAGAACAAATATCTGGCGCCTCTTCTTTCAAATTTACCATATGATAGCTGCACAACTGGCCACTTGTTACTAGTATCCTTAGAATAGGAACTGGTATTGGTAAGGTGTTATCAGCAGACAAAGTTAATCTTTGGGTAGGAGATCTGTCTATTGCCATTCCAATTGGATAATTTTCCAATCCCTGCTTTCTGTCGAGAGGCAATTGAACTGTCCCACCTTCTACCATTTCCCAAGTAGTCCATGTTGCTCCATTGTCAGTCGATCCCAAAACTGTTACTTCAGTACTATGTGAACTTGCTGCAATAATTAATCCCCATTCTGGGACATGGTCAAAGTAATACCATAATTCATAAGAAGAACCATATCCATAAGTGATATCTTCATAATCTGTAAACTTAGGAACAGTAACACCTTTTGGAGCATCGACAATCATTACACTAATGTGTGACTTGTCTTGATAATAACAAGTGCAAAACTGGTAATTGCTAACCCATAAAATGGATATAATCATACCTCGACTGGGTTTAGGACCTGATAACTGTCTAGCTGGTTTCAGATCAGGCTTTAATTGGATTATATCTCCATTTTTGCAACCTACCACTAGTTGCTTACCTTTAGGACTCCATGAAACACAGAGAGCATCTATACCTGAAATTCTTTCCATTCCTACTATTTGAATACCTACTTTTTTATCTTTATTAACATGAAAACAGCCTATGGTATGATCACTTGTAACGGAACAAAACATTTCTGGAATTGCTGGATTCCATTTTAAGTCTGACACAAAAACATTTCCAGCACTACTTGATAATCTAATTTCATGAAGTATGTCCAATCTCTGTAAATAAATAAGCCCTTGATAAATTAACTTTCAAATAACATTGGCATGATATGTCAAAATAATAAAACCTCACGTGTTTGCTGATAGAACTTGTATCATAAATTGTAGCTGAAGCACCTAAAAAAGTGACAGCTAAAAATGAACAATCACAACTTATCTGTACATGTTCTGCTACACCTGGTATTTTTAATTCTAGTTTCCATTCCGCATTTGAGTCATTTCCTGGTTTAACAACAATTAACCTATAATCATGACCTATATACAATAAACCGTGTTTTGTATCAGCAGCCATTAAATTGGATCTAACAGGTAATCTTGGAAGGCTTTTACATATTTGTTCTATGGAAGCTTGCTTGAATAAAAAATCCTGAAATCCATCGTGATAAACATTACCAAAATGACGTTACTACGAAATTGCAATAACAAGAAAATAGACGTAATCAATAAATACCTGGACCTCTATTGGTGAAGGACAGCGGTTATTTTCTGTCATTGTTTTATATAATATATATTCCTTGTCATCAAACACAACAAATAGTAAAAACAATAGTAAAATAAATATTATAACCAAACGTCGTGTAGTATAACACCTGAAACGCGCGGTTTTGTTGATTTGGTCGGCGTTTCGCAAGTACTATATATATCAGTCAGAGCGATGAAAGTAAAAAATGTCCAAATTCATCGTTGGAAATTTGAAAACGATGCATAGTCCGGGCCAAACTAAAAAAAAGTGGTCAGTGGCATACTTCAGTCTTTACATTTATGGCGAATTCAATATTCCCGATTCCGTAATAGCCATGAGTGTATAGACTGAAGTACACCGCTAGCCACCTTTTCTAAATAGCTCGGCTTAGCGCTATCTAATTGGTTAATAAAAACTTTAAGGTTAGAACGCTCGATAACTGCAATAAGTATACTAAGAACGCCGACACGTGTTTTGATGTAGGTGTTAAAATGTGTAAATATTCGTGAAGCAGTTATTGGTTTTTATAATATTATCAGAACTGTTGGAGTTGATTTGTTAAATTAAAATGAGTGCAAAAAGTAAATATTAAAATATTCATTATACATTCAACTAAACCTACATTTTATTTGATGATATATATTATAGACAGTAACTTAATATTTTTAATTTATTATCAGGAGAAAACAAAATGTCTGGGAGAAAACTTCCTATCGACAAAGAAAAACTGCAAAAGTATGATAGAGGAGCAGCTGTAAATTTGAAAACTGGAGTGAAAAGCAAGGTTCACAGGCAAAGATTACGCCAGAAAGAAAAATTTATAGAGACTATGGCTGAACAGGCTGCTCGCACAGAAATGTTATTGACTGAGGATCCTGGTTATTTAGACACTGATCTTGGCGAAACAACAACTCAATTTAAACAAAATGAAATTATCGCCCATACTGATATTACCAGTGCAGCAAAGAGTTTTGAATTAAAACTAGAATTTGGTCCTTATAAAATGAGGTGATTCCTTGATTGATATATCAATATCATCAAAACTTTTGTCTGATTATTAAATTATTATTAATTATTTTTCAATTTTAGATACACAAGAAATGGAAGACATTTGGTTATTGGTGGTAAGAAAGGTCATGTAGCTGCATTTGATTGGGTTACAAAAAAGTTGGCTTGTGAAATGAATGTTATGGAATCTATTCATGATGTTTGCTGGCTACATATAGAAACAATGTTTGCAGTAGCACAAAAAAAATGGGTCTACATTTATGATAATCAAGGGATTGAATTACATTGTCTAAAAAGAATGGATCAAACTACCTGTTTAGAATTCTTACCATATCATTTCCTTTTGGCATCAGCATCTGCCCTTGGAGGTTTGTCATGGCTTGACATTTCTATAGGAAAAATCATCTCACGTTATGATTCAAAAATAGGAAGAATAGATGTAAGTTAGGTGCTTTAACTTTAATTAAAATTCTTGCAGTGAGATATTCAATTAATGTTTTAGGTGATGACAAAAAATCCATACAATGCTTTACTCTGTGTAGGAGAATCTAAAGGAATAGTGTCAATGTGGTCTCCAAATTCACATCAGCCTTTAGCAAAAATGTTGTGTCACAAGCAAGCTGTAAGTGCTTTAGCTATACATCCACACGGAACCTATATGGCCACAGGTTGTCCTGATCGCTCATTGAAAGTATGGGATATCAGACAGCTTTCAGGACCTGTACAATCTGCAATTTTACGTTTTCCCGCACAAAATTTATCATACAGTCAGCGTGGCTTATTAGCTGTAGCAATGGGAAATGTTGTTGAAGTGTACAAGTATGAAAATTTCGCTAAACTAAAAAAACTTTATGTTAAAAAATTATTTGTTATTCAAAATTACTTTCTCATTCAACAGTGATGTAACTAGTGAATTCAAACCATATATGAGACATAAATCAAATTGGAGTGTATCAGACTTACAATTCTGTCCTTATGAAGATGTCCTAGGATTTGGTAATATCAAAGGATACTCATCAATATTAGTTCCAGGCTCTGCAGAAGCCAATTTTGATGCACTGGAAATAAATCCTTATCAGAATAAAAAACAAAGAAAAGAAGCTGAAGTGAAAGCTCTTCTTGATAAAATTCAGCCTGAGCTTATTGGTTTGGATACATCTACAATCGCCGAAATTGATATTCCTACTTTAAAAGATAGAGTTGAAGCTAAGAAAAAACTACTTGTAAGTTGAAACTGTCTTATTTAATTACTGAAATAATAAGAGTCTCAATAATAATAATTTTGTTACAGTATTTAAAGCCAAAGAAGATCGACTTTAAACCACGAAAAACGAAAGCTAAAGGAAAGGGTGGCACTGCTAAGGTGGTTAAATCTAAAAAGGCTCTCAAAGAACAAGCTCGAAAGGTTCGTGTTATTTAAATATTTATAATCTTATGATTACACGATATTTTATATTGGCACATTTACATCTAATATTCTTATGTTTTAGGATAATATCAAAGCGATGCGTGAAGCCAACGTTCTTATTGATATCAAAAAGAAGGAGACGGCCAAGAAATCATTTGGCGTTTTGGATAGATTTTTACCCAAAACTAAGTAAGCCTAAAATATCAGTTAATTTAAAATTTGTACAAAGAGTATTAAAAATATTAATAGTTTTTACACGTTAAAATAAATGTTTTTAAAATATACAAATCCTATGTATGTTCATTATTTAGCTAAGGTTAATTATCACATTACCTCTAAAGTTATTATTTAATTTTATCGAAATATCTTTTCCAATCTGAACCGTTAAATATAATTACATGTTATATCGATTTTTGCGCTGGTTATTCTTAATGTAGGTATTTATCGGTGAGGACAGTGATCATCTTTTCAATCATCTATAACTTTACTGAATTAAATATGCATTGAAGTCTATGCATTGAGAAGTCGATAAATTTTTATTAGAATAAAATCGTTTCGAAATCAAAATTTTTCGAAGTTTTTGAATGGTTGAATGATGTAATTGGAAATAGAGCTTCTATTTATTCCTACATATATTGCAAAAATGCATATTTTGGTGTTCTGTTGGGTAAGATTTATTATAAAATGTTATGAGCTGAAAGATACGAGGAACACACGAGGGCAGTGTGATATGTATCGGGCGGTTGGCGCATAACGCCTGCGTGAGATCTTTACGCATCGTATGGGGGTTGAAGCCTCCAGTGAGGAATATAATACTGCGAATACACAAGTACCAGAGAGATCCAAACGAACGAACGCATTTCTTTTCCGAAAGAATATCCGATTACGACGATCATTGCTCTCGGCAACGATTAAATTTAAAAGTGTGCATTTTATTTATGAAAAATGGAATCGATTCCATTGGATTTCACTGATAGTAAGTTATTTATTTGACGTCATTGATTATTTATAATTCTCATAATTGTTCGATAATGCTATTGCATCGATTGATTCATTGATCATTCAATTTTATAATTGATGTGTTTAAATCTAAAATTGATCTTTGCCTAGTAATTGCTAATATCGGCGATTTTAAAGGCCATTCGGTTATTAGTCACATGAGGAGTATGTATTCCCGTTTATCATAAATTTATCGAAGCATTCATTAATTAATTTTCGTAGCGTCAATTGGCACGTCAGTTTTGACATTTATTGAAGAACTTTAATACAATTTCTTTGACCTGAAATCTATTAATCGTGAAATGAACACCAATAGTTTTTGGTATCTAAAGCATTGTTTTTCTTTGCAGTACACTCGTATAATGTAGAAATTTCGATATTTCAATCTCAATATCAAAGATGAAACAATGACAAAAAGCAGTTATCGATTTCACAAGAAATAAAGGAATAGGCAGAGATACTTGCGAGGGAGAGCTCGGACTAGACAGAGTACTGTCTCTTGAAATCGTTGGCGCCAGTCAGTCTTGATGTAATAGCTTAGGTCGCTTCATTGCTGTTCTCTCTCTCTCTCTCTCTCTCTCTCTCTCTCTCTCTCTCTCTCTCTCTCTCTCTCTCTCTCTCTCTCTCTCGGACGGCTTAAATATATATGTACGCGGTTTTACGTGTTTACAGCGAAATGAGCCTGAAATATTTTTAGTTGTAGCGCTCATCCGCATTCGCTCTAATTGAATGATATAGCGTGTACACTACGGGCGCGTAACTCTATAATTTTTTAAACACTTCGTAAGCTTACTGTAGCTTTCTTATGCTCGACGTGGAAAGATTATGCCAATTCTATGTAAACAGCTGCCGCCAATAATTTACTGTTAGATGGCATCGTATTGTTCGTAGAGAGTTCAGCGCCGCTTCCATTCAACGAGTTATGACTCTTTTCACAATTTTTAGCAACAAATTCAACGTGCCTAATCTTTCTGTCGAGTTTTCATGGTGAATGAGTACAAAAATGAAGTGTTTACTTTCACTTGACGCGCACCCACACCATTAGACGTTTATCGATCCTACGTCGAATTACATCCTCCTTCAATTGTACACGCGGCTTCGCCCGCTGTACTTCAGTCAACGAGCATTCACGAGGTTTTCCCGATTCCATAAAGATAATAACATATGAAATCCACGCTTTTTTTTAGCGCCTGCCGTGGAAAATAATAAGTACGGTAAGTTATTGGTAGATGGCCATGAGTGACGGTGACGGATTGTTAATTATTTGATTATCATTTTCCAGAAGACAAAATGCAGTTTGAGGCGTCTGGCCCTTGTCGAAATGAAAGAAGCAAGACCGATGTTTGTTGGCTGGTTGGTTTCATTCTTTACCTCGTAGTATGGATTTCAGTAATAGTATACGGTACGGTTTTTGCCGAATCCAATGAAGCGTAAGCGAAACGGATAACGATCGATTTTCCGCAGCTTTCGCAACGGGCAACACGAGCAAAGGGCTAAAACCAAGGGACAGCGCTGGCCGTATCTGCGGCTATGACTCAGGCGTCGAAAGCAAACCTTATCTCGTGCACTACAATCCGGAAAATTGTGACGTGCCGCATTGCTTAGCCTGTCAGTCAGAGTGTCCGCAAGAGGACTTTAATTTTGAGCGCTATGACAAACGGAGTAAGAGAGCCGTTGGCGAAATGAGTAAACGACGCGTGAATCGCAGCGGAAAATCCAGAGTGGAAAATAGAAACGGCGAGCCAAGCGGCAATGGGAATGCGGCGGTAGAAATGACGTCGGCCGATATTAGAACTACAACTGACTCGGGCGACGGCGAAACAAAGTCGTCGGGCGGCAAATTCGACGAAGCGATGAAAAGCATCGTCTGCCAGAGCGACGTCAATTTGGATTTGACGAAGAGAATGGATGAGCTGAGGCACTTCGTCCAGAGCGGCAAGTGCTCCAGAACGTACCGGAAGACGGAACGAGTCGAGGATTACCGCTGCGGCTTGAACGCGACGGCTTCGGGGCGCCAGCCGGAAAGAGCTGGCATCGCGCGAGAGCTCTATAAAGCGAAGTAGGTCGTGGCGCTTAAAATGGCAAGGTCGGAAAGCGAGTAGTGGTGGCCCGGGCGCTCGTTTGTTGCAGGTACTCGATAGCGGGCTTCGTCGCGCTGAGCGGCTTGACGGCGCTGGCGAGCGTATGGCTGATGAGGTGGCACGCCCAGGCGTACGCGTGCGCTTCGATATTCGCGGGCTGCGCGCTGGCCTTTCGCTGCATCTACGAGAAGTGCGTGCTAGACGCCGAGAGCAAGACCAACGGCGTGCTGCTCGCCCTCTTCCTCGGCGTGGTCGCGCTCGTTCTCGTGGTCCTGCTGGCCATATACTTCAGGACCGAGCTCAGCCTCGCCTGTCGCGCGATCGAAGAGTGTTGCAAGTACGTCGCGCCCGCGACCGCCCGCGCCCGCCCCCGCGCGCTCTCGATCACTCGCGAGCGTCGATCTGTTTCAGAGCCGTCACCTGCGTCCCCTCGAGCCTGGCGGTGCCGCTCCTCTCGTTCGCGGTCTACGCGCTCGCGTTCGTCCTGGGAGCGAGCGCGTACCGTCCGCTGTCGAGCCTCGAGTCGCCGGTTTACAAAGTCGACTACGCAGACGGCGAGGGATGCCAGTGTCCCACGGAGCTGGGCTACTCGCAGAACGCAACTTGCGACCCGCTAGCTTTCGACAGCCAGTGCCAGCGGGAGACGGGCACGCCATGCTTATTGTCCGGATGCTACATGCTCGAGAAAAGGGCGCAGAGCGTCGGCTTTCTGCACTTGGTCAACTGGCTCGGACTGGCCTGGGGCTTCCTGCTCGTCACTGGATTCAACGACATCGTGCTGGCCAGTGTGTTCTCCACTTGGTACTGGACCTTCGACAAAAAAATGCTGTCGTATTTAAGCGTGATCGACAGCTTCTGGGCAGTGAGCACGTAAGTTGCGACGTTGGCAGACGGTAGCTCTTCGTATGACATTTGGTCGCGCTTGCTTCAGGTGTCACTTGGGGACAGTGGCACTGGGTTCGCTCGTCATCCCGATCTGCACGACACTGGAAACGATCGTCAACTGCGCGAAGAGGTGTTTGAGAAAGACGACGAGACCCTGCACGGCTGTAATGTTGCTCGGTCTGACAAGCGCGTTCGACCAGGTGGAAAAGTTCGTCCAATTCATCGATCGACGAGCGTACGTAACGTGCGCCATGCACGGAACTGACTTCTTCCAGTCGGCCAGAACGGCCCACTACCTGTGCATGCGCAACGCGGAGAGCGTCGTCGCGGTGGTCACGGTATGAACCCTCGCGAGTGGCTGGCCAGCGCATCTTGGTCGTCCACTCGCGAGAGACATTGTGTGTTTTCGCAGGTCACCAATTGGCTGACCTTCATGATCAACGCGCTGATAGCCTGCGCGAGCACGCGAATAGCGAGCAGCTACTACGCTTACAGAGCGGACGACGACCTGTCGCGCAGCGGCGCACCGCTGCTGCTGATCTTCGTGGGCTCGTACGCGATCTGCTGCATGTTCACGCGAGTCATCGAGATCGCCGTGGACACCGTGTTCGTTTGCTTCCTTGAAGACATCGAGCGCAACGACGGCACCAGCGAGAAGCCATATTTCACGAGCGAACGGCTCGCCAAGCTCTTTCGCAAAAAGTAACTGCCACGGCCTTCGCTACGAGTCGAGCGAATCGTCCAATGGTTATAGCGCGATGACTCCAAGCTCGCGAAAATGTGCATTGATTGTTGTGAATTACGCTGAAATTACATGCGTGATAATCTACATGTGAACCTTGAGATTTGTACTCGCTGTAGATTGATTCGTTCGTAAAACTGCTGGATGACAATGCTCTTGAGTCTTTGACAATAATGGAATCGTGCGTGTCGAAATGTCTACGATATGATATACGAACGATTTTGAAAAATTCTTTTGTATCGTTGCAGAAGCCATTTTGAAAATGACCTTGCTGTGATGTTCGTACGTGAAATGTGTATTCATCGTTTTATGCAAAGGTTTCTCTAGACGTATTATTATATACATATACATATATAGGGATTAAAACTTCCTTCCTAAATAAATGCGCTATGCAAGCTTAACAATTTAGCCTCGCATAAGCATTGCCATGCTGAGAAAAAAATATATATAAATAAGTTAAGCCATGTGATGTTTTATTTGAATTTTTACAAAAATTTTGTTGTTGAGCACATCTATCGATTTATATGTATAGAGATACGTGTGTAGGAGCGTCACGAGATAAGCCAATGTATTTCATGCTTCACGTGTAAGAGCGGAAGTTACTATACAAACATAAATTTTCTACTGTCTTCACTCAATCGTTGCTATCGACTATAATCTCGTTGTATAAGTGTAATAATAATTGTTAAGATCGCCTTTCGTGCCGCGTGTATGTTCAAATAATCTATATGGTCTGCTTACGTAGCCTCTAAATTTGTAAGTTTCAAGACTAATAAAAATTGACAGTTACATTGACAAACAACAATTTGTATTTTTATAGCACCTATCACCTGAAGAATAACGTGTATACACAACTATTATGAAAAATTGACTAGAAATTACGGAAAACGACCTACGTTACTGCATAAATAATTCTAAATCACGCATTTAATTTGAACAGATATGCAAATATTAAGCGTAAAAAAGTATTCAAGACCGATACGTACAAATAGACTAAGTTTAGAGATTCAGTATCGTTGACGAGCATTGAATTCTAAATCGTGAGGATTTAAATATGGCGTAACGCGTCTGTTTTAGTCGCGAGCAGCAATGTGTGCGCGAGCGGGTTTCTTATAGCGTTATTACGTTGTGTCAGGCATTAAAAATCTTTCAATTTATCGTTACGACATCCCGACCTAAATTTCGCTTGGGCTCCAAATGTCGTTGGATAGTTGACGTTATCTTTTGAAGTACTCAAACCTATGTCCTTAGTTAGTATTGCTATCGACCGTAAACCGGAAATCTTAGGGATCTCGGGCTCCCTCCTGTTAGAACACAAAGAGCCAGCAGCCTCAAAACGATGGCCGAGGGAACGACGCTGTTCAGACAGCTGGTCTGGAAAATGAAAAGCGGCTAGAGCGACGCGATGGTAGTCACGTCCATCAAGTGGGAGATACGTAGTTCGTCGGCTACTTCTCGGTCTTTCTATAATTACTTATCATCTTAAATCGTTTGCAACGATCATTTATCACGAATAAATGTCGCGTTCGGGCCAAAATTACTTGGCAATTGAATTATTGTAAAATATGTGACTTTTCAAATATGTTATTTTCGATGACTTCATTGATAATAACTGATAGGTTTCAAAATAATCAGCGTGATATAGGTCTTTCTTTTAACGATGTCAATACTTCTTTTGTAAAATAAATGCTTAAAAAAATGGATAATTATTGAGACGTGCATAGGTACAGGACGCATCGGCCAAACTCTCCCCCATTTTCTCACTCCGCTCGGACATTAGTGTTGCCCCTCGAGCGGCGTTCCATCTTGTCTATGCTGTGTTTTCCTAGCTTGAACGCTGACGGAGATTATCAGTAGGTTATTCCAATGTATTGATTTACATTTACTCGCGATAGACCTATTTAAACATTTAAAAACTATAAATACTTGAATGATTATAATACTACGAACAAATAAGTCGATATTTTTAATTCCAATTTCTTTGGAAAAGGTGCATTTCTTTTTGTTATATTCCTTATACTCGCAAGCGGCTCCAAATATATTTTTCTATGCATTTCCATAAATTTGACAGTTGTGAGATTACATTCATTGTTTTTTGTACACAAAGTTTTCTACTGTATAGCGCTGAAAATGATCGATTAACAGCTCGTACAAGAATGGTTTATCTTGAAACGGCGCCGGGCAAACTCGCGGTTTAAAAACAAGGCCCTTTCGGCTGAAAAAATTATAAACTGGAAATCATTTGACCAGGTTGATTTATCCCATTGAAAGATTGCTCTTACAATTGAAGCTTAATTAGTAAGGCTATGTAAATGTTTCATTGAATTTTTGAAAATACCATTTGGCTTGCAGAAATGAGGGATCCTGGGAACTCGATCAATAGATCCGGAGTGTATTTATACGGGAGAAAATGTGGCAGGCTTTTCCCAAACAGGCGCGCCAGGGGGAAATATCCAAGCGATGGCAAGAGCCTAAAAACCGGCTTCTACACACAGGGTGAGCTCGCACCACCAACTGTGCGGGCGAATAGAGAGAGAGGGGGAGCAAGAAACACAACGCGCGCGCAGCGCATCTCAGTTTGGTGCTAGTCGTCGCCTACAACTGTTGCCTTGTACTTGGATTCTTTTCTCGCGGTAAACTCTCCACAGCCGAAGTCACGGATTTCGTAGCGAGCGTGCCCTCGCTGAAAGCTCAAGAATCGTGCCAAGTCGGTCGATTAATCGGCCATCAATCCCCGACTGCACAACTACGGTGCGACGTGTTGCGTTGGCGCGGACCTGAAAACACGCGGACAGCATGACGAAGATACTGTGCGGCGGAAATAACGGTAATACGGGTAACAGTGTTCACACGCGGGAGAAAAGCGAGCCATTATTCCCTCATGGGTGAAAATTTCATGGCAATCCCGCGAAAGATATATAGCTCAGTATTTTCTCAAGTAGCGCGTACAATTTTTCCCCGTTCCAAGAGATTCGCTGGAAAAGCACATTGCTTTCCTGACCGAAACTCGCGTGACTGCTGTGTATTCCCGTTGCAAGGTTAGACAGCGTTTCGTGCAATGGCGCACGTTTTACACTCGGGGCTTAAATATAGCCGATAGCGGAGAAAAGCGCGGGCACGCATCTTATACGTTACCTGACCACAGCGTGACGAAAGTGGATGGTCGCAGTCTCGTGCGAGGTTTAAACCCGCGGAACAGCGAGACGAGTCCAGGCACGGTATATTTTTGAGAAGGACCCGCGCGGAAAGTCCTGATACAATTGCACGTTCTTCGCCGAGCGTGCGGGAAAATGCGACTCTGCCGTGGCTCACCGAAAAACGTGCCCTTGGATTCGCGTTATCCACGCTGTCGCTCGTACGAAAATCTCGCTTCCCTCGTACATAAACCTCCCTCGAGACAACAATCTACTTTCTCACACTAGTTAGAGACAACGTTTAGATTTTCTACCTTATTCATTCCGATCGCATTAAGTCGACCGTCAATCTGGCGTTAACTTAAAGATGATAACAATTTTCATAAAATAGATAATACGGCGTACAAGTACAAGTAAATGACTTACGTCGATTATCTGTTCTTGGCCCTAATCGATTTTTAAAATCGTAAGAAGATAAGTGTATTGAAATTTCATAAATTATTCTTTTCCCTTTACCAAGGTAAAATAATCAATCACGATTCACAATGGAAAAGCCCGTTGGAAATCCAACGAGATCTAACGGACTTCGGTTGTTTTGTTCCCTATGTGAGTTTATTTCTTGCATGGTTAGTCACTGGACTTTATGGTAAGATCATACATTTGTATAATAATATCGTATGAACGTAACAACAACTTTATCATTTCAATTGTTTTCAGCTTTTACCACGGCCGAGCTGTACTTTCGTGATCAGTATTATTTTAAAGATAATGCCCTGTACTGGCCAGAAGACGAAATTTTTGCCATTCGTGGACTCAATTACATATCTACTAATTCGTCAGGGTAAAAGAAACTTTCGATTTTATTACGAAATTCATTCAAAATGCGCAGACGTTTAAAATCGTCTTATTGGTTTTCATTTCAGGATAGTCACTGTTGAAGCTGCTGCCTTGGCGATCGTGGCAAGTGTCATTTACCTCTTTCTATTGAGGTACTGCCCCAAAACAATCGTTTTTACAGTAATCGCTGTGTTTTTTGCTCTATTACTTGGCGCCATTGCATATCTTTCATATCAGTTAACTTCCTTAACCAATTACGAACAGCAAAGAAATACCGTACATATTCTTGGTGGATTAGTTATTGCATTCATATTATCATTAACATTGTTCGTCGTATACCGCAAAAAAGTTTTAATTGCTTGTGGAATTATCAAAGAAGCAACTGAGTAAGTGAAGAAACTTGATTTATTTCAACTTTGTCGATGAAAATGCTTTGAGCTTCCAACATCAGTTTCACGCAAAATTGTTCATTTCAGGGCTCTCTGGTTTTTTCCGTCGTCATTGCTATATTCCATTATATCATTCGTATTTTACATAGGAGCATACACTTTCTTCGGTGTGAATTATCTTTGCTTATTGCTAAATCCGAAGACGATGGATGGGAATCCATGGGCTGGCCATTTATACTTTTTACATACAGTCAACTGTTTAGGATTATTGTGGGCAGTAAATTTTGTACGTGGAGTTTCGCAAATGATCTTTTCGGGGACTTTCGGGACCTGGTATTGGACCATGAATAAAGATAACGTTCCACGTAAAACAATTTCAAAGTTTTTTGACATTGTTGTGAGGTACACGCAATTGATAGCATAAATCTTTTCTTTAGCATTTACCACGAGTTAAAAGAAATTGTGCAGACTCTAATCTTCCTTTCAGATACCATCTTGGAACCATATCTTTGGGATCACTTTTTATGACAATAGCTCAGGGTATCAATGCGATTATCAGAACTACTTCAGATAGCGCGAAAAGCAATGGCAATATTTGCACTCGGTTCTTCAACTGTTTCATGAGAGCATGCAGAACTGTGAAGAATATCGTTAAATATATTAACAGTAATGCGTACATAATGTGTGCTCTCCATGGCACTTCATTTTATCAGTCAGCAAAAGATGCATTCAATCTGCTCCTGAGAAATGCTACCCACGTTGTAATGATAACTCATGTAAGTTCAAACCATATTTTTAACATTACAGTTGTATGTTTATAGCAATATTACCTAATCTTAATATTTTTTATCAGGTAACAAACATCATTATCGTTCTGGGAAATTTGCTGGTATCTGGCATTATAATTTCAATTATTTACTTCGTTAATGGAAGTCACGGAACCCTACCCTACGTTTTAACAGGAGTAATCGCATGTGTTATGTCGTACGCAATATTCGAGGTTCTGAAAATCGCCGTCAATACTATTTTTATTTGTGTTTTGGAAGATTATGAACGAAATGATGGTTCCACAGAACGTCCCTATTTCATGTCTCATAATTTAAGAAAACTGCTAATGCAGGACCAATAATTAACTTCTCGATCAGTCGTCAATCATTATTCAAATTTTTCTAAAGAAATAGAAACTTCCAATGAAATGCTTCAAAATGGGCCGAAAATATGGTTAGTCGATTGTTACTTGTTTTTATTAAAAAATTATTAATAAAGACATGCAACAAAACTTCTAATGTAATCAATATACTAATACAATTAAAATAGTGCTGCAGTTAAGTTAGTTATTAATATTTACTATGTAAACTCAAAATATTAGCATATTTTTCAAAAATAATAGTACATTTTGATACTAGTTGGAGAAAATGATTTCAGCTTGAGCTTATGCGCATTAGCAAGAGCGAAGAGACCATACGTGGAGGAAATTACTTTCTCGTACATGTATCTAATTTTCTTTTGCTAAACGAGATTTGAAGCATGCTTATTTACCTGAACATGCGTAAGTAAACTGAGCTGTAGTGCGACGAGTGTCAAAATTGATATATTGTACCTTTTCTATTTTTGTATCGAAAAATAGTATCTATTAAGCATTATTCTACACGAATCTTTTTGATTGAATTCATAATTATTGCATAATCTACTATTTTTAATTATTACTGTGTTTCTGTAATAAACTACAAAGTCATCAAAATGTTATTTTCATACCTTCATCATTCGCTAAATCCTTGTTCACCTTATTCCTATAATATTCTTTTTAATAAAATTTAAAATAAAAAATTAGTCGAAAATTACATATTATGTACACAATAAATTCACAATAAAATTTTCATGAGATTTAACATTTGAATCATAAATAAAAATCTATGACGTCGTGTTTATTAAAGCGCTAATAATTTTTTATAATTACTTGTGGTTAAAATCAACATTATATTTCTGAAATTTCCCATTAACATTTCTTTCTACTCGGTTTTAAACCGTCTTAGCTAGCGGACGCGTGCCATCACTTAAATTTAGGTACGGTAGAACCATGAAAAAGTTATTAAACTTAATTGTGTCCACAAGTAATATCCGAAACTGGCAGTGAAGCTGATGTAATATTTTCACCGAGGTTTTAGTCAGCGCCATAATATCCAATACTTCTGTAAAGAAAAATATATATAATAAAGTTCATAGCAATGCAGTTTCATGGTAGGATTCGGAATGCAATACGGTGAAAAGAACTAGAAGGACTGCATATAAAAATGGAAATTCTCCAAATACCAATACGGTTACTTTGAGTATAAAAAAGTAATTTTGCCGGACTTATTAATTTTAGCATTAATCAAAAATATGTGTAGGGCAGAAATAAACTACTTATAAATAAATGGACAGTTACTCCGAAAATCACCAAAACTTTGATCCCATCACACTGGCTGAATGAATACTTGAATCGATGAGCCGAAGCTGGTGCGAAATCGACCTGGATCAGCTTCTTGACTTTCAACCATATCCATTACTTAAATCTTTTTTTGATTTTTCCGAGTTGAATGTAGCTCTTCGATTTAAAAGCTAATAAAACGCTAGATCCTCTTGCGGAGTTAAGGGCTTCTATTACAAATCTATTCAACGCCTTCCACTTAAATTTAAGCTCATCCTAGTTAATATTTTTAACGAAATGTCTGAAGCAAGTTCTTTTCCAGTAGAATGGAAAGAATCCTATATTAATTTTATTAATAAACCAGGAGGCAAGTCCTTCCGGCCTATCGCTCTATGCTCTTGATCACGTAAAATATTTGAGACAATATTAAAAAACAAGCTTCATTGGTGGATCGCAACTAATAATATTCTTCCTGAATTCCAAACGGATTTTATAAAACCCATTATGTAACAAAGAATGACAACTTTGCCGATCCGTCCGTTGGCTCTCACAATCGTCTGTTCGCCACTTCAGACCGATGTATGAATTATGTATGTATTATGTATGCACTCTCGTGAGGACGACTGTATTTTCTCTGACTGTGGTGCGGTGAACGAGATGACTGGCGAAGCCAAGAGCGTCCGACGACTGCGGACGAGGAGGAGAAATGGCGAACGCAGGATCGCGAGAGGCGAGGAGAGAGTTTTAGGGAGAAGTTAATGCTGGATCGTCGAATCGGACGCGTTGCCGATTTCGCGACGGGGGTTTCGAGTTGCTGTCGAGCGCGGCGATACCGTTTTTCTATTACTGGAGGATACGCGCCCTTTGCGAGAAGTGTGTTCGTCAGATTTTGTTGTAGTGGGTTATTGGGTTATGTTCAGTCAGTATTGAATTTCAACACCGAAGCGTGTGAGGGTTCCGAGAAAGATCCAGGCGGACGACGCTTGCAACCGATTATCCGAGCGGAGAGCAGAAGCGGTCAGCAAGCAGACGAAAGCGGTAACAATAGCAGCGGTAAAAGAGTAATAGGAGGCGGCAGTATCTCTCTCTCTCTCTCTCTCTTTGCATATTCGAGCGTCGCGTTCACACGTATGGGTCTTCGTCGAACTAAAGAATAAAATTCTCACGGAACAGCCTGCTGATAATCTTATAAATGCATTTGGGCGGATTGCGTTATCGCCACAATTACGTTTAATCCTATTTTAGATTTTGTTTGCATGCCGATATACTTCATTTTCCATCCCTTTTTAAATAATTTGTGCGAGCGGCCGCGGGTCGGGTTGCAGAATTTCTGGATTCGAACTGTTGACAACGTAGACGTTGAAATTTTTCTCAATAAATTTACCGAGGCAGGCTACCCACTTATTTTCAAGAAATTCATTAAAGCAAATTAAAAAATATTCGTCGTTCACTTGTCATATGTATTAAGAACTTGAACTTGAATAATTTTACTATTGCTATATATATAAATAGTCCGTAGCCGATACAATTTGTATTTTTATAACTTCGAGATTTTTTTCAACCATATTAATATCGATATCGACTTTGGAACTACGCTCAGAAAAGCTTTCGATTTCAAATGCTACTATCAACCAACTTCTAAGTTCTGATAATTAAAGCCTTAATATTTCATATTTACGGACGACAGCAAGTTGGACAGCGGTTTATCGTGCGTTCTGCAGTTCTTTAATGTTACGATGAACAAACGTCTCAATAATGAACAATGTTTTTATTTCAGAATGCGTTGCTATCAATGATGCTGTTAAAATCGCTCAGACTCGTCCTAATCAAAATGTGGATATCTCGGATTTTCCGAGCCACTGCTATCTTCTAAGTATCTCATTTGGATGCCAGCGCATTCGGGATTCAAGGCAACAAGAGTCGATTGGCAAAGCGTGCAGCCGATGTATTCGAAGAAAGTGATATTTAAATCCTGTACACTGACTTTAAAATGCGTTTTTAAAAGAACTCGCCTACTGGCACTTGCATATCACAGTGCTATCATGATCTTATGGCAGTTGTTCGTGAAAAATTATGATTTCAAAGATGCAACATTTCAATCGTCGATTTGATAAAAATGATAGTTATCTAAAAATGCATATGGATATAAAACATCTATTTCAAATAGAAAATAAAAGTATGTATGGACAAGCAATAGTTGCGAAATATCAGACTCTGAGCTGTGCGCGCCGAGAATCGTCGTCGCGTCGCTTCTCAAAATTTTCATAATTTTTATTTATCGTTGGTCTGAGAATTATTTATAACAACGAGACGATGTAAAATTTTACGCTCTACACAATAGTGTACTTTTTTTCCTCGTAAATACTACCGTTTTCAAATAAAACATAAAAAACGGAAATAGTACATTACGATACAAGTGCGGGAAAGTAGATTCTAGTCTCGTGTGGCGTTGACGCCCGAGCGAAGAGGATGGAAAGGTACACGAGACGAGAAACTCTTTCCCGAACATGTGCTGTACGGAGTATCGAAAAAAAATGTATTTTCCCAAACTTGCCAACAGTGTAGAACAAAAAACCTAATTTACAACACGAATACGGCTATATCGGAATTAAGCAGGATATTAATTATGATATACGATAACAGTTTCCTGTCCGTTTGATAAGTTTACTGTAAAAAGTGCGTTGATTTTATATATAATAAAATAAAAAACATTTTTGAAACAGAATAAAACGTTACGTGCATGCAAAAGATCATGAAGCTCGTCTGACTATATTTTAATAACTGACGAGCTATGAAATTCCGCGACAGAAAATTACGGCAGCACGTCATTGTAATCACGCGTTCAAATTTCCTTTGACGTTCTTATTTTTTCCTTGCGAGAATATTTGTCCCATGACGTAACACGTGTGTCGTATACAATGCGTCTTGTGCGTTATTGGATTTGCTGCAAACACCCTTTGCCTTCGACTTCTTAAAAGGATTTTTTTAAGTCATAAAACGTGTTCCATAGACTAGGGGACCGCCAATTAACCGGTATTTTTGCATTTACAACGAATGCTTGCTATAGCTTGCTTGTTACTGCTGTTTAAATTATTCTAGATAAATACATTTCCCATAAAACATTGAAGTAATTTCATTCCCAATAATTTTATATGATGATACCCATTTAATTAGGATAAAAACTGACTTTGAACTTAAGAAATGTCATATATGCGAGGCATAGAGTTGTAAGAGAGCGTAAAGTATTTTCAAGAGACGGTTATTTTTCAGATTTCAGGGAAATGCAAGAGAGATCTTGTTTCTCGTGAGCATGTGGTTGTCGTTGACTCGGAGTTCAAGAAAAGTCGTAAAGTTGTGGAGTGTAAATTGAGCGACAGCGTGGCGAGGGCAGTGAGTTATAGTGGTATGAGAGCCTCTGCATATTGTATATGCATACTTTTCTCTCTTTATTTATCAATATACTTCATTATTCTTCAGTATTTCACCTAATTATTTCGTCATACCGACCACGAAACCTAATACCAATCCCACACACATATATATATTTAGAATGCAAGTAAAAACAATTATGGATAATAATTAGTGGAAATATGAATAGAAAGCTGTCAATTATTATTACATAAAATATTGCAAAGTTTTGCTTTTACAATAATCGAAATTGCAACGGATCCATGCTACGAGAACTGCTACTACATATTATGTAGTTCTTTCTTTTTTTATTTTTCTTTCTTTCTCTCTCGTTCACGGGAATCCCAGCAGTGTGATACATACTGCGAGGTGAGTGCGAGCAGCGGTTGGCGACGTCGGCAGATCACTTGCGCTTGCGCAGTTGAATTTGAGTATATACCACTGAATTCATTTTGTAGAGATATAGCATAAGCGCGCATTTCAGAAGTAGCTAATCAGTATCTAAGTACACAGTGGGAAAGACTTAGATTTGATTTCTGAACATAATTTCTCTGTTGTTTGCCCTCGTTTTGAAAACGCTTACACTTGGAAGTCAGTGCTGCGTGTTTATACTTAAAAATATCAACAAATAGTATAGCTGGTATATAGACTAGCAAGCCGGCAAGATGACCGCACCCGTGAGTCAGGAAAATTATGGTGAGTAAAAAACCTTCCTTTATTCCAAAGATCTAAAATAACAACGAAATTAAACAATGCCAATGTTTAATCTATATATAATATAAGAAGGTATAAACTTAAGGAGGTTTTATGATCAAGTGCTCAACTTTGGGTAGCTATGCGAATAAAAATTACTTTTCGCTTCGATCTATCAATAGATAGATTTATAGCGAGTGAGTCGAAGACAAAAATTATTTTTTCATTTATTATTTATGGTGATAAACTATGTTGATTTTTTTTCATCTGCTATATCTACTGTGGCAAAGTTCCAATTTCAAACTATGTAATGTGACGCCTAAGTATATTTCTTTATATATGATGAAATTTGAAATCTCTTGTCAAGTATATTCAAAGGTCAGCCTTTTTGTGATTTTGCAGTGCATAAAGAGAGTATTTGCACCTCGAATTAATCTAAAACTGTTTTTTAATTTTGAGAGCACATTGATTATCAGACATTGTCTTAAGGTTTACTTCCATACTTCGTTATTTAAATTAAGTAATAGTGATCCTGTATGAAATTTCCTTTATTCTCTACTTAAACATTTCATTTTCTATAAAACCAACTTGGTTAAATATTAACAAACGGACAAGTGAAAAAAAGCTATAAAATGTTAGAGGATCAGCGAACTTATGGTAACAATGTGTCATTTTCATTCTTTATTATTTTCATTATGAAAACTTCTATCTTTTTTTCTATTTATAATTGAAATTGAAAGGTATAATTAAGTTAAATTGGTTTTTGAAGATACACATAAGTAATATTTTTTGGAGTAGCTAGTACTTCATGTTTCATGTGAAAATTAAAATTTTTTACACACGATACTCTTTTTAATAAAAATTTTATATTGATGTAGGTAAGAAGTTTGATTATGATGCACAATGGGCAGGTCCTTTGAATATAGAACGAAAGCGAACAGACTTTCCTTTCATAATTTCATTTGGTATTTACCTTGTCTTATGGATTGGAATCGCAATCTATGGTAGGATTTTATTATATGATTCTAGAATAAATAATAAATAAATAAATAATACTTAGAATACACAAATCTTACTGTTTTTTGTAGCTTTTAATATGGGAAATTTAGGAATGATGATTAATACAGGAGATGTAGGAATAATCAATGATCATGACTTGACGAGTAGTCCACATAGCAATGACAGACATTTTTTTTTTGCTATAAAGTAAAACACTTTAATTTAAAAAATTGTATTTATATTTATTAGCAAACCAATTTGAAAGAATTCTAAATTGTTTTTGTTTCAGATATATTATTTTTAGATTTATTTTATTGTCGATCTTTCTGAGTTTGACATATATAATTTCATTAAGATGGTTTGCAAGAATAATTATTTACACAGCAATTTTCTTTTTTTGTGGATTATTGATTGGTTTAATTTGTTTGTTCTCATATTTGTATGCAACTAACACTAAAAATAGTTATGTATATATACTGCCACTGATTATATTAATCATTGCATTTGTGGTCACAGTAATTATTTTCATTGCGTTTCGCAAGAAAATTAAAATTGCTTGTGCTGTTATAAAAGAATCAAGCAAGTAAGTAAAACAATTTTATTCAATAATAATAATACATGTTTATCTGATAGTCTAATTACACATTCAATTTTTTTGTAGGGTTGTTATATTTTTTCCATTTTCGCTACTATTTCCAATTCTGCCATACATTTTGTATGCCATAACTGTAATTTTCTGTGCATCCATTACCATTTACTTATCAGTTTTACCAAAAAATGAATATAACGAAACACCTAGCTACATTTACTTTTTTCATTTTATAAATATTTTCGGATTTTTGTGGATGACATGCTTTATAACTGCATTTTCACAAATGATTCTTTCTGGAAGTTATGCAACTTGGTATTGGTTCATGAATAAAAAATATGTTCCAAGCTACACAATAATAAGTTTCATGGCTATTACTACCAGGTAATATAATTGAATATTTTCTCATTCTTTGTCCAGTGCATTAATCATTTTGAATCTTTTCACTGTATTTGTTTACTTCCAGATATCATCTTGGAACATTAGCTTTTGGTTCACTCATCATAACCATATGTAACTTTATCAAAATTATTTTATATTCTATTTCAAGTCGTTTGAGAGGAAATTGTAATCCTTTAGCTTATTTAGTATTTGGTTGGTATCGGTATCTGTTTGGAAACATCGAGCAATTATTACAATATATAAATTGCAATGCATACATAATGAGTTGTATTCATGGTACAAAGTATTTAGAATCAGCAAAAAATGCATTTAATCTTCTTATGAGAAATATCATAAATGTTTTGGTAATCAATAAAGTGAGTACATATTATTTAACTGATACTTTAAAAAATTGTAAACATTGACATCATGTAAGACAATCATTATTTTCAATAGGTGACTGAAGCTATATTGGTTCTTGGACAATTTATAATAATTACTATTTCAGCCTTAGCCACCTATGGATACTGTCATTATTTGGGAATTCCAGATACTATTCAATTTACTGCTATACTATTAATTGTATTGTCAACATTAGCAATTACATATTCTTTTTTCATGGTGCTTAGAATAGCTATAAATACTGTGTTTCTTTGTGTATTAGAAGATTTTGAGCGGAATGATGGTACCACTGACAGACCATATTTCATGAGTATTGAATTAAAAACTTTATTATTACAAAACTCATAAAACTCTTTTTGTATTTTTTTCTTATTCTATATGTAGAATAAGAAAAAATTTAAAAAAATATATATTCCCTACTTAAAATTATAGTGATTTCATTATTAATATACATCATCTTTCTAAGTTTATAAAATATTTTGTGAAATAAATTGTAATAACTCTTGAAGTTAATTAATGAACTATCATTTTTGATAGTTTGGGGAAAAATATGTAAGCATTGTAATGAAGAATAGATGTAAATGTAACATTAAACTTTGTTTTTGTATCTTTTTATAAAAAATGTATTAATTACGCCAATTATATATACGCGCGTAATAATTATCATATCTTGCAATATTTACTTGATTAATATCCTATTACACCTAATTTTACACATATTATGATGTAAGTAAAAAATAAAATATAATAATTCTTTCTTAAAGTTTTACATCTTAGTATTAGATATAGTATTTTTTTAATTCATTATTTAGTACATTAATCTTTTACAAACATTTCACTGCATTATATTTCTGCAAGCTAATTTTTATTTGATTAAAAGAGTTTTAATTTTAGGTTGTTTAATATATTTAGATAATAATGGAAACCACAGGAGTATCTTACGATAATTTTATTAATTTATATATTTATACTTTTTAGAATTTGAAATATGAAATATATTAATAGAATACACCTAATATCAAAATCCAGATGATTTTAAATGAAATATAAAGTCACTGTTACTTTTTTATCATTTCTAGTAAAAAGTGTCATACACAGTATCTGCATGCGCACATTAGCTCTTTGCATAATTATTAATAATTGAAGTTATTTTAATATTGTATTTTAATATAAAGCTCATTCATTTGAAAGATAATTGAGCACTATTTTTAAAAAACCATTTTTTCTGTAGGTGAAAATCTGAATTAAAAATGAGCATACAACACTTGCCAATAAATTATAATTTATGACTATAAAATATGTTAAATTTTTGAATCTGCAACGTTTATTATGGCGAAGTATCTGATATTTATGTAAATTTCTTTAAATTCAATGAAATAGAATTTTTATCATGCATATATCGTGAACTTCACCACCAACAACCAGTTTCTTTATAACTACAGATACAAATATTAAAAAGATCAGTTAACGCGCATGCGTTTTAGTAAGAACATACAATAAAATTAGATTGTTGTTTTTGACATATATATTAATAATTTTAAAAAAGTAAGAGAGGTTCAATTAAAATAATGATTATTTTTGGAGGGTTCGGGTTCACTTTGAGATATTTCGAATGGTATTTTTAATTGGTCCATTACATTTGCGGGTTATAGGGTAAGGGGGGTTATATGAAATCGCTGCTGCGCGCGTGATCGGCGACGGTGATTCGTTCATTGGTTCTTCATCGGTCGAGTAATTCAAGCCATTATATTGAAACATAATCGCAGAAGAATGTAACGTGAAGTGCAGTGCCGTTTAACTTCTCCTTTATTAATTTAAAGTGAATCATTTTTACTGCAAACAGCGTAATTATTATACTTAAATGTATTATAATTTTTGTAATAGAGAAAATACGCAATATATTTCAAAACTTCTTTTGTAAACTAGAGATCGTTCTATAGCAATTTCTTTGTTCAGTGATTTGATGCAACATCAGTAAAAGATAATGATGAATATTAATCAAGTCGAGAGAAAAATGGAAACTGAGCGAGATGCTTCTAATATTAAAAAAGTACCTTTGGAAATTGAGCGAAAGCAAACCAACTTCGGATTTATTGTGTTAATGGGCATTTACCTTACTTTGTGGGTGGGAATTGCAATTTTTGGTAATAACTGCTATTAGTAGCTGTAATGTTATAAATTAGGCAAGTACTTTACAAGTAATTTTATACAAATGTTGCAGCTGGTTGTTCTGGAAAGTTTGTGCCAACTTTTGTGGTTGAAATAAGGTATAATATTACCCATTACATATCTAATTAAATCTAAAAATATATATAAAATAACATGAAATAATGTACTCAGATGGATTGCAATGAAATTTAGTGCATTTACTGCACTGATGAGTTTAAGTTATATTATAATGTTGAAAAAATTTGCTAGAGCACTTGTCTTTATAACAATTTTTATCTTTTGCATTCTGCTGGAGGTGGTTATTATTATGTTTGCAAGCAATTTACTTTTGGTAATCATATTGGTTATTTTGCTTGTACTAACATTAATAACTATCATTGTACTAAAAGAAAAAATTCAGATTGCTGTTGAAGTTCTTAGAGTAGTCAGCAAGTAATTATTGTGAAATAGCTTTATTCTAAATATTTTAAAAATTAGTATGTATTATTGATTAATAAATTATGTTTGCAGCATATTTATGTCATTTCCATCTTTAGTGTTCTTTACAATTTTACCATGTATACTTTATGGGATAGTGATGCTGTTTTATCTATCTACTTTGGATTTATTAATATACAATTATTCTTTCAAAGTTGACCTATTACATTTATTCCATGTGATTAATATGTTTGGATGTTTATGGTTTATATTATTTATCACTGGATGGTCACAAACAGTTCTTTCTGGAAGCTTTTGTACATGGTATTGGAGCTTGAATAAAAGTTATATTTCGCGATGTACTACTATTACAAATTTTTTTCGCATAACAGTCAGGTAAAGAAAACTGAAAATTATTTTTATATATTACGATTAGTTTATGATGTTAAATTTTATAATGTTTTAGTATAAATTTTTTTAATTATATTTTTAGATACCATCTTGGAACAATAGCTTGTGGATCTCTTTTGATAATTCTATGTAAATTGATCAGCTTACTTTTATATACGCTTGGAATATTATGCATACGGTGTGGTTGCTATGAACCTTTATTTAGGAAGTTGGAAAAGTTTATGATGTGCATAAATCGTTATGCATATATTGTAACAAGCAGCCATGGTACTGGATTTTTGAAATCTGCAAAAACTGCATTCAATATTGTAAAGAATTGTTCTATCATCTCTATCGATAGAGTAAGTATAATTCTGGATTTGCTATGATTTAATACTATTTTAATTTTATTTCTTAATAGGTAAATAAAATTATTTTTTATTTCTGCATTAGGTAGTTGAAGCAATTTTGATTCTCGGACAACTTCTGATTATATGCATTTCGGCATTGGCTACTTATTGTTATTGTCAATGGAATTCTGGAGAATGTAATCATGATAAAATGCTTGAAACCTTGCTAATGGTCATATTGTCAGGGGTTATAATTACAAAATCTATATTTATGATTCCTAAAATAGCTACAAATAGTATTTTCCTTTGCATTTTGGAAGAAAATGAAGAAATTGATAAAACTGTTGAAAAACCTTGCTACGTAAATGATGATGTAAAGGCTCCGTTTCTTCTAACTTTTGAATAGATATGAAAACATTTTCATTACTTTATAATTTTATTTATATTCTTTTGTCTAACCATTATTATTATTATTATTACTACCATTATTATTATTACTACTATTACTACAACTATTATTTAGATTTGACTTTTAAAATATTCATTTTTTAACTTTTGTAGTTTTGTTTGAAGTAAGTTTTAGTTGATAGCTTTGTTGGTATCAATACAATTACGAAAATATTTAATTAATGATGAAGTATGTAATAAAATAAAATTAATTTTATACATCCATATAGTTCAATATTACTCAGCTTTACATGAAACTGATAAGATATTTGAATATTAAGTGTATTTTTATATTTTACAAAATATTTATATGATTGGCTTGATGATGTTAGTGAACTATCAATAAAGTTTTGTATTACTGATGAGCATTGTGTCATTGATTATTAACATAATTGTTTTTATTTCTCTTAATAGTTTCTGATAATTCTAATATTAAGGATTGCTAAAGGTCGGGATCTTTAATATACTTGCGCATTACTGTATTTCACAATTTTCAAATTTGCGATATCGTGTCACATGTTTTGTTTTAAGATGTAAAAAATTGTACTTAGGTAGTTCATTTATTTGTTTTATACTTATAACGGAAAAAATCCTAATAATTATCAAAATGTCCGTAGATCACATCTCCAACTTATTGGTGTAGGAAACTATACTTTTTAATAATGATCTATGCGGTGCTGTAATATAATTACATATATCGCTTTATAAAAAATACATTGAAAAGGCCGAAATCAAGAGCTGACAAATAAACATTTAAAAAGGTATAGCTTGAGTAAAAATTTTCATTACAAATTGACAGATCAAATTAATTATACTCAATGTTTTCTACCACAAGTCACCGTATCAGCGTGCACGGGACCATTGGTACGGTTTTATTACATACACAAATTATTGTGCAAAGTAACATAGTGTAAAAATTGATACACGCTAATGCGAGCCATGTTATTGTGCATGATAATTTATGTTTACAATAAAATAGTCAAAATAGTGCATAATTGTTTGCATGCTAGAGCCGGCGGCCCCCGCCTAAAGCACGTATGGTGGCGCCCTCAAAAAGCTGGAAAAGAAAGCTGTTCTTATGGGTCTATGGGATGAATTCAGTACCGTGGTCGCCGTCGGCGTAAAAGTTGGAAATTCTCATAAGAACCAAAGTTAATTCGACGTCAACGCTGCTATCTCTTCTCTCCTTTGTTCATAGCGAATAGAATTTTGTTTAGACTTTAGGTATAAGGCTCAACGTGTTTTCAACTAAATTCTTTTTCTTTTGTTTCCTGCAGTGCATGCATTCATTGGATTTTGAACAAGCGATGACCGTTTGAGATTTTAACTTAATAGTCACTTAAGTGAGTCTGAGCCAGAGCCAATAGACACATAAAAAGAAAATTCGGTCGGCTTGAGATACAACGCCGTTACTACAACGATTTTTTTTATCTGATTTGTGAGCTTTGAAAACCAAGTGCTTAATAATACAGCGACCGGAAAATATATCTAATATCGTTACTGTATATTAATCATGATGGCCGTAATGGATTATATTGGTAAGTTTTTATTAATTGTATTAAAAAAATATAATTACAACGAACGACTGAATTTTCGGTTATTATAAGCTAAAAATTTATTTAAAAATGGGAATGCTATTGTCAATTAACGTAATAGAACTATACTGCTAGTTCCTTCACTAAAAACGTTTACGTAAATAATAATCTATTGTGTATGCATTTCTATATATTTTAACGCAGAGACTACCGGGTTGTTTTGAAAATTTATCAGAACCACATAGCTGATAAGGAATGAATCACGATCAATGCTATTTATAGCTCAACGGACTCTCAAAGTTTTGCTATAAAGATACAATTCACAATTTTATTTTTGGTATACTAAAAAAATATTCATTAATTTATATTATACTTAAAAAATGTTCGGTTATTTTGTTAAATTATATAATATTTTCTAACTTTTTCATATTTTTTTATGTGTCTTGAGTGAACCAAGTGGTAGAACGGAAAGAGGAAGATATTTGTATACTATGTCGCACTCCGAACGTTCATTTTTTGCATAGCTTTTGGCTCAATCAAGGCACGTATGTAACTAATACGTAGTTTAAGTGTTATGTTTATTTATTATTGACTCGGACCAAAGCTAATACAATAACCTAACAATTTTGAATCTATTTATAATCTTTAATGAATCGTGCATTACAATGACGTTTAATAATATGATTTCAATGCGATTCAATAATTGCTGACTATATTACGAAAATACAACAAATCATTATAATATTAAAAATTAGATAATGAATGTGATGAAGGAGAAAAGAATTTGATACCACGTCGAAACTATCAGCGATCTAGCACCGATCTTCACCATCTTTTCATGTTCGTCATGTTCTTAATGCTCTGGATCGGTATCGCTATATACGGTAAATATTACATCGTATAATATTGTTCATTGCAGAATCAAGAAAATTTGACGTAATTTGTCAATTGTCGTTTGTTTTGTAGCTTACATCGTTAATTATCAATCGCCTGAGATTGTGCAAGAAACAAATTCCGAATTTATTGGGATGATGTTGCAGCTACAAAAATGCAGGTAATTAATAGAATTGATATACATTTAAGCTTCAACCGATGGGATATAATGCAATCGTAACCTTTTAGATTTGTTTGTGTTTCATTCATATGGCTCGGCATATTATTTTTGGGATTGTATTTCATAGCGATACGATTCTTTACCAAATACGTTATCTACATTACGATCTTTCTGATGTTGGCTCTGCTAAGCCTAATACTTATACAGTTCTTTAGATCAAAAAGTTATTTTCAGCCGATCCTCGTGTCGGCAGTCATAGTATATTTGATTTTTTGTAGCCTCACAGTATATTCATTCCAACAGGTCGGTTACAAAACCATATGTATCATTATACAAGAATCTTGCAAGTAAGATATTAAATTAATCTATTTTGTACGTTTATAGAGTATATAAAAAAAATTTCGAATAAAATTGTTTCAGAGCAATGGTATGTCATCCATCTAGTATCTTAATCGTTACTATTTACTTCGCTTTGATAGTATTAGTAAATTATTTCATTGCGATCGTTACGTTAAGAATACTGGCCATTTCAAAATACGAAATAAATGATTCATCCAAATTTATTGATCCGCCGAAAAATGTTTTATTTCTATTATTTACTTTCATTGGTTGTTCTTGTTGGATAATAGCCGTAATTTACAATATTCAGCGAGTGACGTTGTATGGCATTTTTAGTACGTGGTATCAAACTGCAGATAAAACCAAAATTAGTTGTACCATTTCTATCAAAATGATGTACACAATTTTCAGGTAATAACATTAATCATTAGATGTATTAGCGCTTCTGTAGAACTTTTATAATATTTTTTAACTTTTTAGATATCACTTTGGAACTTTAACTTTTGGTTCTACTATTTTTACGATAATTCCGATAATACGCATCATATTTAATAGTCGGACTGATTTGTACAGAAAGTTTAAAGCAAATAAAAATACCATCTTCTGTTATTTGGTCATACTTGTTAACGCGACTTCGAATACTTTCGTAACTTGTGTGAGCCATGGCACTGGCTATTACCACTCAATGCAAGACTCATTTAAATTACTCATGCAACATCCACTGAAGTTTGTCACTATTCGTATTGTAAGTTTTTAATTCAATAACATTGCACTGTGCAAATATGTTTTTGATCTGTATAATGAATATGTTGTTTCTAGATCACTGAATTGTTGATATTTTTTGGAGCTGTTCTGATTCCTGGTTTGACGCTTTTTTTTGCATACCAGTACATCCTCCCGGATACGGATACGGATGGCATTACAATAATTGTAATTGCAACTGTTTTATTTTCAATAACATTCATTTTTCTTCAAAGTTTTCATGCTGCAACAACTGCAGTTTTGCATTGTTTTTTAGAAGATCTGAACTTCAAAACAAATGAAAGTGATTGCAATGAAAATATTAGTGTTGTCAATGACGACGCTTGAATATTTTTATTTGCTCTACGAAATATTAATTACGTAATAATACTCATGCATGTCGTACTTGATAACTTTTTGATACTTCTCGTGTTTTTTATTTTTTGGTTATATTAAGTAAAATAATGTTCTAATTATTTCATATTAGCATAATTTATGTTTATGAATATAGATATACCTAGCAAGTAACGAATAATACTATTTTTTAAATATTACTTCACTTCTTCTTTGTCAACTGAATTTTTAAGAATATGTATGCCCATATTTTGTATTCCCGAATTATCGTCTGTTGAATAATAAAATCTCTATAAATAATCATTTCAATTTCAATATTTTTCAATTTTTGTGTAGATGTTTCGCTCATACCTTATTCTTGTAGATTAAAAAGGCTCATCAAATTACAAAGTATTCGTTTATATTGACGCATTTCGAATAAAGCTGGATATTTTTACTAATTAGTGAAAAAAAGACAAATATTTAATGTTATAATGATATAGACTTCATTGTAAGAATTTCGTCATTTTTCTTCGTACAGTAATTGATCGCAATCGCAGTTTGATTTGTAATAACTAATCTTTAATATTATATGGACAATAACGTTGATCTATAATTTCAGAAGTAAAGATTTATAAGGAATATATGATAGTGTCAATCAAATATTAATTGAAAATGATTTATTTTTAATTCTGAGTGTTGAACATACAGAAGAATCAACTAGACACTTGAAAGAAATTCAAAAATTCAATAACTTAAAGTTGACTTTAAGAAGACGATAATCATTAAAATAATGCAGTTTGAACGCAAGTTGAATAGAGGCAAAGCTAAAAACTTGAATAAAATGTAGTGATCGGAGCTACAGCCAGTAACAATGATGGTGTGACATTTTGGAGCGCAGAGTATACATTTATAAAGATGCGAGCATGATTAGTGATTTTCGGGTGGCGGTATGTTCACGCGAGGCTGCTCTCCCTACCATAGCGATGCGTGACTACTATATCGCGCTCTGGTAGTTTTTCTGACAGCCACCACGGCAGAGCGTGCGAGCGAGCATATCGAGCAAATGAGTGTACGCACTACGCGACAGTGAGTGTACGCAGTGTCAGCTGAGAGGCCGCCCGTGCCGTCGCAACTCGCACGTGCCGTTCAGCACCCGGGAAAGCGAGCTAGCTCGCGGACACTGATGACGCCGCAACGCCTAGGATCTGACGCCTGCCTGCGTGTGCAGCCCGTAATCAGTAGTCAGCGACGAACAGCGAGTTTTCTCGCCTCGAAAAGCCCTATGCTGCTCCGCCATCATTGACGGAGCGCTCTTCCCATCCGGAAATCCACGCCGAGTTCGCTTTAGGGCAGCAGTCGGAAGAATCGCTTTGTAAATAATTCGTCATGACGGAGATAACGGCCTCGAGTGAGTATAGCTCGCTTTTTGCTTTTTTGTTCTGTTCTATTCACGCGTTTTCCTACAATGCTTCACTAATAAATTTGTCTTTCCCACCACCTCCGTCACTGCAATTATTAATAGAACTGCTTGCACTTTGTTCCGTTTTGACGAACCGTGCCAAGTGTCGTTGCGTTGCGCAAAACATTTCTTTCAAACTGATGTGCAATAACGTGTATCTAGTTATAGAACGCGCTAACTTATCTCTCTGCTGAATCTCGTCTTATTCGTTCGCGAAAAACGCAACGTACCATTCGTCTGCTTCGAAATTCCCAATGATACGCGATAGCTTTTTTTGCAATATATGCTAATCGGAGTATTGATATACAAGTTGACTGGGGGAATTACGTATGCATTTGTTCAATGCTATATTTTAAAGCGCAATACACACATGCCTAATCTCTATAGCCACGTTATGCTCTGACTAGATAAGGCGAGTCATTAACACGAAACTTTCTCTACTATACTTCATTTCTAACCGGACGCTTAAAATTTTCTTTCACTCGGGCCCTGGCAGGCTTTATACATTAATTTGTCTATTCTTTAGTCATTCTAATCCAATATGATCCAGATCGTTAATCATTGATATTTTTGCAGATCCAGAAGTGACTTATAAATCACTTCGGAGAAACATGCTACACGGAAATCGTGATGTTACGGACAAATATTGGAGCATTTTATTTTTATCCATAGTGTCCATTTGGATAGGCTCCTTTGGATATGGTAAGAAAATGTTATTGTAAAAATGCATTTCTTACACTATATTCGTGTATTTATTTCGTACGTTTGACTTCATTTGAAATGTCTATTAGTCGTGTATCAAGGGACTAATTTACGAACTGTTGAGCACAATAAAACGATTTTTGAAATGGAAACAAGAATTAACATGGATAATGAAAATTGGTTTTCCGAAATATACAATACTACAGCCAATAGTATCAGCAAGTACAGTAGAGAAAGGTATGCACGCAAATTCATGCTTGATACGAATTTTCATTCAAAATCTAATAAACTGATTTTCTTTTTAGCTGGTCAAGTACAATGGGTCTGAGAATGTTAATTTGTCTGCTGATTATGTTATGCGTAATGATGTTGATACGAGTGGTGCCGAAATTCTGCGCTCATCTTGCAATAGCTGGAACAACTTTAACAATAGTTTCAATAATTAGTGCTATTGGGATGCATCTTGCGAAAGATTATACGACTCGAGTGAAACCGTTCCGCGAAAAATTGTTACTCTGGATTACACCTGAATTAATTGGCTTTGTTTTATGTGTATCGGCACTTGTCGCTATGATGTACATAGGAGCTTTTGCTATGAGTGAGATTCTACGAAAATCGTGCAGGTATATTATTAGCTGTAAATATGAATTTATTAAGTACTTAATTTACTTAACATTCGCATTTATTTCAGGGTTTTCTTTTTTTACCGTTACTCAGTATTTTTCGGATTATTCATTTTTGGAATAATAATATTTATATTAAACTTCACAATCAGATATCTCGAAGATATTCCTACGAACAATATTTTATTTTACACAATATTAGGCGGAAGTATCTACTTTATGCGATTTATCTACTTTTTCGGAAGGATGGTGATTTCTATGTTAGCAGCCACGCATCATTGGTCTACAAACAAAAGCAGTATTCCTTTTACTGCTCTATTTAGCGCAATTATGAGCGTGAGCAAGTAAGTTACATTACACATTCGATGAAATTAAAGAAGCTTGTGTAATCAAAATTTTTTTTAATTTTTAGATATCATTTTGGAACAGTTTGTTTCAGTGCAACAGTGATCTTACCTCCGATAGTTGCATTGTTTGCTCTATGCAAATCCAAATCCGAACCCGTTCAAACTTTTGCCAACCGCTTCATTAAATTCGTTTTTAGCGTTTACCTAACGGTTTATATTGCAGAATACTCCACGATCGTAACCGCTCTGCACGAGCTCAACTTTTACCAATCTACGAAGAAAACGTTTCATCTTCTGATTAAAGACTGCCCGCGATCTCTAGCATTTTTAAGAGTATGTTCAATCAAGTTTAAATTATGAAAATATAATCATACACGCGTTTGTTTTATATTTTTCAATGTATTCACAGGTTTTTGGAACTATTGTGAATATTGCAATAATGAGCTTATTTTTAGCGGATGTTGTGATTTGTGCTATTTATATGCAGCGAAACTTTCCCGATTTGGTGATATCATCAATAACAGTGCTCTTTACCTACATTTTAATGTCTTTACCGGTATACATAGTAATGGATACAATAACAGATACAACTGTTATTTGTGTTATGAATGAAGATGAAGATAATATAATATCTGATGAAAAACCACCTCATATAGCATTCAACGGATCAGCGGCCTAAAATGTTTGCTATAATTGAAAGATAAAATTAGCACCGATATCTACCTCAAGTCAGCTTTCTCGATCTTCTTGTTAATTCATTTACAGTTATAAATTTTTCATAAAACGTTTTAAGTTAGTTAGTAATTTAAACTACTTCTCGATCAAAATTAGGTTATAGAAAATACAAATACGATTACACTGCAACACTACGATTCCTGTTGTAAGTTATTTTCAACATAAAAAAATAATATTATATTAACTATATTTTCAAAGTTCATCTTTGATTCTTATATTCGCGAAAGGTTTTTAGATCAAAATAGTTTTCGTGTTTTTTTATGTAGAACTAATTAGGTTTTATATATTGATTTTTCTCAAATATCGAATTAGTTATTCTGAAAATTGAATAGAGTATTGTAAGAAAACTCAAATTAATGTCAAAGAATATTGTACATATATGTGACACAGTAAGCAACGGTGGAGTAGATTGAAAGAAATGAGAAGATTTTTTTCAACTGCATTTAAATAAAGAACTTTATGCCAACTACAATGATGAAAAAAGTACAAAACAATAAATTACAAGTATTTATTATGTATTTTACAATTGCATTATTTATAATATTACCTAATCAAATTCAATATTTTGCCTAAACATTTATACATCAATAATAATATGAAGGCATTTTTGAATTTGAAATAATTTACATTTTTTATTATATGTACCTAAAGTCAATATATTTTTCATATGTAAGTACTATGATGTAGTTATATATTAGTCATGAGCATATATCACGTTTGCAGTATTTGTTCTCTGGATATATGGTAATATTTTTGTCATATTCAATTGTGTAACGATACTCGTTTGATAATGAAAAATAGTGCAATATAGGAGTTCATTATTTTATCCATTATTTTTGTTTTATTCTTTGATTATGAATCAAATACACTTGTGCAATCTTTTATAACACTTTCAACTGTAAATCAGAATTTAATTCAATTTTACAGTTAGTATTTTCAATTTTAAATTTGTCAAATTTTAATTATATATTATTTGCACATACTGCTAGTTATTAATGATAATAAATCTTTTTTACATGAGCACACTTGCATTGACTTATCATAAAAATAAATTATACTTTACCATGACATTTAGCTTCTACAAATACATATCATACAACTTACAACGCCAAAATTATATTTACTTATTGTTTTTTTATAACCTGGAGTATTTTTAAAGCTATTTCATTTCCTGGAGACTTCTGCATTTCATACTCAAATCTTATAATTTATTTGTTATAAGCATGGAAATATGCCGTATCGTACAAATCGTTCACGAACAATCTTATAAAAAATAATTAAGTAAGCTTCATAGTTAACGGATATGCAATAGTTGTATCGGCATTCATAGCATCATTATTACGAATTTAGTTCAAATATTAATGATTTATAGCTGTCATCTGTTAAAATTTATGGAAAATTTAATGAATTGATCTAATAAAATCAATCATTAATGCATGAAGAATCAACGGAAAAACAAACTTATCTTTTGAAAAAAATATCGATTTGTAAATTATACATTTTTTAGCGCGATAATTTAGTTTCTATCAGAACATTTGAACAACAGCTGATACTGATAAATTAGAGAATACTATTACAAAATTTTATTTAAAAAAAAAAGGAGTAAATGGTAACTCATTATATAGTTTTGTGTATATACATACACGCAAAAGTAAAGATCATTCTAATGCTGCATTTGCACCTTAATATTTTGGTTCGTATTTTATATCACAAAGTTTTACAACAAAAATATTAAACGAGCATTATGTAGTTTTCTATAGATTAATATCTCATAGGTACATATATCTATGTATATTCAATCACATTTTTTATAACCACACACACTTATAAACAAAAATCACATCTAATTTGATTAATCATGAAAAATAGTATTATAGTAACTATTTCAATTTACAATACTGTATTTTGAAAACGATACGCATTTTCATATTTTCATTGTATCTCGAGAGCATCACTATAAACAAAGTAAGAAAATAACGAGAAGCTCAATTATAAAAGTAAAAATAATGTAGTAATGCCAAGAATTTGAGTGAGCCGTTACAGTAATAATAAAGAGGAGTTATATAATTTAGGGTTACATAAAATTCATAAATAACAATTGCACCTAAGTCTAATGTTTGTTTTTTTGGGCGTGTACTTTAATATTTGTCAACGTTTACGTTTGGAAAAATAAATATGAGCTTTGTTTCGATAAATTTTAGTTATACGTGTGATTGAAAGGCATGTTATTAAGCTTTGTATCAGTTGTACTTATTAATATTTCAGTAATCATTACTATATGAACAAGGTATTAAGCGGAAGCTTCTGAAAAAATCATGTCGGCATTAAAGGCTATGATATAGGTATTATTAAGTAACTGTGATCGTTAATCGGCAAATGGACAAATTTGCATTGGTCGTGATGGTAAGCGATTGTACGTAACACAAGCTTTCTCGCCCGAACGATAAATGTCTAGATAGTCGCGAAAAGATAACACAGAAAAGCCATCGCGGCGTGCTTGCACTAGCCTTCAGCTGCACTATGAGTATTCAAGGCAAATATGAACAGTGCACCAATTGAAATAAAGTCCTAAGTGTTCTTTCCTTTCGCGATCGACGCTAACAATGTCGCTGCACTTAGGAATTCAGCCGCTTCTTTGGTATCCGATGCCTCTGCAGATTCTTCTGCCACTGCATGTTATGCTTGAGTCGCATGTGACGGCGAAGGTCCGTCCTGCGACTGAGGGTCGTGTGACAGAGAATGCAGGTGGTCTGGTTGCGATGCACCTCGAGGTGCTGAGTCAGCGATGCGAGATGCTTGTAAACGCTGCCGCAGAGGCTGCACGAAAAACGTCCTGGGCCTTGCATCACCACTTGGCCGCCATTTGCGTCGCCAATGTACTTCCGTTTTCGTCCCACAACCCCCCCTGCAACACATTCAACACCTTCGTGACCCCAACATTTTTCATTCGCTACGGCAACTTCTGTTCCGTCAATAGCTTTGCCATTTCTAAACTAGTGACTCCAATGAAATTTGCACACGCATTATCATACCGCTATACACAATATGCAAGTTTTTTTTTCATCAAATTTTTTCAAAACAAAAAAGCATTCTCATCCGATTACGTCAATAATCCGGTGGGTGTTGAATGAGAGCTAATGTTTCAATGTTTGATGGTTACATCTAAAACGAATGTTGCTCAAATAAAATGGCTCTACGGTGTTTCTTAAATTTGATGAAATTTTCGTTTCTATTTAACTGAACGATCAATATTCGTGCGCTAATTTCTCGCACTTGCCTATGTCAACTATCTTCCTTTGCTCTGAACCGTATATCAGCCAGCCCCAATGTCTGTAGTGAATATGTTTCTGTAATTTATTACCTTCGAATGATAGAATAGAAATGTGGCATGAATCATCACAGTTATATTAAATAAATTAATACAAACAAAAATGTACTTTTAGAAAGGGAAAAAATATTGGTGTAGACATTTTAAAACTTTATTCACACATACCTCGTACTTACATGGTTTAGTAAGCAAAACATAAATTTACTTAATTTGTCTACATTATTGTTAGAGACAAACTCATATTCATCAATTTGCGAATGTGTGTATTTTTATTTTAAACTTAATTCGTTTCTTTACTTACAAAATAATAATTGGCAATCTTGTACTTAATAATATATGACTTATGAGGAATGTGCACATTCATTTTTCATTAAAGTTAACAAAAATATTTATTTCTTTAAATTATGAATATTTATTTGTAGTTTAATTAGGTACAAAATATATGTAACCATTTTAGATGCAATAAGCTAAATGGATGCTAACCGATTAATTAAATCAAAGAGAATAAAATCTATTTGGATAATTTTTCTGATATTCTTTTCTTAAAGTTAGAAACATATAGTATTCAATAATATATTCCTGATTCCAATCTTTCAGTTGATAAAATAATCATTCCAGTTTTTTTTAAACTAAATGCCAATTAATTAATATATGGCCACTAGTAATGAACACCAATCTATCAATTGTTATGATATATAAAAAAGCAAGCAAATCGCAACATGTACTTGCAAACGCGTTGAATTGCACTTATATTTTATTCCACACAGGTAACGCTTTTATAGATTATTCAAAAATATTATAAATAAACTTTCCAATGATCATGTGTTTGTTGTTTTTTTTACTACATCGAAACGAACTTTATACTTATTCTTTGCCTGAAGTTTTCACATGCGGTCAACGTTTTTCTCAAAACTATATTTATACATTATTATTCTTTTTGAAGTCTATCGATTTCTTTTTGACTGTATTTGCAATTAATTAAACTTCAAGTATTAGAAAAAGAAAAGAAGAGGAAAATAAAAACTTAAACATCCTTAAAATTAGCGTCGAATTGAACAACACCGAAACTTTATTGAAAATGCATTTAACCTTCTTGTTACTAATAAAACACTCACAACACTTTGTTTCAGCAATCACACTTATAGATCATTCGAAAAAATGCGGTGCTCACATGACAATTATAATTTTTTTTGCAAGACTAGCATAGCATTCGGCTGAAAGGTGTCATTCTTGTCACCAGTCACTAGATAAAGTTTTCCACTGGTAAACCTTGGTAACTAAATCGAAATCGTCACAATCGAATCTGTAACAGCTAAAATGTATACTATGGGTGACAAGAACAAGCCCTTGAATTAAGTAAACATAGTGATTGACTACTAATAAGAAAGAAAAAAAGAATGAATAGTGTCGCTAACGCAATAACAAAAACTTCCTAATTTGATGGGCACAAACACTAGAAAAATGCACATTCCTCCTGAACGTATGCTCTACTTAAGTACGGAAAACAAAAAAAAATTATTCTGACTAGATATAATTATTTATATCTCCACCTATTCAACTCTTTGGTTACAAAATAGTATTACAGCGCACGTTAAATTAATTTTGGTTTCATCCTTTCGAGCACTGGCGCGAATAGTCAATTGCAAACTAATAAGGATCGATAAAAGAGAGAATGGGTGATTAAAGGAAAAAGTTAGGATCTCCGGATCGAGCCGGTTTAAAACTTGCTAGTAGTAAGAGGGAATTTTTAGTCAGAAAACGTATAAAAGTGCAGAATGACATATGTGGCGGCAGCTAAAGAGAGCGAAAGAGAAAGAGTAGGGGTAGGGGACGGGGATGAAGTACACGGCACACAGTTATGTACACACGCGAACGGCAGCGAGGGTGCGTAATCAGTAGCCAAAGGCTCCTCGCGCTTACGCGATCGCATTCCCCGTAACGTTAGTCGTCGTAAGCATGCACATTTACATAATATATCGGCATTGCGCATGATCGTATGTTTCGTGAGGCAGGCACACGAACAGAGAGAGAGAGAGAGAGAGAGAGAGAAAGAGAGAGAGAGAGAGAGAGAGAGAGAGAGGGTGAAGGGGACAAAGAGAGAGAGAGAGAGAGAGAGAGAGAGGGAGGAAGAGATGATTAATCGTAAATGACTAGGGCGCGCTGGCTGGTTGCTGGTCCGTTGGCGGCGTCGCCTACGTCACCGTGGTCGCGCGGTCGTCGTGGGCCGGCCAGGCCCCGGCGCTCTCGCCGCCGCATTAAGGAATGGGGCTGGAGGTGATCCTCTCAACGCTGCTCTCCCGGATGCGGATGGTCGTGAAGGTGGCAGCGGCACCGGAATCGACGGCGGCCGGTGCGGGAGCCACCGCCGCCGCCGCCGCCGCGGCCTGCGTGCCCGCGCCCGAGGTGGTCAGCGTGATCGAGCCGCTGGTCGTCGCCGAGCTGAGGTTCGCCGGGGAGCCGACTCCCGGCCAGCCGTGGCGGTTCTTCAGGTGGCGCTTCATGTGCGTCGTGCGGCTCAGCACCTTATGGCACACCGGGCACTGGGTCGTGCCCTTGTGCATGTTCATGTGCTTGTACATGGAATCTCGGTTCCAAAACGTTTTACCGCAGAGTTTGCACGAGTGCGACGGCTGTTCGATGACCACTGAACGTGAATCTGAATCAAACAGCAAAGTTTTTATACCGCTGCAGCTGGCTTGCTGTCCTCGTGCGCCCAGCACGTCATCGCTTTCGCTACTTTTCCTCATACGCTAACATCTGCATTATCTCTCTTTTGCCGAATCAACAAGGACAATTACGTTTGCTCATCACTGAGACTCACTCAATTTTTCGCCGTCTCAGTTTTCTCTCTAAAATTAACTATCAAAACTTCCCACTCTTTCGTACTCGACAAACTTGCTTCGCAAACCTTGAAAGAATTTGTTTGTTTGTTTGCTTGTTTGTTTGTTTTATTTATTTTTTTTTTGTCACAAACACTTATAACACTTGGAAAAATGCACAACAACCAAACAAAAATTGGATTAGCACTCAATCTTGTAAATAAAAAAAATCATGCTACACTGTGACTGCTAGCATTAATAATAAAAAAGTATATAAACAAAAAGTTGGCAACATGAGTACCAGCAGCAAAACATTTGAAAACGTGTAAAATATCGACAGCAAAGCAAATGTAAAAGGTGTTTTGATACTGGTAGCTATCTCGTTATATTACAAATCATTCGTTAAGATGTGAAGGACATTAAAATACTTGAATGACATGCATATGAAAAATAGTTTTAGAATATCGATTTTTAATTAAAAAAAAACTCATTTACAATACAAGCGATATATGATACAGATCAATGAGTAGTAAACAACATTAATAATTTGCACGTAGTAAGTAAGATGAAAATATAATGTTATATGGTCTGTGTTGAATCGACAATCGTGTGTTCCTTCAATTAATCGCTCTGTAAAATGGTTTTGAAAAAGGCGTACCACTTAAAAACTAGCAGGTTATTAAGTATGCGCCGTAGAAAGGGAAAATCGAGCGAACGTTATCAATGACGTTAATAATAGTGAGCGTTGGCAGATCCGATCGTTGGAACCTATCGTATAGCGCGTGTGCCGCGCTTGACTTTTCATGATTTCATCGCCCGATGACCAGTCGTCACAACAGTCAATTTAAAAAAAATAACGTCATCGTATTACAAACTAAGGCCACTATCGCTACTGCTACGCAAACGGCAAGTGTAACAAAAGCCGACTTGCTCCAAGTCCAAGTTCGCAATTGTGCAACTACGTATATATACGCATCTAGTCCAAGACACCTACATTACCAAACGCAGTCGCCACAAATCGAAACACATCGAGTTATCACTGTAATAATAGTATCACACTACGTTCAGTCGAGAATACGCCGCAGTAGGTAAAGCTTTCGTGCACATTTGATCGCAGTCAGCCGCGCAATCGACGAGCCTTGACAAATCTGTCGGATGATTTGTGCGAAGAGCCCGGGCTAGCCGGAATAGGTCTGGCGAGCGCGGCGGAATTGCGTCGGCTGGGAGAGCGAAAACGGAAAGGATAGGAGGCGGCCGTGGCCGCGATTGGTCGCCAAGTCCGAACGCAGAACGGAGCCGATGTTTATCACAGAAGGAAGTAGGCCGCGACGGAGTCTGGGGTGGGTGGGTGGGGGGGGGGGGGGGGGGGGGAGGGGCGAGGAAGAAGAAGGCAATCAGTCTCTGGCGTGGAGCGAAGAGTCGTCTGGTCGGCAGAGCAGAGCGGTGGGGGAGGAGAGGGGCCCTTAGGCGTTGATCTTGACCCCGTGGATGTTGACGAGGTGGCAGCGCATGGTGTACTTGCGCGTGAAGACGGCCTGGCAGATGGGGCAGACGGTGTCACCCCTGTGTATGCTGCGGTGGTGGGCGAGGGAGTCGCCGCGGCTGTAGCACTTGCCGCAGACGTCGCACACCCATCGGCCGCTGGCCGCGGACGGCTGCTGCTGCTGCTGGTGCTGCTGGTGCCTCCTGCCGCCGCCGATATCCGGCGCGTGCGGTGGCACTCGCGCTGTTGCCTCTGCGCACACAATCCACGAATTGCTCATTTATTGCCGAGACGAGTTTCGTTATGGTGTGTTGTTGTGGTCTGTCTGTTGTTGGGAGGTCCGGCGGGAGCAGTTTGTGTCTGTGGCTTTGGGGTGAGCTGGACTTCGCGTTCGCTAGCGTTCTCGGAGGAGCGAGCTTCGCGCGGCTGGTGTATCGGCCAACTTGTTACGAGCGGACGTGTGGCGATACGTTTCGTTTTGGGTTGTCAAGCTGGGACGTCGCGATTCCACCAAAAAGCTCGTGGCACGAGTTGCTCGAGAGCGGGAACGGAGTGAGATGATGTAGGACAAGTAGTTATCATCTACGGGAGACGTGTTGGTTGTTCAGTAATTCACAATCTCATTTTAGTTTGTATAAATGCTTTTATTACAAAACTCATTGTATCTTTATTGATTGTTCAGTATCGACACTGTACACATGAGCGTTCATGCTGTTCAAAGTAAAAATATACGTATATTCATATTTATCCATTTATAGACAAATTTGTCTTATTAATCTCGGTACACACGCAGAGCTCACATCAGACGCTCTGCCGTTCTCTCGCTATATCTAGAAGCATTTATTGTTTCTTTTTTTTTATTTCAAGCGCAACGTTCGCACGCGAATCGCCTTTATCACAATAATCGTGTGTATCTATCAAGGTAATTTACTTATCTGACAGTTAAATCAACACATGGAAGGCTGAACTTGCGCGGATTAACGTTTATCTTTACTACTTTAAGTACAAAAGAAAAAGAAGTTTGAAGCAGCAGCGAAAATGGAAAATTTCAACCGCCAAGCTCAATGAGCTCGAGAAATTCACTCCGATGGGCGTGTACTTGCAATCGTGATCATACAATTTTTCTCTCTTTATGTACACTTCTTTCAGAGTAACTCTTACACTACACAGATTACTGTAACTCGCGGATTGCTTTCAACTAACTGCTCGCGTACATACTCGAAGCACCAAAAAACGAAAACATCATTATTTATATATAAACCTATTCTTAACAACTAGGAACTATTGACGATTTTGAAAGAGTTTCCGAGACATTGTTCACAATTAAGTCGGTCAAACTGAGAATTATTGCTGAAAATTATGGCACAGAAGTTTTTGAAGAGAAAAAAAAAAGAAAAAAAAAAGAAAAGAAAAAAAAAAACACAGATAAAACAATGAAAAACAAAAAAAAGTCGCAGTGTCTATGAATATTTACAAGAAGACAAGTTGCGTGATAGGAGAGTAGAGAACGCTGACATAAAATCGAGAGACGTTGTTTATTTTCATTTCTTTTTACTGGTCTGCGCGCTGCTAATCTTAGCATCGACATTCAATAGCGTGCGCTTGTGTATTCGCAACAGATGGACCCTCATATCGTAACTTCGACTAAAGATGCGCTGGCATATGGGACACCTGGTCTGACCCGTGTGCAAATCCTTGTGCAGCGTCAAGGATATCGGGTGCTTGAAACCCTTCCAACATATTCGACAGCGAAATAACAATTCGGAATCTGAGCCCTGTTCGTTATCGTCATCATCGACATACGCGCCCAATTCGGCATTTGGGCCAGAACTACCACCCTCTTGCTCTCCTGGCTGTTCTATAATAAAACACATCAAACACATCACCTCAATCATCTCGTTTTCAGCGCCTACGTTCTACTTCTTCTTCTTTATTTATTCATTCATTTATTTATTTTTTAATTTTTTTTTTGTTCTCATCATATTTACTTGTCAATAATTTGATCGATGCAAGTACATCCTTCAAGCAAATGTACCTGCATACTTTTCTGTTGATTTTTTGTATATATGTAAGATCAGTGGCGTGTGTGAAAGCAGAAGCTAGGGTAAAAAGCCTGATTAAGACGACAGAACACATTCAATAGGCTCAGTAAGCAACCCCAATCCCCAACAAAATGGATGCAATTGTTTTTTCTCTCTAGGTTCAACGACAAACACATTTAGATGTATCTTTAGATGTATCTGTGTGTACGTGTGTGTATGTTTGTATGTGTATGCAAACAAATGGTTCAAAGAAACGAATTCTTGCACAGCTTACTAGTCGATGTATCTGTTTTAATTTTAAGAGAAAACGTCTCTAATAGAAATGCTATCGAAAGAGTATTACAATGTTCCACTACAAGATCCCTTTTAATATTTCTTTCTATAGAGGGGTTTACTTTACTGTTGTACGTTACATCATTCGTTACCCGTTTCGCGAGTGCTCGGTCAATCACTTGACGAGCTTTGTACTTGCATCGGACATTACGTATCTACAATGAAGCTTATGCATGATAGTCGTAAAAATGGTCATAAAAATGCTGGAAGTGTTTCAAACGCTATCTTCATTCGGTCAGTTGAATCGTAAAAATTTGCCAGTATCAAAGTATTACAAAAAATATGCTTAATTATTCAACGATACTTTAACGCATTAGAAATCAATGCATCCGCACAATTATGTATATATATATATAGATATATATATATAGATATATTTTTTTTACAAGTTTTGGCATCTTCCTACATTATTCTTAACACTAAAGCTAATTCGATTAGTTATATACATTATTTATATAATTTTAACATATTGTAAAATTCGTTGATAGGATAAGTGCACTGCTTCGATTAATCTTTTCAAACATACGGTGTAAAGCCGATAAAAATGGGCAAGTAACAGTCCGCACGCTATGTTACAATGTGGCGTTCGTTTATAAATCTAGTAATGAATTTATTGTCGTAAATTGAACAAGCCCCGCGGAAAAACAACGCAATAGAATAAAATGTGCAAAAAATTAACGCTTCGATTGGCGGACTAACGGAATGCGATAAGAAAGCACGAGCATGATTTTGATAATAAACACTTACGAGTGTTGCCATTCGTACGTATATTACGAATAGAGTAAGGTTAAAAAGGCACATAAACATTAAGGCGTAATACATGAATAAATGCATCTTGGAATGAGTAATAGGATTAATGAAGTGTCGAGGCGATAAGACGTAAAATCAGCAGCTAAGGTCTAAATAACAATGGAGCAAGGAGGAGCTGGCTGCGTGCAATTATCCTATCATCCTCTAGCGCAATGTATAATAACGAAAAGAGAGTGTCATGTGATAAAATGTACAATTGGAGAGGAGCTCGTCGCGCGCTACGAGCTAGCCGCGAGCGAACGGTGGCTGGGTGCGGCGAATGCGCACACGCGGCACAGGGCCATCAGTACCGAGAAGCGACCGCCTGCCGATTTGGATTTGCGGGCAAGGCTCGAGCGTCGCACCAGACGACAGAAGACCGGGTGCAGAGTCGGAGGGCCGGGAGGGACGGGACGGACGGGTGGGACGGGAGGGACGGGAGGACGAGGCGCAGTCAGGGCTTGAGGATGCGCAGGAAGAGGAGGGAGGGCGAGGGCTTGGGAGCGATCGGTCGGACACCGCCGGCGGACAGCGGAGCTCTGGTGCGTTGGCGCGACGAGTCGGGTTGGTGCTATGGAGGCGGGACGTGGGGTATCGAGCGCAACTGGTGGAACTCGGCAAAGCACGGCGTGCGGCAGAGGCAGGCATTGCAGGGCCAGCACTTGAAGCGCGTCTGCCTGAGCTTTCCACGCGAGGTGAGCACTCCGCGGCGCTTGCAGTGCACGCACACCTTGCCGTGGCCGTTCGCCTTGCTGAGGTTGTGCGCCTGACCGGGCACGTACGTTACCTCTCCTACAGACAGAACAGCGACGCGCGCCCCCAAAAGGGCGCGAACGCAACCAAAGTCTTCCGTTAGTCTCTCCTTCCTCTCTGTGCTTTCGCTTTGCTTTCTTTTTTTTTTTCATTCTTTTCATTCTTTTAATTTTTTTAATTTTTTTAATTTTTTTCTTTTTTTTTTTCTTTGCTTTTGCTTTTGCCCGCTTGCCTTTTCTTTTCACTCGGTCAGTTCCCGGCTTCCTTTGCCCGTTTTACGTTACTTTATCTTACTTTTAGCGCTCTAGAGTTTGCCCGAGCCAGAGACAGAGTGGCTACCATGCAGCAACCATTAGTGGACGCCCCTCACCGAACTCCACCCAGCACCAACCAAGAGAGTCGTTATGTATGAGTTTGAGTTACAGTGACAGTTCGTTATGCGTTAGCCAGAGAGTTTTACAGAGACAGAGCCACGTGTGTTTGTTAATTCATCACCAATACCCACAATTTAGCATTGCCAGGTGCTAGCTTAATGTGCTGCTTTTTCGATTCTTTTCTCTCTCACTTTCGTACTAATTTTTATTTTGGCCTGATTTCCAAACGGATTTTCTTCCACATTTTCCACTAATTTCTTCGCCTGGTTAAATTACAACCGCCGCGACTTCCATTCGCTCTACCATACTCTTTTCGAGATTTTCTTCTATCAAGGGTAGGTCCACGCTAGCTTTTCAAAAGTTCCCATTTATCGTTCCGAAAGATCGTTTCCCACTACAAGTCGAAACTGCACAGGCTACGTACGACCAAACGACATGTCGGTATAAGCTAACAAGAACGGCCGCATCATTTTTTTTATTCGTCGATTCGATTGTAACAAGCTTTTTGGTCTTATGCTCTCATTCATTTTGAGCCTCCAAGTTGTTTCTCATGCTATATAACGCTATAACAACTTTATACTTACTTACCGTATTAATCATATCGATTTACTAGCGAGAAATATAAAGAGATAATGGTAATCTAGAAATACAAATTACCTAGAATAGTATACGCACGCATGCCACTCTCACCTCTACCACCACCAGTACTATTGCCAAAGTGTCAAAAAACAATATTCGAGATAATAGAAATTACGTTTCCACGACTCGAAGCTCGAAAACACTAGGCCACTGAATAACATTATTCAATCGGGACACTTCATTACTTAGTAGCTCGTATATATTTACTTTGGACATCTAAAACAGAAATAACATTCTTAAATGCCCTTTCTTTTATGCAGTGACCTATTGCCTTTGATATTGATTATCGTGACGAAAACGACGAATAAAAAAAATAACTGCACGGATTTTTTTTCAATGCTCATACGATTTGTACGAACAACACCATGAAAGAAAAAATTTCTAATATAGTTGTCAGTCAAGTCCGTCAAAATTGGTGTGATCGGAAATGTCATACTAATTATTCAAGTCATCGATTACTACCAAAAAGTTTTTCAATAATACAATCAACATAAATAACTAATGTTTAAGAAAAAAGTGGTGGCCTTATTTGAAAATTAAATGATAAAAGAAGGAACATTGGTGATTGTCGGCACACATACAGCACTTGGCAATGCTTACTAAAAAAACTACAAATCAACCTACACCCGATTATCTTTACCACACAGGTTTTTTACATTCAAAAGTCCATGCACTCTTTACACTGTATAAGAATTGATTTATTTGAAGTCAATGAAAATAGAGAAGAGCTTGCAAAAGACAAGTGTCACTTTTGTTTTACGATTCACCAAATATTATAAATTTAAAATAGAAACTTGTGAACCTGATATAATGTGTACAGCAGTTCGAGTATGAAAAAAAAAAAAAAAAAAAAAAAGAAAAAGAAAGAAAAAGCAGGCAGAATAAGATTAACGTTACAATTCTTATGAAATTTCCGACATAATTGACTGATCAACAGCGATATACAATCAAATAATTTTTTATTATTTCATTATAAAACAGATAGAATTAAAAAAAGATTAACATTACATTTTATCAAATATATTGTTAAAAAAAGTGAAGATATATTACAGCGCGCAAAAAAGTCAAATAATGGATGGAAACTTCATAATATTGAACATTGCATATAGATAGGAGATGAAATCAGGTCCACATGTGTGGCAAGTATGGAAAATAAATTCAGAGCCTATGAAAGGATTTGTGCATTTTCAAACAATAATATAGAGGCAAACTTTAATTATATTATTGTTTTCAATTTCACCCAGTTTTATAATACCAGATTCATCCGTATGCAAGTATGATAATGCAAAGCTGCAGAGGCTATAAAGCCATTATATTCAAATTTTTATGAGTGAGTTTGATTAGCTAACTACCCCTTTACTAAAATATTAAACTTGTAATAAATATATAATGAAAAATTTCTAAATGTCCATACTCTATAGAAAAGGAAAGATTGTAGCAGTAAAGATTTGTTATTTTCTGTAGATTATGGAATTCCTAATAGTTGTATTTTAATTGCACCCAAGTTTGATAAAGTTATTAAATGAATCTTAAAATACAGTAAATATAACCAAGAAACATTTAAAGAATTGAATCTGACCAAGTGTTATGATGCATTTAAAATACAGATGATTCATTTGTAGAAGTTGCTGGAGATAGAATTTGATAATACACAAATCAGAAACTTTTATTAAGTTATTTTATTAAAAGTGCATGTTACCATTTGCATAGATATTTGAATTTTTTATTTTAATATAAGTAGATTTTATATAAATAAATAATAATGGCAGCTTCTGCAAATGATCTAATATAATGTTCTACAGAAAAAAAACTCACCTTGCATTGCCTCATGTGCTATTCTGTCCCCTGAGCTAGTACCAGGCTTCGAAAGTAAATAACCTATTGACATAAAATAATGTTATGTATTGTGAAAATATTAGCTTGTCAGTAAAAATGTAATATTATGTTTTCATACCTATGTCTGATGACTTTGATACGTCTAAATTATCTGTAGAAGACTGATTGGAATAAAATGTTTGTGTAATGTCAGGTTTCTGGTCATTTTCTATCAAATCTGAACTATCGTCTAGCATTTTGTTAGAATTGTCTCCTTGTTCTTCATAACTACAGCTACTACCGTCTTGCTCCAAATATTCAGGCATCTCCAGTTTCAGATTTGGTACAAGAGGTATAATTTCAACTGGGTCAATCGATGCGTGACCATCAGATTTGTTATGTTCCAAATCTTTAGGTGAAGAGATGTGCCTGTTGGATTTTTCCGAATGTGTGTTAAAGTTCTCTCGACACCTTCTTCTCTTATTTGGTGGTGGTGCTGTTTCAGACTTTTGTGAATCTGTCAAGTGATATGGCGAAGGAGAACTTGATTTATTTTCCTTGTCATTCATAATAACTTTACCGGACGCATTCCTTAATTGTACTTCAGGTTCACTAGGAATTTCTACATCATCCTGAGTAAAGAATTAACAGGGATAAGTAACAAAATTAATGTTTTAATGGTACACAAAAAATTGAACAACAGATATACCTCAATTATGCTATCATCCTTTCTTGAACCATCTGTAAGACCTTGCACAGCAAGAAGCTCAGCTGTGGTCATAAAACTATCTAACTGTTCCTGTACTACATTAACTTCTCCTTGATAAATAAAATCAACCAAGGCAGCTAAATCATCAAATTTTACATTTCTGAATATAATAACAGGATGTTGACAGGGATTTTCCTAGAAGGGGAACAGTGGTACATTTAGAGAAGCCAAAATGCGTGAATAAGAGATAACAGGCGCAACGTGCCAAGATACCTTAAATAAATCTCGAAAATATGTACTACACGCTGATAACAGCATTTTGTGTGCCTTGATTCGCTTGCCTTCGCAGCTGAGCGTCACATCAACCAAATCCTCGTCCGAGCGCAGTGTGTCAAACGCAGACGTTATGTGCTTGAGGTAGTTGTTCCACCTCAAGGAAAATTGCTGGCTGGAGCCCATGATGCCTACCTGACACACAATCCACGATTAGATGTTGAAGCACGTACACTCAGATTTATTCGAAACAAAACGCAAGTGCGATTTTTGTGTACGTACGTGCAGCAGCTGTAGGTTATTAACGGGCGTCGAAAAATGGAGCAGAACCGAGGACGCGAAGGGAAGTAGCGGGTAGCGACGCAACTGTGGTCGAGGGTGAAAGAAAAGAAGGCAAGGCGGCCCAGACACGAGCAGAGAAAGAGAGCGAGGGTCGAAAAGTCCCGAGTTAGTAAATCGAGCCGCTGAGCTCACTGGAAGCGTGTGCCGTTCTGTGCCTCGTGTGTGTATCATGTGTATATACGTTCGTACGTTCGTTGGTGTTCACAGCACGATAAAAAAAGGGGCCGTCGAGAGGGAGCAGGCCGACGACGGCCGCGGGGGAGAGTGTGTGCGGGGCAGCAGGCAGGCACACTGGGGGGGGGGGGGCGAAAGAGAGAGAGAACGAGAGAGTGAGAGAAACGTAGAGAGAGAGAAAGAGCGAGAGAAAGAGAGAGATGGAGGGCGCACGGCCCTAAAGCCTCGTTTTTGCTGCTTCTGTTGCTGCCTGGCCGCCACGAAAACTATTGATCACCCGCGCGCTGCCGCTGCTGCTGCTACCGTCGAGGGGACGGGGCCCACGAGAAGAAAACTGACAAGTGCTGTATATAGTCGGGGAAAAAAGGGGGGACACGGATGAACGGACTCACTCTTTCCCGATGATGCGTCTCGTCGACGAAAGCGTCGATAACTCGAAAGTCCCCGATGCTACAACGTTCGTGCACTGCGTAGAGTTTGTAAACACACTCGATTTGCACACACTGCAACGCGCGTAAACACAAATGCGCATAAACAAGACAAGTAACGTATTCTCACTTTCGTTTGGCTGCTGCGGTTGCTGCTGCGCGTCGTTCTCCTTCGCAGCTGTTCGCAGCTCCCTCCGCTCCGCTGCCGCGACTGCTGCTTATCCTTGCGTCGTTCCAGTAGTCCCCGTTTTCTCGACGATCCGATCTCTTTCGCTCTCTCACTTGGGCTCACGGCCTTCTTCCACCATGGCAAACAGCGCACCAAACACACACGCGCGTACACCTATACCCAGTGCCCGCGGAGGCTTATTTTTCTTGATACCCGAAAGCACGCCAACTGAGCGAGCGAGTAGTAGTCACCAGGTCCGCTCGATCCGGATACTTCTCTGGGATTGGTTGATTTGGGATGGTTATCCAATCAAAAGTGCGGATTCAATGGCAAGTCTCTTGACTGAGGCCTGCTCGCGCAAAAACGGAGCGTTATTCGGGTGTCACGAATAAAACTCAAACCGCGGGGGGTAGCGGTACGGAAGCTCCGTCGGGTCATGCGCTGGAGATTGCTGCTGCTACATCGAAACAGTCTGTAGTGTCTTGGCGCAGGGCGACTTCTTAAATCGAATTCAAATTATAAACGGTATTTAGCGAAAAGCGCGTATAAATGGAAATTTTATTTCGGAATAGCATAAGTACGATTTGATACGTCGCAATGAAAAAGAGGCAGCGCCCATATACATATGTACGTTGAGGCCACGTGATTGAAACGCGCCAAAATTCGAAAGTTTTAGACTATCTTGGAAAATTGTCACTTACGGCACACAATCAACACTGTTAATGATGAAAACAATTGAATTAGTTAGTCTTCGAACACAATAAAATTTGTTACAATTTCGAGATTTCAGGGAGACAGGTAGATCGTTGGCGGCAGAATGGAGTTTATTAAAAATGTGAATCCAATTTCACTCAATACAGCCCTTGATGAGAAAGACATTTTCGTCTCGAGAAAAATTTTGCGTGTGCTTGCAGGCTACGCCGTGACTTACGTCGATGTACGCGGACTATACTAAAAATGGATCTAATGGATAATGCCTCAACACACATCGCGCGGATGGAAAGGCGTTGGCCTCGGAAACCCCTGTCGTCAACAACATAAAAATCCATAGTTGAGCGGACTATACAAAAAAATTTATTAAAACGTTAACGTCTGTAATTGATACCTTGTACGTCGTCACAGCTTCGAGACCCACTATACTATTCACTTTTAAGATTTTCAACGTAACGACAAACGGGATCGCGAGTACTGTCTTACACTGTTCATGAGCTTGCTAAGTGCGATGCTAAGTAAAACGTCGTTTTCTATGCACAACTCATAGAAGACTAGCTGTTCCACGAATTCGAAGGAGTTGCTCTTGAAGCGCAGTCAATTAAAGAGACTGAATTTCTTTTTGCGCACAATTCAGTTGCAGAAATGAAGAAGCACAAGCAATTCTAGCAGCTCAGGTAACTCTACGATGAATTATTTCCTTGTTCAAACACAGGAACCGATCAGAGTAGAAGATTACTGCCAGTAAGACGATTTGAACGTTGAATACCGAAGAACACGATCACAAATTGTCATTTTCGATTATCGTCACCGCCAGGTAAAAGTAAAAAGTTGGCTGTATCCTGCTCATATTATTTACATCTTACAATTAACCGTTAAATCTATATTGGCTGATTACAATTAACCTCTTAAGGACGGGACTGGTCGATATTTCGATCACTCAAGTATCAATATTTTTGAGTGATTTTAGAGATAATATTATGTTTTGAATATAGGAAATATAATGTAACAATTTTAGGTAGAATATTGGACTTTGAAATAGTGATTTCAAGGTCAAATTTTTTATTCGATATTTCAACATGTAAATTGGTAGATCTACATATTTTTATGCTATGAATATGAAAACAATAAAACAATAGTATTGCGTATAACAAATGAAAGATTATTATAAAGTCAAATATTTTGAGGTGAGAGGCAAGGGGACACACAAAAATAAAGCACCCTAAAGAGATCAAATTTTCGCCACATTCAAGCTGTTGATCCTGGATCATGCTGAAAGTGAAAACTGAAATATATCTTGCAAATGACATTCATAAAGAACACTATATTTTGGAGAATACCGCCTTGAACATAATTTAGTGATTTCATTATTTATTTTTACTTTGAAAGTCCTACAGCGTAGATATGAAACTAAGAGTAAGCACGTCAAGATTTTACCGAATTTGAGTAGACCTTTATGCTGAACTGCGAAACCTTGAACTTCATGAAAAAAAACTTCAGTACAATATTCATTTTTTTAAAAGATTTTTCTAATTTTAATGGTTACTTTATTAATTTGTTGTATTGCCGCATATTTATTACAAAATTGGTGCTCAGATATTATATTTTGTTCTATTACTATTTTATATAATCCATTAATTATTATTATTTTTTTACATATTTTTGACAAGTTAGAAAGTAAATTGATAAGTATATAGGATGAAACAAGTTCGGATGGCTTTCATGGCTTTGCGGTTAATATTATTGTTACTATTTTCCTTTGAATGGGAAAGTATGATAATTGGGTGATTGTTGCATTAATTATAATGATAATTATAATTTTTGCTTTAAGAGCTTGTTCTTTAGCGACTTTCTACATAGGAGCCGTCGAGCACATATCGGACATCGGATGTTAGACGAATATTGAAGTAAAAATTAAATTGATTGTTTGTCATCATCTAACCATAAATGTCAAATAACTAATTCATTTTTACACTTTCATAAAAAGTCTGTAGAATAAATGTTTTAAGAATTTTCGACTTATGTTATCGTATTACGGGATCTTTTTATTTTTAAAATTTGCTATATTTTTATGTGGTTTATTTCTTTCACTTTTACATTATCGACTACATAATTATTATAGTTAGTTGCTAATTGTGCATTATTAATCAAGGTTAATTCTACTTTTTCCGTTAACTATGTGGTGATAGGGTTTAAAAACGTTTTCTGAGTCCTTAGCAAAGGAAGTAGCTTTTTCGATGTCTGTTCGTCGCTCATAACTATCAAATGTTTACATATAGTTTGATTATACACCGTCATTAGTCCAATCAAGATACAAATATGGTACAAAAATTAAGGGATGGATGAAACCTATTCAGGAGTCCTTGAGACAATATAAATGAGATTTGCATCAATTTTTTTTATAGAACTCAAAGTTAGTAAAAACACGTTTTTTAATTCGATGAAAATATATAAACTAAAAGTTATAGAAAATTAAATAAGTTATTATGCTTACCATTGCTTGATTATTTTCGTTCGTTAGATATTGTAAAAATAACTCAAAACCCTCGAAAATAGTCATTTTCAGCAAGTTGAATATTTGTTACAAAAGAACGTATTCCTATTTAAATAAAGCTTTGATGTTTTATGAAAATAATGTTTTATACAATGGAATCTGTTGATTAGTTAACGAAAAATGTTAGTATAGTTTGCTAACAGATGCCGAAAGTACATAGCCGTAATTTTTTTTCGGTCAAAGAGAGGTATTTGGTCAAAAAAGGCTCAATATTTTTGTCAAAACGTCAATTTTAATATTTTATTAGGGACGAGTGGAAACATTAATATGGCATTAACTTCTTGTTTCCAACTTGTTTTCATCATAAAAATTAGATCTTTGACTTCCTTATATATTACATAAATGTATAATTTTAAAATTCGCATAAATGTTTTTACTTTTCTACGTTTTAAAAATTCTGATCTGTTTTCTGTTGATGATTAGGCTTATAAAGTGAAGGATCGAAACGCCGAAGACCGGCTGTGGTGGTGTGTACGGATCTCAGCCAGCCCTCTCTCCCGCGTTTAAACTAGCGCTCGAGAAAATTAAATGTATCTTAGTAACTATATAATGCACCATATTTTTTTTTTAAATCTGATTATATGAACTATAATATTGAGCAAGGTCAGCTGGATAATTGATAATAGAACATAAAATTAAAAAACGTGAGCTTTTGCCGACTTTGAACCTTCATAAAAACAATAAGTGACGTATGAATCTCGAGTTATTTTTTATGTATGGTATTTATTTACACTGTCGCGAAGACCCCTAGATAGATTTCATCCATCCCTTATTTCTGCACTAAATAGGTACTTTTCGTCTCTCTCGGTTGACTTATGGCTCATGTGCGACATCTATTGAGGAATTCAAGCTTTATGGCAAATTTCATTTCAAATTCGATGAAAATATCAGAAAATAAAACTGGCAAAGTAGATATATAACTAGTTATGCAAATGCGCTCTACAAAAGGATGATAAAGCAATACATTCCTTGGCGCAACTGTGGTTGAAAATCTTATCTCATAAGTATGGAGCTTATTAATTTGCAATAATTCCCTAGTGGCTTGTTTACGTGAAACGTACACACATATAGATTACAGATAGAAATCACGTGGGCGGGGTGTACCGCTGTCAACATTGTTATCAATATTCAGTACTTTTTCAGTTAAAGTTGTACATTAAAATAATTTTTACAATGACTTTACATTCATCTTTCTTGTAAATCATCGTATTTTATTCGAAAATATATAGTCAAATTTCAATAATCAACATGGTTGGAATTATAAATGATTCAGATAGTGAGGATGAGTTGCCTCCCGGCTGGGAAGAACGTGCCAGTATGGATGGAAATGTCTATTATGTGAAGTAGTTACCTTTACTGATAAGTCTTCAAAAATCCTTTATTTTTTATTAAAATGTCCTTGTCTACTCTGCAGCCATTATACCAAAATTACTCAGTGGACCCATCCTCAGACTGGTCGTAAGAAAATTGTAGCAGGAAAATTGCCTTCAGGATGGGAAAGACATATTTCAAATGATGGTCAAGTTTTATTTATAGATCATGTTAACCATACAACTACTTATACTGATCCTAGATTAGCATTTGCTACTGAATATAGGGAGTCTTCCCAACCTGTTAGACAGCGTTTTGATGGGTCAAGTACTGCTTTAGCAGTTCTTTATGGAAGAGATTTAAGGAATAAAGTTGCACTAGTGACTGGTGCGAATACAGGAATAGGTGTTTAAATAGTTTATTTACATTATTATTGATATTATTAACAATATTTATAAATTTATTTACATTATTAATTTTTAATTTTTAGGATATGAAACTGCAAGGTCATTAGCTCTACATGGATGTACTGTTGTATTTGCTTGTCGAAGTATAGAGAAGGCTCAAGCAGCTATAGATAAAATAAAAAAACAAAAAGAAAGTGTGAATTGTGATATTTTAGAAATCGATTTCAGTTCGTTACACAGTGTTCAGAATGCAGCTAATAAATTCAAGCTAAAGTATAGGTAAGTTAATTGTTTCTATTTTATTTGTATAATGTAAGAGTAATGAACTGAATCAACTTATAAATGTTTTTTAGAACTCTCAACATACTAATTTTGAATGCTGGTGTATTCGCAGTTCCTTATAAGTTAACAAACGATGGATATGAAATGACTTTTCAAGTAAACCATCTAGCACAATTTTACCTTACCTTACTATTGGAACATCCACTCAGAAGTTGTAACAAATCAAGAGTGGTAATTGTATCAAGCGAATCTCACAGGTAAGAAATACAAATCTTTAATTATGAAAAAGTTTTTTAATTATTATTTCAAACATTTGTACAGGTTTTCTTTAATTCAGTCAGTGGAAGACCTTCATCCATTAAGACTGTCTCCTCCAGAATATAGATATTGGTCTATGGGAGCATACAATGATTCAAAGTTGTGCAATATTTTATTTGCTCGAGAATTGTCAAGAAGATGGCCTTCTGTAGCAGTATTTAGCTGTCATCCAGGAAATTTGATTTCATCCGATCTTTCTCGGCATTCTTGGATGTATAGATTATTATTTGCCATAGTTAGGCCCTTTACAAAGTCCTTGGTAAGACATTATGAGTATATTATTGTATTAGTGTATTTAATTTTCAATTTAATTTACTTTTTAGCAACAAGCAGCTAGTACAACAGTATTTTGTGCAACTGCTTTCGAATTAGAGGGTACCACAGGAATGTATTTTAATAATTGCTACAGATGCGATATATCGGTTATCGGATTGGATTCACAACTAGCATCCCGATTGTGGGATGTCAGCCAAGAAATGATTGTTTCTGTTATGAAAAGAGATAAGTTATGGTATGATTTAGCTTTAAAATGATAAAATAATTGTAATATGTTAAGTGGAGGTATATTGATTAATTATTGATTAAATTAAATGAAATTAATGGAATAGGTTACATATAGTGCCGCTCGCGTTATTTAATAAAGTTTCTTTTATAAATATTTGATTGCAACGAGAACAATGGCAACATTTTTTAGTGCAAATGTTTTTAATTGTCAAGATTTAAGGCACCTTAATTTGAGATACAAAATATCTTTTTATCAAATGTTAATGTTAACAAATAATATAATAGTGCTAATGGAAAATATTTAGATGATAACCAAATGAATTTTAAAAGAAATTTGTATATTCACAATTTTTTTAATTACTTGTACTAATTTTTAAAATATTTATGAAATTTATAATAAAATCTGTGATACGATAGAAGACAAAGTATAATAAAAGACTGTTTTCTAAATTTTGATTGCTATGTAACAACAACATCAGATATTAATAATAGTATATGTATATAAATATAGCGTATTAATGAAATATTAGTCCCTAGCGAAGCGAATCATTATTAGATATTTTCTCAAATGAGGAACTTTCGACTGATGTAAATTTTACAGGATTAAAAAAAATATTTGCATAATCGAATCGTAGATTTTTTAATTTTCTTCACAATGTCCATATCATGAATTTTAATATTAAAAAAAAAAGAAAAACGTAAGTTCATAAGTGAAAATTTTAGATCCTTTTTCTGATGGTGTGAAAAGAAAGCGCTTAAAATTTTTAGAGCCTTATAAATAATAAATTCATTTTTTATTTATAGGAGCTTCAGTGTCACGATCTATGGTGATTCTCAACAGATTCTCCACTTTAATTTCGTGTATTAAAAAAGGGATTTTCATTTCGTTGTAATCTTAATAATAATTCAATCAATTGGAGATATTTCTCTTACTCGTTAGTTTCTAATGGAGATTTCTGAAATTTAATAACTGTTTATTTCCTAAATAATCTAATCTCATAAGCCACATAATTTATAACTTATCAATTGATAATTATTACATTATCAATTGACAATGGTTTTTTTGAAAAATTTGAAAGTACATATTTTTTCCTTCTTTATATTATTTGTCAGTGTTCAAGAAACACATGTATTTTCAAAAAATATAAATTTTGGGGTATTAGTATTCATTAAAGAAAATTAGGGAAGTAATTTAATGCAATAGCACCCACCGCGGCATTGATATACCAGTTGAAACAATTAATAATTACAAGTTATCGTACGATCACAGGTGATGGGACGTAATAAAATAGAATGTATGTTAAAAATGTTACATTTTTATTAATGACTTTCATTGCATTTTATCTGATGCAACACATCGTATATCAGTTACATATTTTGATGCATAGAATAAACATGATTTTTAAAAACCAATGGAATATAATCTAGTTTTTACAAAGACCGCTTGACATGCATAATTGTACTGGAATACGTTTTTACCTATCAAGAAAAATATAATAAAATTGAAGTAATTTGTAAAAGTAACCGATCACAATAGATTTTCGTATTTTTGAAATGATCAATATTGTTATACTTTTAATAAAATTTTATTTGATCGTTTCAGTTAGAGGGCAGTCATTCGAATCATTTGGATGTACAACTACAAGATGCTATTGCGAAATTTAGTTACGCTAAAATTCATGCAAATCCACTTATTTAACATGATTGTTTCAATTATTCTCATTTTAGTTCAATTCATAATACAGTTTTTTTTTACATTTGAGAATTTCGTAAAATTTTAATCTATAAAAGCATTGAAAAAATTACATTAAATTTAATTTACAAATGAAGTCCTTATAGTAATTTGATTATAAATATTTGTGCAAATATAACTCGCCTTCATATAAACAAAGCATTTAATGTTTGAAAGCTAAAAAGTATCAGTTTCAACAAGGACCATTTGTAGCATCAACACAATATAGAATTACGAGTTCGATGAAATATAAGTCTTAAATGAAAATACCATAGATAAATTTGATATTAAAAACACATCACTCATCGAGCATTTATGCAAGTTCAATGGGAGTCGAGACGGACCCATAATTTTTCTGGCACTGTTTGACTTGCTTTACAACCTTTTGTCTTAGGCTCATTTAAAAGGAATGATTATTGTCAAGCAAGTCGCGAAGTATGTTAAGAAAAAGAAGCAAAATTGAAAATTCTGACTTTGTTAAAGAGATTTTTAAGTACTGTACTGCGTTTGAAGCTTCCGAGTTGGTACTAGAGATTAACTAGATTTCTTTTCATATAAATTATAACCGCTTTTGAAAATTGCGCTTAACAATTAACGACATGCTTTATTATTCACACTGTGACATGACTGAAAAAGAGACGATGAAACAGCAGTCTCGTATGACTTGTCTCTTCTGCCTTCCATTGTAGAAAATGCGTTAATCAATCATCCAACTTTCAAGATTCAGTCGACGAGTCCAGATCTATTGGTGGGATTTTTTTCGTTTTCGTGATGCGATCAAGTTCAGCTGCAGCATCGTTACGCATCGTATTTTTATCTACAGTTCCTGCATCTAAATAACAAGAATAAACTCGAATTATGAGAAGATCTCAAGTAAATGCAAGTTATACAAAATGAAATAAAAAGCATACCAGCTTTAATAGGACTTACGCCCACGCTACCTGGGGAACCTGGTCCACCAGGCGAAGTTCCAATCTTTTTGTGCAGTAAGGAGTTGAAGAAGTTCGCCAGCACTCCTTCGCCTGAAGGCGTTGTACCAGTACCTTTGGGATCCAACTTCTTGTTCGGCGACGCAACCTATGTTTAAATCTTTCAATGCGTGCTTGGTGACAGTTATGAACGTTATCAATAAGCAATACCAGATCGCTCCATATAATGATTATGTAACATGCTTTTGAGACCTTTCTTTTTATACACCAACATGGTTTACATTAGTAGCGGGATTCACAATACACATTGGATGCATCAGTCATGAATTTACCGCCTTATTGGAAAACCAAGCTAAAGAATGAACAATGAAATGCATACGTTGTTTTCAAGCAATGGAATGCTCATGCTTGGATAGTTTCATACAAGTCACAATTTTTCAAGGTTCTACCAAATTAATTTCAACAGCAGCTGTCCAAGACATTCATTTTACGACAGTCATTATTTCGAGTTATGAAACAAAAAAAATGATTAATGTTCACACATGTATGTTTTTTGATGCGGTAATGGTTTTTGGAAAAGCTGTTCTAATGAATATTTTTGGTTGTGTGTAAATGGCAGATGAAAATATTAAAATCAATGGTGTTTAATATTTTTTTGTATGGATCAATGAATTGACGGAACAAAATGAAACCATGTAGTATTATAGTGAACAAAACATTAGTGATGTCACCAGATTTTGGTGTTAATACATCGTACGTTAAGCACTTGTAACACTAAAAGCATGCTTAATCAAAATGGACTAGACCTGTATGATTGGGCCCGTGCTTGCCTGATTCCTTGTGGCTGGTGACCTGTTTGCTGGGTCTTTTAGGCCCATTAATGCTTCTTGTTGCCTTGCCAAAAAAACTTGTTCATCTTCAGCTACAACTTCTGTTTGTTTAGTTACACCCTAGGAATATAAGAATATTTTGAATTTCATTTATTTGTTTTATAAGAAATATCTCTTATTCTCAAATATAGATGAATATCAAGTGAAAATCATGTACTTCACGTGAATATGATTTATTTAGAATGGTCTTACCTTTCTATGAGAAGGTGGTTGAACAATTACATCTCTGTAATAATCATCAGGCTTCATTGACTGCAGATTTTCATAAAGGATACTAATTTTTTTCATATTATCCCAACCAGCTGGGCTAAAATTGACAAATATATAATTACATACTAAAAAAATTTGACAGTTTGTTTAAAAAAACTTACATAAGAACAGCATCTTTTTCTACAACTAGAGCAGGAGTTTTGAAAGGTAACGAATAAATTCTATGTGTTAAATATTTATACAATAAATCGCAATTCTTGTCTTCTTTAACAGAAGTATAAAAAAGACCTGCACCATATTGCAAGCAAAATTTTCTTATCCATTGCTGCATAAAGTCAAAGTGCTCATCTCTGAAAAAATCATGTTACTATTATTATGAATCATAGGTTTATCTTTATTTGAAATAGAATACAATTTTATGTACCTATAATCAAAATCCTTTTCTAATGTTGACATGTAATCTGTTTTTGCTATAACAACTACAATATCAAGTCCTAGATTTGTTGTCAAAACTCCATCTGGTAGGGGCAAGTTATCAATACCTTCTTCTTCTAGATTATGACTTGTTCTTCTCATTGGACTTCCTGGATCTAAATCATCCCCAGGCTCAGTATAGTCTTGCCATTTCTTCATAACTGTTTAAAAACAAGAGTTTTTTAATAAGAAATAAAACAAAATGTTTAGATATAATCTTACTTTGTTGCCTACAGTCCTGCCACATTTGTTTGAATGAGTCAGTTTCTCTTGAAAGCTTATCAATATGTTCTCCTAGTACCCTGGACCAGAATTGCAACTGATCCAAAATTGCCCAAGGAGTGGTCATTGCAGCAACAAGCACTACAAGAGTATGTGGAAATCTTTCATTGTTCAAAGCAAATTTTAATAAATTTGCATGTCCTGGATCTCCATCTAGAATCCATACCGATAACCTTGTTTGATCTACAATATAGAATTGAATATAATTAAAGATATAATTAATTTTGACATGACGATTCATCAATTTCAATGGATATCTACCATCTCTATCATCATCCCGAACATCAATATAAGCATATTCTAGACCAGATCCTTTCTTTGGATCTTCAACTCCCTGTAGTTTAGCAATGAGCGTAGTCTTCCCACTTTCATTATCACCTAAAAGTATCAATGATATGAATAGAATCAATACTGACAATTTCAAAATATATTCATACACACCTAACACAAGTATATTTTTGTTTGATGGCAATTTATTACTATTACTATTTTGCACCTGAGCTAATATACTAGACCTAAAAAACGGGCAAAAAATATGCCATTGAGTACTCATAATTCAAAGTTAGTTTGCTGTGACATCCACAGCATATTAAGTGATATTACAAATTATAGCCTATTAAATATGCAATTTCCTATACTGACCATAGATTATCGTCGCCTGGTTCATCTTTATTTTTAGGATTAAAATCACCATTTAATAGTCCTGAACCGAAGGTTTTAGTTGCCATTACTTGTGCATTTAATCAACGGCGCAATCGGAGCTGTCGAATTGAAAATCTAACTATCGCTGAGAAGATCAAGACCAGCAGAATGTACAAATTCGGAGAGGAATGCCAGGTGTACAGCAAAGGCCTATCTGTCTTTTCAGCGTTTCTTGCTTCTGTCCCTATCTTTCTGCGAACTTTCAAGGTGTGATTTCACCTGCTCCGCCTTTTCGTCAAGTTGACGTTACCAAGGTAGCTGTATTATTAAATGCATGTGTTCTGTCACTTAACCAACGAAGTCATTCAACTTTTCAATTTCAACAAGTTTCAACGATGGGGTATGAAAATATTATTAGAACAATCGACACTATGGCCAACTAAGAAGAAGATAATTTAGCTTACAAGTTGGCATTCCTGCCTCATGTGTGATAACAGGTGACTAGTTTCATGTTAATCACGGGTTTTTGAAGCGAGCACCATGTTATCATTTAACTATGTCGATTATTTTTTATAAATCTTTTACCTTACATATGTTTATTTAGAAGAATAAATTAATTTTGTTGTAAACGAAAATGTCTTACAACCATTTGAAAGGTCGCGAGCTTGCTCTGGCTATGCTTAGAGCACTGCCAAGAGTAAGTTTAGCTAACCTCACATCAAATCCGGGATCTAGAAAATATGTATGTTTTTATTTTTAATTAATAGGTGCATAGATTTTTTTTTCATCGGTATAAAAATGAATGCTCAAATTTCAATTTTTTTATTCAGCCTAAAAGAGGACGAGGTCAGCATGGAGGTGACAAACATGGAGCTGGTAATAAGGGTTCTGGACAGAGACAAAATTTTATGAGACTTGGCTATGAAACTGGAAACACTCCATTTTATCTTCGATTTGGTTATGAACCTTATTATAAAGGACACCAGTGAGTATTAACAAATTTTCAATAAATAAAATTTCACCTACGATTATAGAATCTGATTCATATTAAAATAATTGCTACTAATAGTTTAAGACGGCAGTATCCTCCTGTGTCATTGCAACAGCTTCAACTGCTTATTGATACAAATAGAATTGACTCATCAAAGCCTATAGATTTAACAGCTCTAGTGAACACTGGTGTTATTGATGTTAATCCAAACTGGAAACATTATGGCATAAATCTTACGGATGAGGTATTACTATTAAATTATGTATTTCTAATTGCTTTTAAGCTTTATAAATATTTTAACAATAAATCACAATAGGGAGCAGATATATTCCAAGCAAAAGTTAATATTGAAGTTCAATGGACAACAGAACCAGTAATTGCAGCTATTGAAAGAAATGGTGGGGTGATAACAACAACGTTTTACGACTTGCAATGTGTGCATGCTGCAGTTGATCCAGTAAGGTATTTTAAAAAAGGTATAGTATTTGAAAACTGTTTCGATTCATGAATAAATTTAAAAGTGAATGTAAATTTATTAATTAAATTATTATGAAAATATTAAATAAACTAAAATCTTAGGAGAGCCAATACCTCGACGATTGTTACCTCCAAATGATTGTCTAGAATACTATTCAAGTGCTGCAACAAGAGGATACTTAGCGGATCCGGAAAAAATATCGCAAGAACGACTAGTTCTGGCACAAAAGTACGGCTATGAACTTCCAAGAATTGAAGATGATCCTGATTATAAAATGTTAACAGAACGTAAAGATCCTCGTCAAGTATTTTACGGACTGCAACCAGGATGGGTCGTGAGTCTGCGAGATAAATTGATTCTAAAGCCAAAGGCAGATTATCTTAATGAATATTATAATAGTTAAATTTTATACTTATATTATATTTGAGGAAATCTTATGTATGTACGTTATTAATGTTTACATTTTACATTTACAGTAAAATGTTTAATTAAAAGTATAAATGGCATTTAATAGACATTTTTACAAACTGTAACGTAAAACTAAAAACAAGTAGACATGTATATTGGTACAATAAAAAAAGTTTAGATTTGTTTATGTACTTTATATTGCAGAATTATTTTGAATTAATAAGTTGAATGCAAAATAATCAACAGCTGCAGTAAAAATGTTTTGTTGTTTCAAAATCTACAGTGTTTAAGTGGTAATCATATAAGTAAATAAGACAAAGAGTAATAGGATTACGTAAAGGTTTTGTAAATGTTGTATTTTCTAGTTCTTATTATGCATGTTACTGTTTGTTGAATAATGTAAATCATCATAATACATACAAATGAGTTTGAGTTTTACTTAATACATTGTTTTAAATAGCTCAATCAAAGTTTTATTATTAAAATAGATTTTGGTAGTAAATAAACTTTTTCTAGAGGTTTTTATGTCCCTAATAAATTTTATAATGACAAAACTTGGTAGAAGGTAGTCATAGACTAGCATGTAAGCAGTTCTTAAATTATTAATTTTAATGTTTATGACGTCCATGCGTCTATGTGATGTGTATGTCATTTTGATTTCCCTATCCAAGAATTCGATATCAATTAGCTTCCCTCTAAGGTTATCGAAAAAGAATTTATACATAATGGAGTTCTGTACAAGCCATGAACCAAAATTGCTCTGTTAATTATTCAGTTCATTGATTTTCGAGATATTATAACTATTACGAATGTACTTAATACTGGACCTCTTGACACGAACAGCCGTAACTAAATTACAATGGAATCTTTCATCGCGCAAGATATCATTTGAAAGCTTATATCGGTAGCTTTGAAATGATTTTGTCCATAGTCAATATCGTAACAGATATTCAAAGCCATCGTATTTAAACAACCATATATATTACTTTTTTTCGGTAAGCGAAAATGAGAATCTATAATAAGTACTTTTTAAAGTGGATCGTTTAAATGTCAGATATTGATACATACTATAACAACAAATAATTTTTATTTAATCAAATAAGATATTAACTTTTTAAAACGAACAATCAATTTGTCTTATCAAAAATAACAAATGTGTAAAAGGAAGCTTACTGAGGCAATCGGTTGGCTGCATTTTTTCAGCCCATTACAAATTTACGTGACTAGGGCAGAAAACAAATTAAAAAATGAATTTTTCGTGCATTGCCAGTTTGGCATTTTTCCAGATGATGTAATCAAACGTTGTACGTGCACTGAGCATTTGCTAAGATCCTCAAAAGGTTAGTGAATACAGGAAAAATAATAAAAAATAATAAGAAACTTGGAAGTTGTTTCAGTAACACATACAAAACAAATAGAATTTTAAAAGAAATAGAATTAATGCTTCAAATCAAATATAAAGAACTCGCGTTGTAAATTAAAAATGGAAAGATTAGTCATATTTATGCTGTACCTGCAATAACTCGTAATTTAGTTTTAAACGATTTTACACATTTTTGTAACAGCGGCTGAAAACCAAGTATTTTTTTATAGCTATAATTAGAAACAATAACACGTAGCCCTTCAGAAAGTTAACGAGACTTACCTTGCTGGTTTTTTTTTGAAAATAGCAATCTCTGTGTCATCCACGTCAAGTTTATCACCATTATACCTAAGGAAACCTAACTGGCTAGACGTGGTGAACGTGAAACGTATATCTTTTTTTTTAACATTCAGGTTAGCAATTTTTTACTTAATAAATATTTTGCGTAAGATTTTTTAGACTCTTCCACAGTCTGCATAGTCTGATTATATTTCGTTAGTTGTCCAATTATTTTGAATATACAGCATTTGAACTACATTTTGTAGTGAACATTACTATTTTAATTGTAGCCAACACTATTTTAATAGGAATCAATATTCCATTCATAAAGTGAAATAAGTTATGATTTATTATTCATTGCGAGAGTCACTGCATAATGCAGTACCATTATAGTATCCTTGCTTTGATTGTCATTTTAAAATACAGTATTAGATAAAACTAAAAATTAGAAAAAAAAACACTTTACGAACGATAATTAGCTCTTCTTGCTCCTCATTTCATTTGTCAGCCAACGAAATGAAATAATAGTGCAGAGTACGTAAAAACTGTACAAGTCAGAAAAAGATATTGTTCTGCTCTCCTATAGTACACGATATTTCAACTAAGATAAATTACTAACGAGAAAAAAATTATCCTGCATAAGAATTCAGATATGATAATTGACATTCTATTTAATAAAATCGAAATTAAAATATCAACAACTAAAGCCAAAGAATAAAGAGATAATATCTTTAACGTATCTTATACTTTATTGCCCTCTTTCAACTTATTCTTAACTTTGTACAATAACATTTAATGTAATTTACCCAACCATAAAATTATACAAAAATCAATGTATTAAATAAGAACAAACGATATCGAAAACAGCATTTGCACGAAGCATCAGTTACAACGTTAAAAATAGATCAAATAAATGCTATCTAAAACAGCCAAATGAATTAAGAATGACTTTTGATTATTTCTTATTAAATAATAGCCGAATGAAATGATTATAATATTCACAAGTGATCACTATTATACTAAAGTAATGTTAGATACATTTTAAAATCTGTCAGTAATTAACTATGCTAACTTACAGCTCTTATAAAAATTTAATAAAAATAATGAATGTTTGCGACGATAAGATAACATTATTCAATGTTGAATTTAAAAATCATTAGGAATAACGAATCACCGCTTATAAAATCATTAAAAGTTTAGTTGATTAATAGACATTTAATTTTCCGAAGTGTTTCAAGTATAATTAAAATAGTCTACTGTAAAAATCAGTAGTTTAATTAAAATCGCTCGTATCGCACGCGTGAATAATGCTAGTCATGTATCAAATTGTCGTCATTGAAAATGGCTACTTCATCTTGCATATTTATGATTTTGCCAATAGCATCTGTATAATCAGTGCTGTCCTCGTATGTTGATCGATGAGATTAAGATTATTCATTGAATAAATAGAAGAAATATTTTTAATTTTATGCTTTACAACGATTCAAGCATGTTTGTGCGGTTAAAATACTGTCTTCTTTCTACAGTCATTTGGAATAGAAGTTAGGATTCAAGAGATCTATTGAATACAAATGTCATCGTACCTATAATGCAAGTAGTGTATTTTCCGGTCTGTTTATAATCATTTTATAAAGCAGTAGGTGCTGAAATAATTCGACCATAAGGTATTATTATTATATACGTTGATTAGTAACAACCTAAATAGGAGAAAATCGCACTAATTCCAAAAGGAAAAACGTATGAAATATAAACAATAGATTTTCGAAAAAATCGACAGTTCCAAAAGTCATGTATTCTAATATGCTACTATAAGCGTCTAAGTATCAAAGTATACTTATCAATGTATAATTTGTTGAACGAACAAAAACAAAAGAAAATAATGAAATATACATGTGCCAGCAGGCGCCAAATTATTGCACTTGCGAGTTGCAACATTCATAGTCGACGAACAAGAAGAACAAGAAACAAACAGCTTTATCCGAGAGCGAATCGAAGAAATGTGGCAACAAAGGGGAAGAACTGTGGTTTCGGCTCGGGAAAGTTGTCGCACGCAGCTGGTCCGGCCGTCGAAGAAGCGAGGGGATTGGAAGCAGGAGACGCGGGCTCCGAGGTCGGTAACAGTCTTCTGCGGCTCTCTCTCCGGATCGCTTGGGTCGCTCGGGTCGCTCGGGTCGCTCGGGTCGCTCGGGTCGGCCGGGCAGCGCCAGCGACGCCAGCCGGACCGCTCAGTAGAGCAGAATGCGCTTGTCCACGGCCTTGCGGCAGATCGGGCACTCGGACATCTGGTCGCCGCACATTTGGCAGGTGCCGTGTCCGCAGAGGAAGATCATGTTCTTGAGGCGGTCCAGGCACACCGGGCACATGGTCTGCAAGCCGAGGCAGAGGCGCGCCGTTACGGGGCCGCGCGTCGAAAGAGAGGACGACTCGGGGAGAGGCACATACCTGCTCCTTGATGTCCTGCAGCTGCTGCTGCAGCTTCTGGATGTCGGTGTGGGAGGTGTCGCGGCTGCCGTTGTTCATGAGCGTGCCCGTCGGCGCGGCCGGCTGCGGCGCGGTCGCGGTCGGAGCGAGCGCCGGGCCGGCGTCCGACGCGCTCGCCGGCGCCGTGTTGACGTTGGCCGAGAGCGGCTGCTCGTCCTCGCCGCTCACGTCCACGTTCTTCATCTCTGCCAGCGCCGCCGCTGCGCGCGAGCGGGCAACACAAGCGACAAGGGTTAGTCGGCGGGCTGGCGGGGCGGCGGAGCGCGGCCGAGCGATCTTGCGGGGCTCGGCGACCCGCGACGGGCGGAGGTACGAACCTGCGGCGGAGTTGCAGCCCTTGACGTAGGTGACGTCGCCGCCGCCACCGCAGCACATCGACAGCGGGTACATGTGCAGGATGGCCGCGCGGCACTGCACGCACTTCTTCATCAGCTTGGCGCACAGCTCGCACGAGCTCATGTGGCCGCACGGCCGGAACAGCACCGAGGCCTTGCGGTCCGAGCACACCACGCACTCCTCGATCTGCAACAGCGCGATCCCTGATGAACGCGCCCGGCCCTGTCCCCCCTTGCCGCCAGTCGCTGCCCGTATTTGGATTCGCCATAGTCCGCGTGGCGCGACGCTGTCCGAACCGCGACTCGGCCTCGCCAGAGCAACTGTCGCTGGCAAGGATCGCGCGTCTGGGATCAACGACCCGCGAGCCTGTAAATTATCCGGCTTCGCGATTGGCATTTCGGAAAAGCGACGCCTACTGGCGCTCGACCGGGTGGGTTGCCACTGCGATCCCGATCCCTGCAGATGCCTTTTTTCATAGAAAATTCAGTTTCTCAAACTCGCAGTTTGCAAGTTGTTACGGAGTCTCGCTGCGAAGGTACAGTGTGAACAATTTCCCATACACCAAGTTAATGTGGGACCAAACTTTTCTCCAACTACCGGGTTGCCGGTGCTTGTGCAACAATTTAAGACTGTTTCGGCAAGGAGTAGCTATTAAAACTTAACTTTTCCAAAAGTTGCAGATAGGGAAGTGGCCATGGCCGGCGCGTACGTGTCGATGTGCGTCATACACGCCGTTAGCCGAGGTGGCTCCGGTCCGCGCGGCGAAATTGAAAAAATAAGCGCTTTGCTTATGTCACCCTCGACGGAGCTAAAGGCAAAGTTTAACGCGCGCGCTGAACTAATTGAAGTTGGCCGGAAGTTTGGTACAAATGCAGTTCACCAAACGAAACGATTTTATTGACTTTCGGGAAGTACTCCCGGCAGAACCGGCTGTCTTTTCAACTTTAGCCCTTTTCGGGAGCTTTCGATTTTCCGACGGCCGGCGCGCCTCTCATCCGGAGAGATTCGGTTCGGAAACGACATTGTCTCGCGAGGGCGTCCCTGGCTCGCGACACCGCGCGGCGCGCGAATCGCAGCCCGCGCTTTCGGGAAGAGGAGCCGCAATTTATTCAGCAACGATCGATCGTGCCGTAAAAGTCGCCGAAAGTCGCGGCGATCCCACGGAGCCGAGTCTTTCGTCGGGGATCGGAACGAAATGAAAATCCGGAGCTCTAATTGCAGCGGACCCGATCAAAGAAAAAATTGGCCGGATTTCGCCGGCTGGCTCGAGCCGCGATTATTAGTCGCGTCGAGGGAGGGGAAGGGGGACGGACAGGGGGAGGGACAGGGGGAGGGACAGGGGGAGGGACAGGGGGAGAAGAGGGAGGGGCCGCGGGGGCCACCGACCGACCTTGATGCGGCTGGCGACGTTCTCGCGGCAGAGCAGGCACTTCTTGACTCTGGGCGCGCAGGCGTTGCAGCAGCTGACGTGTCCGCAGGGCCCGAACAGCACCTCGCGCTTGGCGTCCGAGCAGACCAGGCACTCGTCGATGTTGGTCGAGGGTGCAGCGCTCTCGATGTCGTGCCTGCGGTCAGAGTGCGTTCGATAATTCATGCGACAGCGGACCGCCGCGCCGCTCGCGTTTCGCCTCTCCCCTGCATCGAACGTCGTGCAGCGCCGACTCGTCGCGCGGCCGCGACGAGTCGGCAGCCGAGGGGGGCCCGAGAGGCTCGTTACCGTTGGCACGGCTCGAGGAGCCGTTATACTGACTCGTTTTTGTTCTTGTGACAGGTGGTGAGGGTCTTGCAGAGGTTGGGGTCGGGGCAGAGGTCCAGAGGCGTCTGGCCCTTCTTGTTCTTGAGCTCGAGGTCGGCGCCGTGGGCCGCGAGGAAGCAGGCGATGAACGAGCTGCTCTTCTTGTCCTGGCCCTGCGAGCCCAGGCCCATCAGCAGCCGGCCCACGTCCTGCACGTCCTGCAGCTGGCGCAGCTGCGACAGCGTGTGGTGGCGCAGCGCCTCGTGCAGCGGCGTGTCGCCGTCCTTGTCGGCCACGTTCAGGTTGGCGCCCTCGCGCACCAGCAGCTGCAACAACAGGCCAGCGCGGCGATAAGGTGGCGCGCGCCCAGGCCCCGCGAATCCGACGACTATCCCCCGAGGCCGATTCTCCCGGATCGCGCGCGGCCCCGAACGATCATTTGCGTGCTACTCGCCGACGTTCCCGAGCTTCGATAGCTGTTTTTTCGAGCGGTCCTCGCGTTATCCCGGGCGTGCTCGCTCGCTCGCTCGCCGCGAGACTGACGGGCATGATAGAGGACCAAGCTTCGCGCGTTCGACAATATTTATATCGACATCGATATAAACGTCGCGGCGTCGGCGGAGCGACGGCGACGCAACTCGCCAACTCCATTTAATTTATCAAAGTCAAAAGCGGCAGTCGAGAGATCTTCGCAATCTCGACACATTTCCAATAAGCCATAAAAAGGCGAACGTATTGTTTCGGAATAGCGATAAAACAGGCGCGCGCGAGTATTATTTCCATGATGGATCATCCGTCTCGTGCTCGTCCGTCTCTCTCCGTCTAGTTTATTTTCGCTGACAACGAGCGCGAGCAAAAACAAGCTTATAATTTTCGCGCCGGGGTCGCCAGCGCGGAAAATCGTCGTAAACAAACGGCCGAGCGCCGTTCGGCGGCGAGCTCGAATAAAAATTGACGCGCGCGGCGCCAAGAATACGCGGGGGGAGCAGGGCTAGTTCGGGGCGTTCGCTCGACTATTTTTGCCCTGTTATTTCTACAAAATCACGGGGTCGGCGCGTTCCCGCGCGTTCCCGCGCGTTCCGGCGCGGATCCGAGAGACTATCGCGGCCAGATAACCAGTCGTAATTTTCCATCGGAGCGTCAGCGCGGCTAGGCCGCAAAAGGCCGGCGCGTATAAAGAATGCAAATCGCGCATTATAGCGGCGGCGCGGCTCGTAAAAGCGAGCGAGGCTTTAACGCGTTGGCCGGCAACGGGATCGATTAAAAGCGGCGGCGGCGGCGGCGGCGGCGGTCGCAGGCTCGATTGGCGAAATGAAATTTCAACTGGCGCGCCGCCGCCACAGCAGGTGGCGCGGCGCTTAATCAGATCGGCCTGGAAAGGAATGGATACCCTGACGATCTGCGTGTGCTGGCGCTCGACGGCGAGGTGCAGGGCCGTCTGCAGATTGACGTTCTGGAGGTCGAGGTCGGCCTTGCCGTCGCGCGCCAGCTGCTCGGCCACCTCCACGTGGTTGTTGAGGGCGGCCAGGTGCAGCGCCGTGTAGCCGTCGTCCTTCTTCTCGTCGACGATCCAGGGCCGCGGCAGCTTCGACAGCAGGATCCGCATGGCGCTGCAACACGTGCACGGCATACATGTACACGGAGAGTCGGAGCAGGCGACGCCGGAGGGGCACCCAGATGCTCCCCGGCAGCGACGCCCGGAGCACGTGTTCGCGCTCGCTCGGGGCCCCGTCGCCGCCGCGTGCCCTCTCCGGCCGCCCGGCAAAAACCGGCGCGGCGCGAGCGAGCGAGCGAGGAAAAAGTCGAAGGCTTTCGGCCGCGCTCCGTCGAGCATCGGCCCGACAGCGGCGCTCGTGTGCGTGACGCTATTTCCGGGCCGATTATCGGCACTCCTTGCCGCTATACATAGAGAGCGAGAGACTCGCCGCGGCAGCAGCGAGCCAGTGACCGCCGACTCTTCGCAGGAGGTAAGCCCGCTCTGTCACTCTCGCTCGCTCGTTCGCTAGCCTAGGCCGAGTTTTCGGCACGCGCGCCCGCCTGCCTCCGCGCTCTCGCTCGCGCTCGACTCCGGCCTTTCCATAAAAAGCGAGACGAGAGATGCATCGGCAGCGCGCGCCCGCGTAAAAATAAGCAATTATTTTTAGCCGTGAGCAAAGAAACGCTCCCGCCTACCCCCGCGCGCGACGACGTGCGTTGGGATCGCCGCGCGCATCGTAATTATAGCGCCTCGCGGCTCCGAGGCGCGTCCAGTCGAACGTTGCGCCGACGACGCGCTGGCTGCCGGAAGCGGCCGAGACGACGCGAGCGAGCCGCGTCCACCGTCGGCGACGCGGCTTTTCCACGCGCGCGCGCAACCGGGAAAGCCGGCCGCCTCGCGCCGAGGCGTTCGAGCTTGCCGCGCCGTCGCGGGAGTCCGACTGGCAAGTCGAACGGGAAAAAAAACGGGATGAAAAAGGAGAGAGAGCCGCGCAGCGCGGGGACCTCGGGCACGCCGTACTCGCTCGCCGGGAGGCGCTGTTAACGCCTCGGCTAATGCAACCTAACTGCGGAATATCTGTTCCGGCTTTGCTTTTTTGCTTTGCAACGCGAGAAAACATTAACGCGATACCACGGCGAGAATCGGAGAGAGAGAGAGAGAGAGAGAGAGAGAGAGAGAGAGAGAGAGAGAGAGAGAGAGAGAGAGAGAGAGAGAGAGAGAGAGAGAGAGAGAGAGAGAGAGAGCGAGCGAGCGAGGTAGGAAGAGTAAAGAGGAGTTTTATTTGTACAAAAGAACCGACCACTTGACTTTTAATTGCCAAGCTCCTTCCACTCCTGCCTCGCTCGCTCTGTTTATCATTATTTGCTCGTTCGTTATTTTTGAAACCTTGCAACTTTCCCTCGCTCATTGCGCGTTGCTCTGGTCGTTCGATACGTGCCAATTATTTCGTACGATTCGCAAGTTCGTCAACGCTTCGAACGACATTTCGCCAAGCGCCAAGTTATTAACGGAGTAAATAAGAGCAGCTCGCGCAGGTCAGCACGTCAACGCTGGTCTGATTGACTGGTTGACGGGCGCGCGCGCGCGAGTAATGAAAAAAAAAAAGCTTAATTACATTTTAGGGGTGCGCACGCGTGGACGAAAATCGCGAGAGAGAGAGAGAGAGAGAGAGAGGGAGTTGTGCGAACCAGCAGCAGCTGGCAGCAGCGTACGTACAAAAAGTCCATATCTTTTATTCTCGCAGAGGGGGAGGGGGACTAGCGGTCATCTCCGCGCTCGTCCGAAATGGACTAGCGCGCGTTGTGCTTTTACTGTTCGCGCGCTACCCGGAAGCTCGTCCTAAAGTAGCATTGGAACGGGGTTTCGGATTTCCAGAGAGCCGCGGCAAAAGCGAAAAAAGAGCGGCGAGAAGCAAGGGCGAGGCCGAACGTCGCTTAATTGTGGCGAGTGTAAACAAGCGAATAAATCGGCGCGCGGCGTAACAAATTGCTTCTAGGCGCTGTCGAAAAATCAGAAAATCAGCGGACAGAGTCGTCTCACTGGAGCCGGCGGTCGGGCGATTTTAATGCATCGCAAACATCGCGATAAATCAGGCCGAGCGCGGGGATGTAGGTCGAGAGATAGAGAGAGAGGGAGAGCGAGAGTGCGCGCGCGCAGTGCTCGCAGGACGAGAGTAATATTCGCGCGAAAGAGAGAGAGAGAGAGAGAGCTAGACCGGGGCGCGTTATTGAAGCAGAGCGCGAGCGAAAGATCAGTCGCAAGCTCTGGGCAGGCGCTCGGCATGGGATATCGGATGCGCTTCCTCCATGTAAGCAGCGAGAGCGAAGAAAGGAATATTCTGGGATCGAGAGCGCGAGCGTGCATGTGTGTCTCGCTGGTTGGCTGCAGAGGGGACTCCGGTCAGGAATAGTCGCAATGGCGGCGCGCTCTATTTTCGGATAAAGACAAATTTGGCGCGGACGCCGCCGTCGCCGGGGGACGAGGGCCTCTCGCGCGCGCTCTCTCTCTCTCTCTCTCTCCCGCAAAGCGACTCGACGGTTCAAGTGTAAGCTTACCGACTTGGGCTACGCGTCTCGTCACATGCGGCCATTTTTAGAGGCCAGGCAAAGCCTCCCAAGAACGCAGTTTCGCTCGCACTCTCAGTTCGCGCCGATCGCTCGCTCGAGCTGCACACCGATCTCCGCGCTCAAGAGCCCGGCGGACGCGGCGGCGCTCAAGCCTCTGCCCGCCGCTGTCCAGCCCCGGCCTTCGCCGCCGAGCGTCTGTTCCGTGCTTCCTTACTTCCCATAGTACATGCGACGTATGGAATGTAAAGAAGTATGGAGCCGCGCTACGGTCCGTCAACGATTTCATCTGCCCTTTCTGTCCGGATGTTGCCAGTTTGCAGCAAGTAAGTAACCGAGGCTCGGAGCGCAAACGAGGCGAGACCGAAAAAAACAGAGATATTCGCGGCTCCAAATAGAGCGATCGCGCGCCGGTTACGTGGCCAAGGAGGAGGAGGTGGCGCAGGAGGCGGAGGCACGCCGGCAACAGGAAAGATATGCAGTCAAAAATAGGGCGCTAGCTCCACGTCTCTCTCTCTCACCCTCTCTCTCTTTCTCTCGCTCTCTTCCACTGTGCTGCTGTTGCTCTGTGCCTATTCCCGTGGATAGATGTGTGTATACGTATGTACGTGCGCGCGGCGATTCCAGATATAGGTTCTTCGGTTACAAGGGTTATTTCCGCTCGCGGCTTTTTTGCGCAAGGCGGGCGCGCACTTTCCAAACATCGCAACAAAAAACAGAGAGTAATTAATCGACGCGAGGGTCGATTGGCCGTAACGACGACGACGACGACGACGACAGTGACGACAACGACGACTAGACGACTAGGGGGATGGAGAAAAAAATAATAAAAGACCGATCGATCGGTGCATCGTCAGTTTTCAACGCACGTAAGCGAAACGTCAGCCATTCGCGGCTATTGTGCGTAAATCTCCCGCGGGGGCTAGCTGGAAAAAGCAAGAAAAAAAAAAAAAAACATAAAAGATAAAGGTGTCGAGTACGCGGTGTGCAGCGGCTGCTGCTGCAAAGTTTTTTAAGGAAATAAGACAAAAGCTGCGGAGCGCAAGTTCATTCGGCAGGACGATCACGCGCCGGGCAAGCAACTTCTTCGGGTAGAGAAGGAGCGAGAGCGAAAGAGAGAGAGAGAGAAAGCGCGCGGCTAATCAGAAAAATCCACACTCCAGAGAACTTATTGAATCCTCGCGGTTGGCGCGAGGCGCCGTCCGACCGTGCGCGAAAGCGCCGGGCGAAGCCGAGAAATAAGAATCTCGCCGCAACGCCAGGCTGAATATCTATATGTCGGTTGGCGGCGGCATTATCGACAAGTCTGCCGGAGCGAGCCTCGCCGCCAAGCTTCTCGCGCCCTGTTTATCCGGATTTTCCTATTTTGCGCAGGGGCACGGGGGGGGAGGCGGGCAGTTCCGCACCTCGTTGCGGATGTCAAGCTCCGAGCGCTCGCGCGACGGGGCCGCGACTTTCCTCCGTAACGAGACGCGTCTGCGTCTGACTGCCTATTTTCGTGCGCGCACACGCCGACCGAGAAAGAATTCGCCTCCGCGGGGCGAACGTATCGATTACGCCGGCGTTACGTAAGAAATGCTGCCACGCGCCGGATCGGATCATCGCGGCACGCGTGCGGCTCGGGGCTGCTCTGCCCCGTTGCCGCATTCGAGCTAGCGATCGCGATGATTTGCCGCGGCGGCGAGGCTCCTAATGGGCGAGTGTCGAAAAGTCGCATATCAATCGACTTGTAAATCAATTGTAAATGTAAAGTATGAAATATCCCGGAAGTGTCGCCTCGGCTCTTCCCTCCCTCTCTCTCTCTCTCTCTCTCTCTCGAAACTTTTTTCTCCTCTTCGTCTTTTCATAGGCGCGCGTGCTAGCAGAAAGCTTTCGAAACGTACTTTTCTTGTATTTTTCCGTTTTTTGCCAGCTGCACCACACTACGAGCCGATATGTTTGCGTATTTATCGTCCGTGGATAAATTTTAAGTGGTAACTTTTCAGTGCTGCGGTTCGGCATTTATAAAAGAAAGAAAACGTTGAACCTGTCTATTTGAATCCGCGAGTCGAAATGAAATAAAATAGAGAAAGAGAGAGAGATGGGAGGGGGGGGGGGGGAGAAGCTCGAGTTTCGGTTGTATCCCTGAAAGAAAAAAGCGAAAGAATAATCCTCTTAGAGGTCGGCGCCGCTCGGCTCACTTTGTCATTTTTGTTCGACGAAGCGGTCGTATTCGCGCACTCGCGATGCATTTAAACTGTGGGATTGCACGCGGGACAGTGCCGGGGGAGATAAACAAGTGCGCCTCGTGCCTCGGAAATGGCGCTGGTAGTAATCGTTGCTTCGGTTGCAGCGGCCAAGGTGCAAGCTCGACGAGCTACGGGCGTCGCGCCGGGCTGCTTTTGTCTTTCGGAGGCGAAGGTGCCAGAGCAATCCGGGCAGATGCTATCGGCGGCGCGCAGGTGTGAGCGAGCGAGTTTTGAGGGCAGCGGGGGCGCGGCGGCGCGGCTGTAAGAAGGAATTAAGATCGAGATAAGTAGGTGTAGCGCGCGCGAGCGGTCGTCCGGGCGCGAGAAAAAGGAGAGGGATG